GGTTACAGTCGTTGAACAGTTACACAAAGACAATTGACGTATTGACAACGGCGTTTTTTTCAATTGCCAATGATATTGTCGATCCGGGTTTGTCTTCAGGCTCCTTTGAACAAAATGGTCATTGATGATTGAACAAATGGTCATTGATGACTGATCACTGGTCATTGATGAATGATTCAGTACCTGTTTGCGCCTGCTCGTATCCGGTTGCTTTTTAAACCAAGCCGTATTGCTGGTCGTTTTTTTCGTCGTCTTGCTAGTCGTCATTCTGATCGTTCTCATTCAGGACAAATTTCGGGTCGTTGTTCGTTTTTTATTCTGCCTCGTTGTTGTTGTGCCGGTTATGTGTACAGGCGCGGAAAATGGCAAAATTATCTTGCCTGGTGCTAAAATTATTTGAATTTGAGTGAAAAACAAGGTATCTTTGCTCTGTTTGAAATAAGAGTATTCATCATCACATTCATTTTTGTCTCAATCCAGTTCTGTTCGAATGATGCTTGAAAACCCTCGCAAGTATCCCGCACAAAGTCATAAATCTCCAGAGTGGGAGAAAACACTTCTGTTTCTTGTTTAGCCTAGACTTTGATTGGCTCTAATACATTCCCAGCATTCGGGTGACATCACATGGTCTGCAGTCTGCAGCGGTCGATGAATCCTTTTTTCAAGAGAACATGCGTGACAGCTTGTTCAGCCTTGCCTCTCTCGTTTGCGCCGCTTTTTGGTGACATGACGAACCAAATTGCTTTTTTGCGAGAAGTTTATCTCAAATAGAAATAAAAGTTAAAAACAACTATAAGTGGAACCCGCAAAACTACTAGCCAAATCCAAAAGTGAAAACTGAGTTTTCGTCTCACAGCTGAAAAATGACTAAATATGTTAATGGATTCCTCTAAAAGGCAATTGCAAAACTGATTAAGGATTTGATCTAAAACTCCGCAGAGCGTTCAGTTTGTTAACAGTATCCACCGACATGTTTAGTCAAATTAAGGGTCTTGGACAAACACTCAGTTTTCATTTTTGCTCTATAAAATGATAACAGCTAAAAAAGAGCCGTAAAAAACAGAACTTTGCTCTGGCAAAGTCGATGTTACGGCCAAGAGGTTTGTAGTTTCCTGTTTTCGCATATGCTCCACGGGCCCTTGAAGTATTGCTAACACTATCCACAATTAAAGCAGCTTTATATGCTATAAAATTGCAAATGCGATGCAGAAAAAGGGACGCCAAATACAAACAGACACAAATGTGCCTTTAAAATGTTAGAAAATAACAAATTTGGCATCCACGCTTAACTTGCGTATAAGAAATTGGAAAGCATAAAGTCAAGTTTTGTATAAATTATGCTTTTCAATAAAATTTCAATTAAAATTAGTCGGAAATTTTCTAAAATCGAGTTTTTTATGGCACTGTTGTTTGAACCAAACTGTTTTTTTTTCGATTATTTCGAGGAATGAAAAACGCATCAACTGTGCGAATGCTTGTAACTTGAATGTCAAAATATATGCTAGCATGAGTTGCATAACTCTTTGCAAACACTAGCCAAAAAAATGACAAAAAAGGCAGTGTACAAATTGATATATGAAAAGAAAAGGTAAAAATTAGCCTTGAAAAATAACAACTTTGCCTTGAAGGAAACGATCTTATGACCAGAAGATTTACGGTCTCCTTTCATTGCATCTAACGCTGACTGCTCATCTGTGGCTCTACTAACACTACTAGTGCTAACTGTGCTATCACTAAAACCACTACGGCTAACAGCACTACTGCTACTAAATTGAACCTCGCATATGCGTTGGTACTGACACTAGCCACAATTAAAGCAGCTACTTAGGCTATTATATTGTCTTAGTGAGTCAACAAAAATGGCACAACACGGGTTGAGGTACTCAACCAATTTTTCGCCTTTGCGGGTCGCGGAAATGTTAATTCCGCGACCGAAAATCCATAGTCTGGACAGAATTTTGAGTCGCGGACAAACTTTGGAATACCGTTTCTTGGTTGCGATGGTCCGAAAATTAGTCGCAGTATTCAAAAAGTTGGTCGCGGTGGTCAAAAAGTTAGCCGCGGCGGTCAAAAATTAAGTCGCAGCAAGGTCGAAATGCTTGTTGCGATACAAATAGGCACTATTTTGCTTGTAAAAAGTTGGAATATAACAAAACAGCTAAAAAATGGGAAACATGAGGCCTAATTATGTATTAGATGTGCAATTCAAGTTTTTTGCGAGATTTATTGAGTTGGGAAATTTCTGCAATCGAGTTTTTATTTTTGTACTGTTGTTTTAATTAAAAAATTTTTTGGTTCATTTAATGAAATAAAAAACATTAACTGTGTTAATTTATTACCAATCGCATTTCAAAGCACATGCTATCAACAAGTCGTAAGTGAGCCATGATCAACAATTGGTTCTTAGGTTCATGCAAATAAACAAACGTACCATTACACTACGCTCGCTTAAGCTAGCTAGTGTAAAAATTCACTACCCATGAAAGTTGAATATGTTTGTATCTATGATTGCAAAAAGCTCAGAGTGGTGTGTGATCTGTGTTAATTTGATAATAAGAAATACTGCTGTAAATTGCTGGCCCCCAATTGGTCGTCCAGTGCTGTTTAAACAGTGTTGTTTCAGTTAAACTCCAGAGTGCTCAATCACAATCTGTGTGCTGGTTCTTCAACAGTGAGCAGAGTAAAATCTAAATCAGTTCGCAATTTTAGAACAATAATGATGGAACAGTGCTGGTTATTGGCAATATCAGAGATAAATTTCATTCAATAAACTGAGCAAAAATGACGGTCGCGACCAAATTTTGGTATTTCCAGACTGGCGCGATCAAAACTGAATTTTTCAGACCGCCGCGACCAAATTGCGGTATTTCCAGACTTTGCGTACCGAGGCAATGTGTTTTTTTTTCGACTTCACAAACTACATATTTTTTACAGCATCGAAACTTAATAAGATATATGTATAATAAAGAGTAAATCTCATAAGCGTATAAAATTGTAGATTAAATAATTGACACTGAGGTGAAGTTGTGATTCGCAAAGACTAGGGAGAAAATTACAAAGCTCTATGAAGTGAAATAAAAAAAAGGTAAAAAAGAAATTGAAAAACAAAAATTTTTGCTCTGGCAGAATCGATCCTACGATTAGGAGATTTAGAGTTCCCTGAGCTCGCAACTGCGCGATGAGCCCTTTAAAATTTGGTAACACTATCTACAAATAAAGTGGCCACATATGTTAATAAATTGCCAATGCGGTGCACCAAAAACAAAAGACAGAATTTTGCATGTAAACATTTGAAATTTAACCAACTGCGCATCCACGCTCACTTTGCTTGTTTTATATTGGAAAACAAAAAACAAAATTAAAAATAAATTTTGCTTTTCAAAAATATTGCGAGCTATATTGAGTTAGAAAAATTCTGCAATTAAGTTTTTATTATGGTACTGTTGTTTGAACCGAATAGTTTTTTCGATTCATTTGATAAATGAAAAATGCATCAACTGTGTTACTTTATTACTTATCGAGTTTCAAAGCTTAGGTTGGAAAAAATAAAAATTTTAGCAGATATTACGTTGAACTGGTGGTAGGTCAGTAAACCGATGTATCAGTAAACCAAAAATGGGCGGACCAGATCAGTAAACCGAAAATTCATAGTTCCATTACTTTATCACATCAGCTACATACTGAGATTTTTACATTATGTTGAGTTTGTTCATCACAACAAAAATTGAATTTAAAAATGAAATAAAGTAACCCTTCGCATGAGCCCCGAGTTCAAAATTTATTGTTCTAGCTCAGGGTTAATTAATACTATAATATAAAACTTTGATTCCGCATTTGATGTAAGTATTGCGCAATTCCGTTAACTGATCTGGTAGTTTACTGACACAGCGGTTTACTGTACGCACCCCCGTTGAACCATTGATAATATAATTTATGCTCGTCAATGATCCAGTACTGCAAAAAGAAATCTTTTTTGAACCTATTAACAATGATGGTTGTGTGTTGTCTATGTTTGATCTATGTTGCAGTTCTGCATGTCAATGCGGAGGGCGGCATTGACGAAAGTGATCTCTAGAAAACGTATGATGATGATGCAGGTTTATTTACAGTAAATTGACAGATGTACAACTTTTTAAATTTACAATTTTCATGTTTTATAGTCATTTTGCTTAGTTTTGCGATCTGAATTTTCACCATTAATACTTTTGGCTCTTTTTCCTCCCCCACGCACGAGCATCTGTTTTATGGTGTAATAAATGGGCTTACAGGGTTAAATATGAAGACTAAAAAAGTTTCTCATGGCGTATTTAGTCCGCGTGTCAATTTTTATAATTCGACAATGAGAAAAAAAAATCATTTAGAAAAACTCGCAGGTGGGGGAAAAGGAAAAGGAGCCGTGCTTTTATTAATTTTCATTCATTTGTGTCATATTTGATTTTCATCTCAAGTAAGGAATGTCGTGTCGTGGTGTCTAGTCGGTGTTAAGCACGAGACAGACGCCCTGCAGGGTCCAGTGTGACACGTGTTCGGTGGTTGACAGGTCAGCCTCGAACACTAATCCAACTCCCATCGCATTTCTCCTCTGAGACGTCGTGTACACAGGGGTACGGAACGTGTTCTGAAATAAGCACAAATGATGATTGATGGCGGCGCATTTCAAAAACATGCAAGCGTTTATTCGAATAAATGAGTATTGAACAGTACAACAAATTTAAATTACAATTTGAAACAATAATATAAATGAAACTTCGTATTAGAACTTTTCAGGATTATCTCCTGAAAAAATATGGAAGCACGTCCATTTTCCTTGTTATGATCAATTGTATGATAAATATGATGAGAGTGTGACCTGTAGTTTGAGTTTGTGTGCTTCGATGGGGATGACCTTGAGGATAGGCAGATCCACGATGAGTTCCTTGGGCTTCTGCTTGATCAGACAGGCATTGTTCTTGTCCCATGCAGCACCTTCCAGGAACAGACCGGACACAAAACAACCTACAAATTATAAAACGAGCGAGCTGAAAGAGAAATTATAACCACCAGAAAAGCGTTCATGTACTCGAAGGAATCGAAGACAAAAACACCTGTCAGGTTCAAATGGAAATTTTGCTCAAATTTCAGATTTCATTTTAAGCAATATAATAAAACGCACATTTGTGTATTATGCAACCACAATTTAAACTAGAAACAATTTCTTGTTGAAACTCAAATAGTTTTTCATTTTTCACAAAGATGAGGCCATTTCAAAAAATAATAATTCTTTTCTTTTTTGTCCATCAGACTTTCAAGTGTAAAAAAACGTCTTCGAACCTTGATGTGCCCGCTCGGTGACCTCGTCGGCGTCTGCCCAGTGAGTGACCTGGGTGTAGAGAGTTGACCTGTCCAGGGGCCATCCGTTCTTCCTGCAGGTGGCCTGCACCAGAGCTGTCAAGTAAGACTCTGGAATGTGCAGACCAGACAACCACATCACTGCTGGCTCCCCGTCGCTGATCTACAACAAACACAAACAAAAAGAAAATGAGTTTTTTTCTTCAAAAAAATACTTCAACTTGTTTTTTAGGCAATAGTTTTGACATATTTCGATCAAATATATTTCGATAATAATTGCCTTATTTTTATGTTCTGCTGACAGTCTTTATTACGAATCAGCATTTGGCAGACAAAAAAGTCAGGGTAAAACAAGGTAAAATAAACAAGTTAAAAAAGAAAAGTTGCCGAACGATTTGATTCAGTATTTATCATAGCGCTTCCATTATGATTCTAATTCATACAAAGCCTGAATCGAGATCAAGTGAACTATCTCCCCCATAGTACATGCAGGCCTTACAGTTTGAATTTGACATTTAATTGTTCACTTGGTCTATTTAGGGTGGAGCAGATTGTTTACCCTGATTCGTTGTGAATTTGGTAGTGCGTTTGACGTTGGCTCACCCATTTCATGTACTGGTCGTGTCTAGCGAGGAAATGTAGCATCCAGTTGGCCAGTGTTTTGAGGGTGGCGGGTGCCAGCTTCCTCCAAATTCCGGGGATCTGTCCGTTGAATAGGGCCCTCGAAACCTCATCCAGCTCCGCGCTCATACCCACTTCACCAGCCAGTGCCTGGAAAAATAATCCAAGTTTTCAAAGTACAGACTGCAACAAAAAAGCTTGCAATTGAAACTTGAGAATTTAACTTGAAATTTTTTAAAATTTGAGAATTTTGAGTTAGATTATTAATATTACTAATATAACTAGATTTTTTTTCAAAAACTTAAGTTGCTGTCCAGGGGCGGATCTAGGATTTTCTCGAGGGGGGGGGGGGGGGGCGGATTTTAATAAAAAAAATCGAAAATTTTGACGACCTTTTTTTTTTTAGGTCGACCAAATTGATTTTTCGAGCTCTCCCAAAGCACTGTTTTGCCCCTATTTTAGCAAAAACAGTCAAAAAAGCCGTTTTTGGGCACTTTTTGAAAAATTTTGACAAAAAAATCGCGTTTTTTTTGGCGCGCGCTCCCCCTCAAAATTAGTAGATATTGGCGCCAAAGGCGCCTTTAGAAAAATTTTAGGGTCGGTCGACCAAAAATGGATTTCTGAAAAAGTATCAAAGGGGGACCCTTTGGGTCGGCAGGTGGTCGAATCCCCCCTAAATCCGCCCCTGTTGCTGTCAACTCTTTTCTCCTCAAAAACCACTTTCAAATCAATATTTTGCACTTAACTTCAAAAAAGGGTCTGGTAACAAACCAATATATATTAAAATCTCCGAGATGTACGATAGCGATTTTGCATCACCTTATTATGACATATCCTATATTTGAAAACGAATAATTTGGAGTCTACGAACAATTCCGGTCCCCACCAGGCACCATAATTCAGAATGGAGGCGCTGATTTTGTCAAGTGGATCCCACACAACTCACCCTCTTCAGTTCTTTGAGGGACCTCTCCATGCGGTTGATGAGTTTGTTGAATCTCTCTATCTCCTGTAGAAGCACCACTGTGGTAGGTGTCACATCCAGTCCGTACTTCTTCCGGATCTTGTCCAGGTCGTAGGGGGTGGGCAGTTTGCTCACAACATCCTGAGCTATGTTGCCAATGAACTCCTCCCGACTGATGCCTGCGCCAGTGTCGCCTGAACAAATTAATGGTGATAATCGTAATATTTTAAAATATCAATTAACTTCATACAGATTCATCAACAAATAGATTTCTTATTTCTGTTTCTTTATATTCTAGACTTGAATTTTTTGCAATGAGTCGCCTTCAAGTGCGCTTTACACTAAATTTTATTGCCGTTCCCTACCCTTGTAAATAACTTATCGTATCCTGTCATTTCACGTTTGCTCTTAAATGGTCCACAAATGAAGTAAAAATACCAGTTTGAGGTTGCATCTCGATGAGTTGAGTCCAAACATCCTTCGCCTGTTGCGTGTAGTAGCCTATCTCTGCATTCAGATGCAGTCCGAACACTTCGGGAGTGTTGCTGATGGGCAGAGTGTCAATGTAATCCGTGTAGGTCTCCTTAGTCGGTCTCTCCCCCTTTTCGCCCGGTTGCGGGATGTAGTAGTCTATCTCTGAGTTGTGGAAAAAGTGGAAAGGCTGAAACGCATGAGGAAATAGGCGATCAGTTCAAGTATCCACCCTGATTGAAAAAGGAGGAAACTTCGTAACTATGTAGAATTTTCTTAAATTCATATACATCGAATCAATCCTTCATAGATATATTCGCTAGACACATATGCGGGAAAGTTTTAAGAACATGTATACTTTTTCCGCTTTCATCCATACTTAAAAAGAGCCAACAGGCAGTTGGAAAAGAGTCAAGGAACGCAAGTAATTAGACAAAATATCCTGACTTGTTTTTTGAAAAAATCTCAACTTTCGAATTTGAAAGAGAAAAATAGATAGCCTTAAGGCGCTTGGAATTTCAAGAACAATTCAAGATCGAAATTTCGTTGCTTTTAGCAGTGAATTGATAATTCATTGCTAAAACTAACTGAAATTCGAAAGCAAAAAAGAACTACTCGCTCGAAAATAGACAAAAGTTTTTGATATTTTCGAAAATAGACAAAAGTTTTTGATATTTTTGTTTATTGTTGTTCAAATCACGATAGAAAGAAAATTCGTCGCAAGCGACCATTTGAGCTTTTGTATAAAGCGACTACTTGCAGCACGCGACGGCTCGTAGAGCGACAATTAATAGCGGTAAAAACTTTGATCAGATCAAAAAAAATAGATGAAAGGGTTAAATTAACAAACAAAGAAACTAAAAATCAAAATTGAACGAGAGGCCCTCAAATCGACTGAGAATATATTGTTGCTTAATATTTAAAGAGTTCAACTAATCTGGTTTGGCCTTTTTCGTATTTTGCCAGCTTGGCGGCATTTCCTCTTACCAGTTTTTCTAACTAATTGGTTCGCCGATAGACTTTGTTCTTTTCTCAGGAATTAGATAAATTGATTAATGGTAAGGAAGGTCCCATGTCATCCCTAGACCGAATTGTTGGTTTTTGTCTTCCATGTTTTGCGTTTTCGATATGATTCTAGAGCGAAATAGGTAATTTCCCAACCAAACTACGCCCTCGAAGGATGATTCCAACCAAATTGATTCAAAATAACCTACGCAATGCAGTAAGGGGATTCTTCTTTTTTGTCGGAAATTTCACAGCACAAGGTAGCCATGCCGACTTGAAAGTCGAGCTCAAGTACTTGTGCCAGAGTAACGAATGATTGTAGAACCGTGCGCGTTTTTTTATCATCTCGGTAAACAAAAACTAATCAGATCTCTTGATTTTTGCGCCAATTGACCCGATCAAAAAGAAAGAAGCGACATTTTATACTTACTCCAATGAATACCTTTTGAAACTCGTTAATTGAAGACCTCTGAAAATCGACCACAACCTGTGAGGGCTCAAGTCCTGAGTTGATTTCCATCAATTTTCTGAAGGCTCGGATGTATTGCTCTTCACTGTCTTTTTCAAGAAAAAACTAATGGAACAGTTTGATTGTTAACCATAGCATGAATTGTAAATTTTTGATAAAGTAACGCAGGACATGCTTTAAATGTCTCATCGGCATGCCCGCCGACTGTGTTGTTTTCCAAAGTTCTCATCGGTGGCAAATAATAACATTCGGCCTTTTTTATCCGACCCCGAATCCAAAAGGCAAAAAACATTCCACCTCAAGGTCTGGCTTAGCTCCAAAAGCACGGCAAGGTCTTTAATTGAATAGGCAAGTTAACAACTGTTTCGAGGCTAATATCCCAGCTTTTTCCACTTAAATGATCCTGCGAAGCTAAGACTTCAATGTTGATTTTCTTTACTGTTTGATAAAAACGTTTAATCGTGAAATTTACCAGTTTTGTAGCAGGCCAAGAAAAATTTTTGATCCCCCAAATAATAACCCCAGTCTTTGAAAAAATAGCCTGTTTGTGGGGTTATAAAATTTTTGACCAGGTATGATCATTTTACACCCACTGAAACGCACACCTTGCAGTCACGCTATTTTAACGCTTAAAAACAAACTTTACAATTAGGTATTTCTTAATTTTGAAAGTTTAAGTTTGCCTACGTGTCAAACTTTTCGCCCATTTCAATCATTTTTAATTTCTTCTTCGCATATAACATTTTTTGTTCATTTTCTTCTGAAATGCTGATTAGTTGATCAGCGATGACTGGAATGGAAGCTTCACACGGTCTCTTGACGCATCCGCAACTGGATTTATCAGTTAATTTGTTGTGGAGGTTCAGATTAAAAGTTTCTCCGTCGTGAACAAGTTGCTGTTTTTCTCGCTCACTCATAACAAACTTTAAAAGCATAATGGTTTCAGTAAATCTTATAATTTGGAAGGTAAAATTGAAACGATTGAATTCAAACAAAAGTATTTTAGATGCTACTAACGTTCAATTATTCTTATCTTTACTGTTACCTCATTTCAATTTGATATTTAATTCGAAACTGGTGCTAAAATGAAATATTTGATTGCTCGCTGGATTTTAATGCCCCCACAACTACCGCGAAACCTTTAGCTTAGTTCGCATGGTTTTTAAATCCCCCAATAAGCATTTAACCATGCTGCTAATTCTCGCTTGCTACGAATTGACGCTTGAAGCGAGTTGTCGCCTTTTAAAACAGCTGCGAATTGTCGCTTGCGACGAATTATTGACTCACGCTTTAGTATGACCCATTACTCAACCCACTCTGACAATTTGTTGTTATCTGATGTCGTGTGAAAAAAAATTTAAACACCCGAAGACAAAACTCATCCCATTTTCAATGATCGGAATAAAAACTAACTTCTGTTCATGATGTCCAGACCAAAGTCACATCACTAAAAATTGATTATAATGGATTATTGTTCAATAAAATGCTGTATCTATAATCGATTATAGCAAAATAAAACCTTTACAAACGATTGAAAGACATTTTTAAAGTAGCTTGTTTACAGCAAAAGCCTTTTGTTTGTTTTGCTATTTTTGCAAATCTCAAAAAACTCCCAGGAGGACAATATTGAAACACAGTATCGCTTTGCATCACTCGCGATACCAAAAATAGCATTGCAAGCTAGCAGACAGAAATGAAAAAAAGAGCCTTCAAGTGAAGAAAAAAGACTTTATAGAAAAATTTATGGATTAAGATCCTTCAGGGACAAAAGTTTCGGAAAAACTGCAACAAAAAACTTTAAAACGTTGTCTGGAATGATGTTCTATTTGCTGAAAACACGCTCAGAAGCACATTCAACGGCGTTTAATGAAAATTCAAAAGCAATTACTGAGCGAAAATAAAAATATGAACTGAAAATTCAGTTCTAAGACATTTAACGTTTTGTGCGGCCCGGTGGAAAGCACGCAATTCACGATTCCCTGAGAAGACCCAAAAGTAGGCTAGTAAGTCGATAAAATATCAGCCAAAATCATTTAAGCAAAAAACTTTTCAGCGAAAAAAATATATACGAAGTCAAGGTTAGTAGCATTACAAATTGAGTAAAAAAACATAAAAAAGCAACTACAATGAAAACTGAAAACAATAAAAAATTCTAAGGTTTGGCAACCTATCCGGTAAAACATAAGCTGAAAAATCATAAGCCGACAATTTCTTTGAAACGGAAAATTTCCCGTTTGAAAAAAAAAAAGTTCCTGGTTAGATTCGAATTCAGGGTTTTTGCCGTCCCAGGCGTATTCGTTAACTACAGACTAAGTGGGAAGGAGTCTCTGAGAAACTTGAATTCGCCATGAATCAATATACAAGTAATTCTGTTAAGCAAGTTGTTAAGTGTAATAATCAAATTGCTAAGCTAATTACAAGCGTAATACTCAATTTCTATAAAATTGATTCTTTACTGCCCAAAGCTTTTATTTTCCATGGTATTTCTGCAAAGTTCGTAAAATACCTCAATCTTATAACAAAAAAAAAACACAAAAATAACAAAAAAAAACCCTCACCCAGTTTTAATTTTAACAAATCATTCCAACTTTTGCTCCCGACGAAAGTATACATTTGTTAATTTGAATGAATAAGTAAAAACCCAAATTTTTGCTTTTCATCAAAACACTGACTATAAAGAAATTATAAAAGGCCCAATGGACAGCTGTCTTAGTTTGAATGAGCTCGAAAAAAAAGACTCCAAAAAAAAGAAAGCTGAAAAACTAGACTTAAAAATTTTAAACTTTCGATTTTTAAAGAAGAAAATACATTATGTCATAGCTCTCCTACTTTCAAGTATCACGTTTTAAATTTTTTATTCCGATGGGAATACCAAAAACTAAAAACAAGGTTTTAAGCGTCATTTGCATTTTGTTATTAGAGAGCGTTATTTGCCTTCCATGCAGCATTGTCATTTAGCATTCCACTCTGCAAAAGCCAAACTGCAAAAACCGAAATCAACGATTGCGAAAAAAACGCACGACTTAAACCAGTGATAAATAACTTCGTTCATTAACACTAAATACTGGATTTATTTTCATGGATATCAAGTAATTTCACGAACAAGAAGTTTTTGTCATGACTTTCGAAGAAAACATCGACTATTTTTTATTGCGCTTCATGTAGTTTTTAATTTTGATGATCGAAACTCTAAATTCCACAATGAATTCAGCAGATAAATTGATTCAAACACTGCATTACTATGCGCAAAAGACTTCACTTTGTCCTTGTCGTAGTGAGGAATTTTTAGATGAAAACATCCAAATTTTTCATTTTTCTTCGGTAATTTAATCTTTTTCCACCAAAAAGTACATCAGAGACGTTAAAAGCAATCAAAGCAATCAATTATGTTTGGCTTACGACTATTCTGGTTTAAATGTGGAACGAAAAACTTTTCCAATTTTACATTTGTTGCATAAATGTACTTCTTGTGCTTCCAAAATCATTTTAATTTGCGCTAGTAAACAAAGCTTTCTTCGTGAAGTTTTCCTTGGTAACAACAGCGCATCATCAGTTTTATTAACTCACCAATGAATTAATCATCATACTTACTTGTGTAAAATTTTATAGGTAAGCTGCCTGTTTTCCATATAATTTCGTCCAGCAGCGGATTAAAGGGGGGGGGGGGGGACGCCCTCTCCCCTCAAGGATTCGACCCCCTCCCGACCCAAAGGGTCCCCCCTTTGTACTATTTTGAGATATCAATTGTTGGCTGACTGACCTTAAAATTTTTCTAAAGGCGCCAATCTATACTAATTTTAAGGGGGGAAACGCACGCCGAAAAAACGCGTGCACAAAAACGCCTTTTTCGGAGTTTTTTTTTCAAAATTTGCCGGCGGCGCAGAAAATTTTGTCAAACTAAGGAAGGTCTTTATAGTTATTTGGGAGAGATCAGAAAATCAATTTGGTCGACCTAAAAAAAGGTTGACAAAATTTTCGTAATTTTTTTGAAAATCCGCCCCCTCCTCGAGAAATTCCTAGATCCGCGCCTGATTTCTCCATTAGAGGTTTATCAAGAATGAAGGAAAGCAGCAGATAGCTGAATGATACTTTTTGGATGTTTGGCATACTCTTTTGCTCAAAAACCTTTGACAGTCTGTAGTTCAAATTACCTGGAAAGTGTCGAATATGAAGTCACCCATGTATTCGTCCATGTATGTGTTGAGGATTCTGCGGTCGAACGAGTCTATAGCCCTTCCTCCGTACATCACCTCCCCAATCAGGTATTTCAGACTGTTCCATGGCAACTTAGTGTCTCCCTGCTCCGCGGCTGCAACGAAACAAAATAAACAACGTAAAATAAGTAAGCATGAATAATTTGTCAGCTTTAGCTCAAACTTCATTTTGAAATTTATTCACGAAAAGAACTTAAATCAATTCATTAACTTCTTCGATTTCAAATTTTAAAATAAAAATTTTTGCGAAACTAAACTTATGAAAAAATAATCACATTAATCTCTCGTCGAAAATTTATTAATACAATTAAATATAAATTACAGTTACTAGTATCTTCAATTTATTTCGATCACCCAAATTTTACTGAATAAAAAAATCACTCAGAGCATAAAATATTTGATTTTCCTCAAAAGTCGGAACAATAAGATAAATATTTCACAAAAAAGCTTTTCATTTTTTCAGTCCTTATTATAGCTAGTTTGCTCACCCTTGGTTAGGTATGTGTCAACAATCTGCATGCAGACTTGGAAGTCACTCTCGTTGAAGTCGTAGGGGATGTTCCAGCCCACTTTGCCGTACTTCCTCCTCTCCTGCACCACCGCGTGGAAGAAGGCGAGCACAAACACGAGGGGTCCGAACGAGTCGTGGATCGAGTCGGAGAAAGAGCCGTGCGGGATCTTGAAGAAGGTGCTCCTCAGATTCAACATGAGGCCATTCGGAGGCTCAGTCACCACCTAAAAAGCATTCAATTGAGTGAAGAAAGCTACAGGATCTAAAAAATTTTATTTTCAGGCTGTCTGTTTTTCAATTTCATATAAGCGAACCCCTTAATGTACTGACCTTCATAGACCTCTGCAGAATTCCGATTGGAAAGTCAGGTGTGGGGTCGGTGGTGAGCCACAGTCTGAACTCGGGGTGGGGCTTCGTGATCTTCTCCAGGGCCTTTTCCAGGTCTCTGAGCCACTTGACGAGCAAGTGACAGTTCTGCAGCAGCAGCCACATCCCACGCGCAACACACTGCTCCAACAACGTCAGTGCATTCTGCAACACAGCATATACACAGATTGCCGAAAAAATTTCCAGGCTCAAAATCGCCGACTTGTAGATTTCAAAAACCCTATTAGTTCCGATCATCGATTCGGTCAAAGATGTGCTTCGTGGTTGATTTTCTGCTTCAAATGCCGTTTAAAAAATTAAGCTCAAATGTAAAACTGCTTGAAAATCGTTGCCATATAAGTTAATTGCCAAGTTAGGTTTTGATTATTCTAAATTAAGTTGAGCTGACCTTTTCTTGGCCTTGACCCATGGCGAGCATTTTGAGTTTGCTGGTTCCCATGCCAACCACGTCAGCCAACTTCATCAGGTCATTAGCTGGCTCTGTTCCCGGACTGAGGATGAACACGATGGGAACATTGGGCGAACTCGTTTCAAATATGGCCTTGAAGTTGATCACAGGAGGCTTATTGTACTTTTCACCTGCACAAGACCAACTTAAATATTTCACACTTCATCAAACTTTCGAATTTCAAAATGATTTCATTATGATTATACGCTTGATTATTTTGAATCGAGCCCACGACAGCATCGCTCTTAAAAGATGAGCAGCTGGTTAAAATTTGAAAAACGCTCGTTCAAAAATGTTCATCTTTATGATCAAAAAAGTCAAAACGGTGTTCGGTGTATATTTATTTGTTACTTAATATGCCTGGTGGCTAAAATGAGCAGTCAGAGTAACAAAATAGCCCGAAAAAAGATATAATCGAATATTAGCAAACCCATGGTCTCTGAGACGTAGTCCTGCATCGCCCTGAAAACCCTGTCTACCCGGAAGCACCTCAGCAGCAGCAGTTTCCGGATCAAGCTCAGTCCATTGTAGGACTGCACAGGGAACCCACTCCTCTCAGGCGTCTCCAGCTCATACCACTGTAAAACACAAACTCACAACTCAGATTTCGATCTGAGACTTGCAAACAGTTCTCGAACAGGCCTATTTATAAAAAATAGGGGCAAATTTTGCTAATTCGAAAAAATTTCGCTGCAAAGACAATTTTTCAAGCTAAATTAATGACAAAAATGGCCAAAATTTCAAATTTGCTGCACAATTTTTGATATTTTCTCACTTTATCGAGTTGATCGTAAAAAATTGAAACGTTATCACATTGGCTCGCGCCCGAAACAGATCAAATAAACTATTCATGCTGACTTGAAAAGTTTCCTGATTAATCGTCATACTGTGTTTCATACTTTATACTGACATGCAATGAACTGGTAGCAAACCTGCTGCCATTTTTTGCCGTTGCGTTCGACGTCATCTACGAGTCCCCCGAAGTCTTCCGGGAATACCTCGCCCAGTTTGATGATGTCTTCCCAGCCCTGGTCGGGAAGCCACTTGTGAGTTCTGAGCAAAAAAAAACATTTAAAACAAGGATAGCAGGTTGCTGTGCAAGTAGCAGAATGTTCCGACCGTATTCATAAAAATAGAAAAAAATATATTTTCTCCAAACTACTGGCGGTCGTTTTTGTGGGTGTTTAGATTTGAGAACTACACAATCGCGTAGAGAATAAGCGACTTATGCACGATGAACTTAATTTGTCCACATTTGTCTTTTTTAAAAATTTCTTCTAATTTTTGCACATTACTGTGATTTTTTTTTAGAAAACCCTTTTTGCCAAATAAGAAACATCCAAAACTTGTTTTTTTTTTTAGTAAAATCAAGCTTTTTTATCCTAAAATTTAAACTAGAAGTTAAAATTCCATTTAACTCGAGCGTTACCCGATCGCGGCACTCGCTCGAAATTAGGCTAAATCTCAAAAACTTCAAACCAGTTTTTCTCAACACTGGGACAATATTTTGAAAATATTTTGAAAATTTTTTTATTTTCGCGATTCACGACTGAAATGGCTTTAATATGATATATCTCGAGGATACAGTCTCCACAAAAGCAGCGAGACAACTACAATCGGTGAAACTACAATACTCACTTGGCGCGTTTGCTCTTCTCGAGTGAAATGTTTCCCTTGATGAAGAAGTTGAGCTCTTCTTGGTTCACTTTACCCTCGTTCAGCTCAATCTGAACTGTCATCTGGAACGAGTAAAGCAGCTTGTGCTTCTCAAACAGACCTGAAAAGACAGCCAAGCGAAATGCATATACTTTTTATATAAAGAAAAACCTATTAATTTATGCAAAAAACAACAAAACAAATAAACATTCAATTTTTAGCAGGCAATCAAAACAGCAATTCTCACATTGATTGAAAATTATGCTTCGGTTTATAAGTTGTTGCAAAGTCAAGAAAAAGTTAAAAGGAAAATCAAAAAATTCTAATCAAAAACTTCAAAAGTTTGCTTTAGACCATGTAGGATATTCAGGGCCACTAATATCACCATTATAAAACAATTGTTTTTCATACTGTTTGCAAAATTGGATATGATTAGTACCTGTGCAGGCATAGTTATAGACGTTATAGGTGAGGGTGTCAATGATGTTTCTGAGTCGTTTCTCCAGAATGGAGTCAGGGATACTCTTCTTCAGGGATATTTTGAACACTTCCAGATAATTAGCCAGAGAGTACTGGTACATGGGGTTCACTGTCGCCATGTCCGACAGCACGAAGAACAAAATCGCACCTACAAAAGCACAAAACATATTGGCTATCATTAAGACTCAACATTTGAAGTTATTCAGACAATCACAGGAGAATCCCGACTGCTCAGGCTTGATGTTTCGACAGAAATGCTTGAGCCTAACGTCGCTTTGGGCCACTATTCAAAGTAAAATTTGATTGGAGTCGAACTGCGCAGTCCAAAATGAGGACTAAAAAGGTAAACTCAGTAATACAAAACAAGTTAGGCAAGCAAAACTTGCCTCTTTTTGCAGCTGGTCTGTAGCCATCTCTCAATTTCTCAATATCGGCTGAGGTCCTCACAGCCTCAGTCAGTTTGTCCATCACTTCAGTCGCCTTAGTCTTCGTCTCTTCCAGAGTCTGGACTAACTCTACGTTATCCAACATGTTTCCAGTGGAAGTCGCCAGTTCTCTCAAAAGGGCATCCTCCAGATCCTTCAGGAGTTTTTTGTTTTGGCTAAACTCAAAACATTATTTTGTCAAAATTTGTTTTTGTTCCGATTTTTTTTGTTTACATTTAGGCAAGAAAAAACAAAAAGCTAAAATAAATTCATCATATCCGTTCCAAAAATTTGTACAACTCGTATATTTAAGCTGATGGTGCAATCAGGCGCGGATCTAAGAGAGCGGAAATTCCTAAGTTTAAAATAATTGTTCGAGCTGTTTTTAGGTCGCACAAACTGATTTCAGTTCTCCAAAAACACAATTAAGAAACTATTTCGCTTATTAAGACCCTAAACATGACATGATGTTTAAGGAGACTTTTCGAAGAACTTTGATCAAAAGTTGAGTTTTGCTGACGCGCGTTCCCATCTCAAATTAAGAATACATAGGCTCCAAATGGGCGTTAAGAAAACTTTCGGGGTTGGTCAAATTAAAATTGATATCGAAATTCGATCTCCTGATGTTTGGGTGCAAATCTTACCTTGTCTCTTGGATCAGTCTCTCTCTGTTCTCCTCCAACTCCTTCCGTTCGAAGCCCACAATCACACTTAGCAACTGGTCCTCCAGTCCTTTCAGGGTTACCTAGTGCAATACATACTTGTTCGTCAAATGAATACTTTCTCGAATACCTTCTCATAGAGTTTTAATATCAAAACCTTTCTCATGGTGAAATAAACCAAGAGTTTGAAAAATTGCATGCAAGTAATAAATGCAAGATTTAAACATTTGAACGCGGTTTTCTTTCGAAAGTTTGAGAGGTGGATTATTTAAAACTTTACTTCAAATGTGCGCTTTAAAAACATCGTCGAGTTAGAGATTCACAACATACCTGGTAGTTGATGACCATGCTCTTTCCGAAGTGTGAGGGGGTGAGTTTGGGGTTGGGCAGTTTGCTAGTTAAATACAGTCTGAAGTTCGGGTCATAGTCAACTTCTTTGTCGCCCAGCATGATAAACTCCCGACCAGACGCTCCTGATAAATCACACAACTCTTGTTATGACACGGGAAAATAATACTTCGAATTATTCACAGGCACGCACGGCAAATTTTTGTCCAACTGCAGCTTATTCTTTCAAAATTTGTTAGAACATTCTAATCGAATTCTGTTACTCTATTTTCTTATCCCGTAAGAGATTATGCACGCTCGGTTGCAGTAGCACGCATCAAATAGGGCATTGCAAATGAGAAACTATGCTAGTTTTGTAAGATTTTAATTTATCGGTGATAATTGCAGATGGCCTTAATAGAACCTGAATGAAATTTTAGGACATGAAATTTAAGCGTGATTTAAGGTGATTTTGCATCTTTCATGAATTTATTAACTAAGGTTGAATTTTAGGAAACTTGATAAATAGCACTAATTGATGATGACTTGCTATACCCTTTGGAGCTTGCGATCGGTTGACGTAGCCTCGCACTATAAATACCAAATCCATGAATTTAACTTGCCTTGACTTGTTCACAAATTTAGAACTCATAGCTCTAAATTTATTGATTCCAAAAAATTCATGAAATTGCTCGAAAAACAAGTTTCTCGAAGGAAACTGAGTAGATTTTTCAATTACATAACAATAACTGTAAATAAACTCCACACTCTTGAACCTTTAATATTCTTTTCCAGTACATTATCGATGACTGGATCCAGGTACTCATCGCAGTCCTTGAAGAGAAAGGGGAACCCGTATTTGATGGACATCTCTAGGTGTTTCAGGAAGTCGGGGTCGTTCATGGTGCATATCTTGAGGTTGTGGTCTGCCTCCTTGCTCTTGATCCAGCTGATCGCTTGTTCCTGGGGATCAATGCAGTAGGGGAATCGGCTGGCCTGTGTGGTCAGGATTCCGTTCTGGATCGAAAGCTCATCCGGTGGGAGACCTTCAGAGTTCCACCTAAACAATCAATTCAAAGAAAAGTTGCCAAAATTTGGATACATTTTTTTCGGAACAAGACAAGAAAAAGCATAATTTTTAACTTAATTAAATGCAGTCAAATATTTGAATATCCGTCGCTTAAATTAAGACTGACATCACTTACTTGCTGATTTCTACATCATCCGTGAGGAGCTCCTCCAGTTTGAACGGCTCAGTCATCGGAATGTCGGCTTCTCTGATCTTCTGCTGCCAGTCCTCTTCGAACGCTTCGTTCCTGAAGTCCACATTGAATGCTCCCAGGTAACTGAGGAAGGCAGCGCCCAGCAGACAGTCGCCCAGAAGTTTCACTCGTTTCACTTTCAAATCCGCTAAGTCCTTAGTCCATCTGCGATCAAATATGAAAATTTTAAGATACTAGAGGCAAACTTGTGTAGAACGTCTTTTGTCGAACACTTCAAAACTACAATGCCAACGCAATGAAACCTAAAAATTACCTGAAAAATTAGCCATCTCACCCATAATACCAGCAAAATTTTCTTACAAAATATTTTTTGCGATGGTTTATATGGTTGGTAAAGTTTGGGCTACAATAACACACTACTCGTGTTACTTAACAACCGAAAACGGAATCGATAAAACTTTGAAGGCATTAATTTCATACCACTGTTGAGCAATTAGTAGAAATGAGTGCATGCAACTTTGTTTCACTCACCGTTCGTTCTCGCTCGACAACCCACTGATCAGTTTATCAGCGGCTATCAGTCGACGCTGCATTAGATCGGCCTCTTCCTTCAGAGCCTCCTTTTCAGCCATCGCTTCCTTGTATTGTGCACCCAACTTCTCTAATTGATCTTGCAATGTTTTCACCTGAAAGTCAAAAAATTTTAAGCAAAAATTTTACTGAAGAAAGGAACTCCAAGATTATTAGTCCCATACATTAGTATTTCCAATATCTTCTTCATTGTCATTTTTTTCACGTATTTTGCATGGTGTTTAAATTTTCGCCGCTAGGTAACTGTAAAAACAGGGAGATTGCTAGAACAGCTTTTAGCTAACGATTCTTGCTTGTGTCTACCGACTCTTTAATGTGTTCGAGAACTGTTTCTATGAAGATATGGTTTAACGAGCAAGAATTTCTCAACTTTCTAAACGGTCATTCACTTTTCAACTCGTTGCTCTCTATAACCATCAGCCATCGGTTTATTTTGGTCTAATAGATATTTTAGCAATGGATAATAGTAGCATCTTACCAGGTTTCATTTTTTAATGAGCATGATTTTGGTGAGATAGTCAATATACTAATTATATCAGAACAGTTGAGGTGAAATTGCACAAGGTCTACCTCTTTCTCAGTTTTGTCCAGACTGCGTTTGGCCTGTGCAAACTCCTTCTCCAGGTTGGCCACCAGGTCTCGCTTTGGCTTGATCTCCCTGGCCACTTCGCAGTAGCCGATGACAGCCGTGACGAACTTGTACAACCCTGCACCCGCCTTCGAGATCTGCTTCATCTCGTCGTATGAAGTGTCCATCGTTTTCAGAGTCGCTTTCACTGTTTTCATCTGAAATCAATTTTTTAAACTTTTAACCATAGCCTCTCCTCCTGCAACCGCCCCCTACCCCTCCTGCTCTTTCACAGCATTCATTTATATGCTCCGACTAGTTAATTTTTTCTTCCCATCTGAGTTCCCATTGTATTAAAATTTTGCATGGTAACCAAATTAACCGTCACGGAATAATCACTACTTAATTCCCACCTGGTTTCCAGTGATGGCGTCCACATCCATCGTTTTCAAAGACATCAGGAAGTTTGGATCGGACATCATGGCTTTGGCACTTTTCCACGAGATCTCTTTGATGTTACGCACCACAACTACACACTCACACACACTCTGCACTGCTTTGGGGGGCTTGGCGAACGAACGGATCTCGGTGACGTCATTCTTGTCCAGGTCGTCCAGTGCCAGTCTGGCTGCTTCCAAGGCAGGCAGTGCTTCAGCCAGCGCATCCTCTGCTCCTTTCTGGAACACAAATTGTCTTAGCATAGGATTAGAACCAATGCACAATGAAGATAACTAAATTTTATGTTAGCCAAAACTTTGAAGAACTAATAAAAAAAAGCAACTGATTATTCTTGTAGAGTTTATTCAGTTCAGTATTTTTAGGAGGTCTTCATGTCAAGTTTATGCCAAGGGTTTTGCTCTGTCGGAGATTTTTAAACATCTTAATACCATTGATTATAAATCGTTTTTTTTTGCGTGAAGGATCACTTTTTGACTGACAATTTCCTGCTGATAATTTCAGAATATTACTTTGGTGGAAGGGTGGAGTAATTCTTAATAGCTCGAAATTTGTAAGGATATCCGTTACTATGTGGTATATAGCGAGGGAAAATTCTTAAGAAGACATCTGACTAATTGTTGCCAGCTGACCTTTTCGACGGCGATGACTTTGCTCTGCTTCTCGATCTCCTTGGCGGCCACTTCTGCCGAAGCCTTCTTCACGTTGGCAGTCTCAGTACTAGTCTCAATGGTGCCCACCAGCTCATCGCACTCTTTCGTCTTCCGCTCCAGAATGACCTTCTGAGTGTCCAGCTTCTCACTCAGTACCGCCAGCTGCTCTCTCGCCTCTTTGATCTTAGCCATACCAGACTCAAGACGTTCACACTATGACAAATAAACAATACAAATTATATTAGCCAATCAGAGTTTAGTACACAGAGGCGAAGCGGAGGCTATACTCATGACAAAGAGTCTTTAGTTGTCACGTTTTCGTTCAAAAACTGACCGTTAATCTAACTTTTTTGCCATTCTCTCCTTGCGTCAAAAGAAGCAAAAGAATTTATTCCTGCTTCAACGTTATGCTGCTAAGGGGCAAACCCTTGTGGCAGAAGAAACGAACTGGGAGTCCAGTCAATATAATAAATACCTTTTTTCAAAAATGCTTCAGTCAATAAATTTGAACTCCCTCGACACGCACTAAATGTTGAGGCTTCCAAAACGTTTTTTTTTGTAAAAAAGGTAATGTAAAGGCTTTCAGGTCATTAGAAGTGTCAAGCATTTTGATGACACTTTTTTAATATTACCATTGTAACAAATACTGGCCATTATGTAAAACGCTTGGATCACCCCCCCCCCCTCCACGCAAATTGGACCACAAATGTGAATTTATAATGAGTTCCGTGGTAAAATGCACTCACCTGTCCGACAACCAGCTTGTCCTTGTCAATCAACAGTCTCGTGTACGATGAAATGTAATCCAGATAATTCTTGGGAGTCACGTAATTGGGTCTCCTAAGTCGCGCCAAGAACCTTGCACTGTAATCTGTCAAACTCAAGTGCGTGGTAACTACATGTTCAACCACTTTCGGAAACATATCTTCAACAATTAAGTTGTTGTTCTGGTTCAAGAAGACAGTAGCCACAGCATGCAGGGCCTGTTTGGGCCACGGTTGGAACCAATCGATGCTGGTATTGTTCACAAGTCCTGGGAAGTTTCGACACCGGGTTCGCAAGGTATCTCCGACCGGTGACATCGCGAGGACAATGTGCAGGTTGTTGCTGCACTTGGACACGAAGTACTGCCAGATCATTTCCTTCACTGGCGGGACTCCGTTGGACTGTGCTTCTGCGCGACAGTTGCCAACAATAGCTTCTTTCTCGTCATCCGCAAACAGCGCCGGAACCATGCCAGTTGTAAGCATGTTGTTGATCAGTTCGAGAAATCCTAAAAAGGTTGAAATTTGATCAAACAGAAGCAGACATCGCCCAAATTTTAACAAAAATTTCAGGATAAAATGAATCTGATGATCTGGTACTTAACGAAAAAAACAAAGCGGATGATTCAAATCAAAAGCTGTTTTAAAGAGCTGAAGGTGAAGCAATAACTCCGTTTGTTAGGATATTGTCTGAAGTATTGATGATATTTGGTTTTAAAAAAACTGAGCATGATTTTTATTTTATATCTTAACCTTCGTTGTCTGGCCCTTCAGCTAAAAAATAAAATGAGAATGAATAAGTTACAAATAAGTTACAGTTAAAAACTCCGTTTGGATTCGAGAGCTCAACATTAAAAATCAACAAGACTGCTTGTATCAGGGCGAAGCCCTGAATGTTCCGACTGCCTTTTGAGGTTTATGGAGCAGTAATAACAAAAAAAATTAAATGTAATAAAATAAAATGAAATTTTTTATTTTAAATTTGAAATTTTTTTCTGAAAATCATCCTCCCACACGCCATATAAAGAACAAAAGGATAGATTTCGCTCATTGTAACAAATCATTTTTGGCAGATAAGCTTCTTTCAACCACCAACTTGGAACGATTTCTAAGACGGATTAAATCTCCGCTTACGCGTTAATAGCACGAAATATATCGCGCGTTAATTGTCCCAAATTGCAATCTTTAAACCCCCACAACTTAATGGAAAATAGTCACAGGTGAAATATCTTTTCAAATTTAAGCTCAGAACAACAATACCTTTAGAATGATATAAAAAAATTCCGTCAAAAATGGCTAGCTAAAAAGTCGAAATTTGTCTGAAGAAAACAAGACTGCTCGTATCAGGACGAAGCCCTGAATGTTCCGAGTGCCTTTTAAGGTTTATGGAGAAGTACTAACATTAAAAAATTAAATGAAACAAAACAAAATGAAATTTTTTTTTCTTCTAAAATTTGAATTTTTTAAATAAAAGTTATCCCCCCACACGCCATATAAAGTACAACAGGATAGATTTCGCTCCTTGTAACAAATCAATTATGGCAAATAAGCTTCTTTCAACCAATTTGGAACGATTTTTAAGACGGATTAACTCTCCGCTTACGCGTTAATAGCGCGAAATATATCGCGCGTTAATTGTCCCAAATAGGCCAAAATGGCAATTTTTAAAAAATTCCGTCAAAAATGGCTAGTTAAAAAGTCGAAATTTGTCTGAAGAAAAAAAAACCCACCCCGAGCACAAATATTACGTTACTTTCGTATCGAAAGTAAGAACAAAAACCCACCCCGAGCACAAATTATCCGTTACTTTCGCATCGAAAGTCGGAACAAAAACTTTGTCTTCAAAACAAAAGATTTTAAGTTTTAATTCATAATCAAGCGTAAACATTTCTTGAACAATATCCTCCCTATTTATGCTCAAAAGGAAAATTTTAAAGCTCAACAACCATTTTCTTCAGTCTTCAAAACATTGTCGTGTTCTCTCAGATAAACCTCCTCGGCACGTGAAATAAATCAGTGGAAGTCAAAATAATATTAATTTTACATTGGCAGTTTTAAATCATTGAAACTTTGGGTTTCTCAGCAACAGGGTCAGTTTTAGTTGGTGGTCAGACTCCTCCTTTGGTCCCCCTTTGGTATTTTTTCAGACATATATTTTTGGCTGACTGACCCTAAGATTTTTCAAAAGACGCTTTCGGTGCCACTGTATACTAATTCTGATGGGTAGCGCGCGCCAAAAAACGCGGTGTTTTAGTCAAAAAGTTTCATTAAGGAAAGGATGAAAACGGCTTTGTGACCTGTTTTTTCAAGAATTGGCTGGCGGCGCAAAAACCTTTGTCAAAATACAGTCTTATAGTGCAATGTGGAGAAATTCACGTTGTCAGAAAAGTTTGAACAAATTAAAAATTTTGCATTTTTATCAGTTTGGGTTAAATGCTCGGCAAGGTTAGATAAAAAAGATCGGCTGATCCCAATATAAACTTATTTTTTTTTAAATTATCAACGTCAATTTTTGTCTGCATATGTGTTCATTTTCGTTTTATGTAGGTTATTTTAAAGTCCAACTGACCCTCTTGTGCGACGTGTCCATCTGTGAAGAGGAACATCATCTTCTTGTCCTCCTGGCCCAACTTCTGGTACAGAATCTTGAGGTCCTCTCTGAAGTTGCTCTCATCGTACCCTCTGCTCAAAGTGATCTCAAACACCTGACAACCTACAATGAACGCCAAGTATGTTAAAATAAAGACAGCAGGATGACGTGGTAGAGAATGTATAGCTTCTCAAGAGTGCTTTCGCTTCTGTTGGAACATTTTATGCGAATAATTCCCGAAGCCCGGGCATCTCCCGCAGCTCAAGTTTGGCCAGACCAAAGTTTGTCATGCGGACTATTCTCACGGCAGAAGGTTTGAAATACAGATATTTTCCAATCAATTCAAATCTCTAGATTGTCCAAAACTGTGACTCAATTATCACTTTGTTTTCAAATTTCGGAGTTTTGGTGGGCTGATTTAATTTTCTGTAATTCGGTAACGGAAAACTTAAATCATCTGCTTAAATGAAAATAGTTAATTCACCTGCTGTGAAAGCAGCTAGTCTAGACAAAGACTGTTTTCCGGACCCTCCCACTCCAACTAGGAGGGCGTGTCCCTGGTCCATCCGGATGACTCTGTGGATCCTGGTCAAGTGTTCCAGGGCATCGTCGAACAAGACCAGGTTCATGGTAGTGTATTGTTCATTGTACTCCTCGAGTAATGATTGGAAAACTGCTTTCGATGAATCGAAATCCTATATTGGAATAAGTTTGGGATAATAATTATGGCTTGCATCTTTATGGCTTGCATCCAGTTTTCATGTGATCACCAGTTGAAACAACTTTCTATTTACAAGACTATAAAAAAGGTAAAAATTTTGATTGAACTTCAACAAATTAGACGCTTTAATTTTAGCCGATTGTGGGAAAACTTCATATGAAAGGTATAAAGAAAAAAACTCTAGAATCTAATTGCTGACATAACAGTTTCGGCAAAAAGCATACTTGGACGTCCTGGTAGAGTCTGGGCTCTCCCTCGTCCAGAGCAGTCATGTAGTCTCCGAAGAGGATGGGATCCTTGATGGCGTAGTCGAGACTGGACTTGAAGTTCTCCTCTATTTGGGCCTTGATCAGTCCTCCGACTATCTCTTTGTCGTGTTCGTTTATCAGTCTGTCGTAGTACACTCGCATGCACTCATTGCGCCACACTCGCACAAATTGTTCCTTCGTAGTGAACCTAAAAAGAAATTAGTGATTAATAAAACATGTTACTTGTGAGGGAGAGTCAACATGCCCAGCATAGAAGATAGCCAAAAAAGGGCATGCAAATCTTAATCGGAGGTTCAAAAGCCGTTCTTTTCTAAGAACCAAACTATTTTGTTTCCCAAGATGAACAGTTTTGGACATCAAAATAAACAGTTTTACATAACAAACTTCGTTGTTTTATTGACCCAAAAGAATTGCAAACAATTTGGCAGTAATTATATATAATTGAAGCTCACTTTTCGCTTGTGATTTGACACAGCCCGTGATAAATTCTGGACAAATCTCTCAGATTGAATATGTAGTGGAACTTGGAGGGGGTTGGGGGGAGGCTGTTGATTACTAATTTGTATATAGCCATCGTGCTTTCTGTGATTTTTCCCGCGCAACTTTGGATATCCTCAGAGAAATTCTGGAGGTGTCCGTCCAAGATTGAGAGGTAGATCCTACGGAGGGCATCGTCCGAGGGGAATGTGATGTTGAAGACGTTAAAGAGGGTGATGAATCGAGGATCCACCTCATTACGACCACCTCCAGGCTAAAAAAACATCAAGTAGGTGAAATAATCATAAGAGATTAAGATATCAGGTGGGCACCAGCGGATTTAGGGGGGGGGGAGGAAAGACGTTCCTCCTCTCAGGGATTCGACCCCCTGCCGACCCAAAGGGTCCCCCTTTTTCCTTTTTTGAGATATCCATTCTTGGCTGACTGCCCCTAAAACTTTTCTAAAGGCGCCTTGGGCGCCAAATCCTATTAATTTTGAGTGGGGAGCGCGCGCCAAAAAAACGCGATTTTTTGGTCAAAGATTTCAAATTTTTTAAATGGTCGAAAAAGTCTAAAAACGCCTTTTTGGCGCAAAAAATTTGGTCAAAAAATGGGGTCTGGTGACTTGGGAGAGCTGAGAAAATCAATTCGGTCGACCTAAAAAGAGGTCGACAAAACTTTCGACATTTTTTAAAAATCCATCACCCCCCCCCCCCCTCTCGAGAAAATCTTAGATCCACCCTGCACAATATTATTATGTTTTTTTAGAAAACCTTTTTTACCAACTTATTTTGAGTGGGAAGCGCGCGCCACCAAAAAAACGCGATTTAATGGTCAAAATTTTCCAAAAAGTGCCTAAAAACGCCTTTTTTTGCCTGTAGCGTAGAAAATTTGACGAAAATGGGGTCTTTATAATGATTTATGAGAGCTCAGAAAATCAACTTAGTCAACTTCAAAAACGTCAAAGGTCGGCAAAATTTTTGAAAATCCGCCCCCTCCCCCCTCGAGAAAATCTTAGATCCACCCCTGCAGGTGGGTGTTCGGCTTTTACCATGAGCTTATTTCAGTTTCGACACAATCAATTTTTGCTGCCTCATTTCACTGCGGATATCAATACAAAATAGATTCAGGTTTGGATCTCGAGCACGACTAGGACTTTAATGAATGTAAAATGAATGTAAAAAAATTGTAATCGAATAATGCAGTTAGCGCGAGCATAAAATTGATTAAGAAGTGAAATGAAGTAAATTAAACCGACTTTTCCCATTGCGGCTAGGTAGGATATGTCACGGAAGTTCTTTAGGTTGAGGTCCTTTCCTCTGTCGTACATGAATCCCTTCTCCACAAGCAGCTTCAAAAGAGCAATCGGCTGCTGAGTACCATAAGTGTCGACCTACAAAACAGAAAAACTTTGATCGTCGACAATCACAACAAGAATAGCCGGTTGCTGCTGTGCAAGTAAAGTAGCACAGAATGTTCCGACCACTTTCAGAAAAAAAACTTAACTTTTTTCTTCAAGATAGTGTCTTGCTTGTACGTCGTGTGATGATACAACTATACGATCGCGTAGTAATTTAGTGAAGTAGGCATAAACAAATCCAATGTTTTTCAAAAACAAATAAATATAAAAGAAAGAAAAAACTTTTCGAAAAACTCGTTTTTAAATTTTTCAATTTTCTGCACTAAAAATTTTAAATATTTTTGAAAGATGTTTTTTTTTGCCAGAGAAGAGCTAAACAAATTCCCGAAACTAGTTTTCTATTTAGTAAAATCAAGTTTTTTTTAGCTTAAATTTTTTACTCCCTTCGAAAGTAGACAAAAAATCGAAAATTTCATTCGGTTTTTCTCGACTCGGTTTTTGTTTGAATCACAATTAGCAGGGATATAATATGATATATCACTCAACCCTGTCTGATGCTTATTTGTGATACCTGATTTTGCGTGGAAAACTAAAAGAAAAAAAACTATATTCGAAAGTTTCCTCCCCATTTTCAATGGTCGTAACAATAAAAAACGAAAACATACAATGACAAAATTTGGTCCCATTTAGGCTGGAGTTCGAAAACTGTGCAATCTGCGAGTAACTTTTTAATTTTATAAACTTTTTTAATTTTATAAATTTTATTACTATAAACGCTTATTTTATCCGACAAAAATTAAAAAGAAAACTCAAATTTACTGTGCCGGCCACATACTCAGATATTTTTTCAAGTTAGTGTCTTTTCTTCTACGTCGTGTGATGATAGAGCTATACAGACGCTTAGAAATTTAGTGAATTAGACACAAACGACTATAATTGTCTTCAAAAAAATCATAAGCAAATAAATTTTAATTTGTTTTCAATTTTTTTGCTTTTAAAATTTCAACCCCTTTCGAAAGATTTTATTTTGCCAAAGAAGCGTAATAAAAAGCATCCAAAACTTTATTTTTAGTATAATCATCAAATTTTAGCCTAAATTGGTAATTTTCATACGTATTTTTCATACGGTGTTTCTCGACATTAGAAAAAAGGTTGGGTTTGTTTAAATGTGGTTCGAATCACGACTGAAAAGGTTTTAATATGATATATCACTCAACCCAGCCCGATGATTATTTGTGGTATCTGATTTTGCGTGAAAAACAAAAGAAAAAAACTAAACCACGCTCGAATACAAAGTTACTCCCCATTTTCAATGATCCCCTTTGTCTTATTTTGAGATGTCCATTTTTGGCTGACTGACTCTAAAATTTTTCTAAAGGCGTCTTTGGCGCCATAATATATTTATTTTGAGCATGGAGCACGCGCCGAAAAAACGCGACCCTATAACGCCTTTTTTGGCCTGTTTTTTTTGAAAAATTTTCCTGCGGCGCAGAAAGCTTGGCCAAATGAAGGTCTTTTTAAGGATTCGGGAGAGCTAAGAAAATCAATTTGGTCGACCGTCGACCTATAAAAAGAAATTTTCGAATTTTTTTTTGAGAATCCGCCCCCTCACAACCCAACCCAACCCAACCCCCCCCCCCCCCCCCCCCCCCACCCCACTCGATAAAATCCTAAGTGCGCCCCCTGTGCTTAACCATTGAATTATATTTAATATTTTTATATTTTTATAGGCTTAGAATTTTTTTAATTTGGTACCATAGGGCAATTTGGTACTATAAGGCAATTTTTTAGGGTCTCACCTGAGGCATGTTCATGTCATCTATGAATACCATCAGTCTCTTCCCAGGCGGGGGCCCATAGGAATCCTTTGTCCTCTTCTCTACATTGGCCTCCATGTTCCTCTGCACGTCCATGCTGGTAGTCCTCGAGCTGAAGTTAATGTTCAACAGCAGATGTGAGTCGGTGTCCAGAGTCTTCAACCACGCTTGAGTCGTGGCAGTCTTACTCGTTCCTGATTCGCCAACGAACAAAGTCGGTCGCTTGATTTTAGACTAAAAAACGACAAAAAATGTGATACTAAACATATATACTTTACATCTGACGTGCCAAGTTTACATGCTTTCACGCGTCACGCATTGATGGTAGCATTTAAATGCTTACTGCCATTGACAAACAGCAATTTTCATACAGAAATAATACTCACAGATCCCTGGCGATCCTATGCAAATAAAAAACAACATGTTGCAGACAATTCATTTCAGAAGTTCTAAAGCGCGTGGATAAAACGATGATCAGAACGCAATTACTTACTGTGACCTGCAGTATAAATGAGAGCTATTACAGATTGAAAAAAAAAGAAACAAAAACAAACCTAGATTAAAAAAATCTAGCTAAATATTAAATATATAGTTTTTGGGAAATATAAAACAGATTGGTCAGGGGTTTTGTAGATTTGTGGTTAAAATGAACTCTTTTGTCTACTTCATTCGATAACAAAAAAAACAAGACTGCTCGTATCAGGGCAAAGCCTTGAATGTTCCGACTGCCTTTTCAAGTTTATCGAGCAGCAGTAACATAAAAGAACTTAATGTAAGAAAAAAAAATTTCTAAAATTTGAATTTTTTTATGAAATCATCCCCCCACACGCCATATAAAGTTTAAAAGAAGGAAAAAAAGTTGTCTGAAGAAAAAAAACCCACCCCGAGCACAAATATTCCGTCACTTTCGTATCGAAAGTCGGAACAATAACTTTTCAGACAGAAATAAAAAGTTTGAAAACAACTTAAGGTAGAAAAACCGCTAAAATAAACAAGACTGCTAACTTTAAAAATCAATTGTTGAAACCTGAGCCGTGTATGGAGTTAAAATCAATTAGCTGCCTCAATTCAAATTGGAACGATTTTAGAGTTATGCGTACTCATGTCAGGTACTAGTGTTGAGCAGAACCGGCTGACCGAATGCAGATCAAGAGATCGATCCCCCGAGGGACCAGAGTTTAGTAAAAGTGGTTTGAATTTAAAAAAAATCACCCCGACCATATATATTCCACACTTTATTTGAAAGTCAGAACAACGAAAATGAAAAATGACAAATTTTTATAATACAATAAGAAGACTATCAAACGACGTGTATTCACTTATTTTTCAACACGTGAAATGAACGGAGTTCAATCGTTTAGACTCACATTGACGTCCAGTAGCCAAGTGGATCTGACGGTGTCTGAGGTTGGGACTAGAATGTTGTTGAAGCGCACATTGTGGTCATGGATGTACTTGGGCACCAGTTCACTCCACGGAACCCACTTCCTTTTCTCAGGGTGGAAGTGGTACTCGTACACAGTCGAGATAACACCTAATGTCAAACATACTTAAAGTCACTTTTTTCTAAGCGAAATGGTATTTAAGTTTGAATGGATTGTCCTTTTTCTTCCAAAGCGCCAAACGATATCTAAGTTTGTAATAATTCTTCCAGCAAAGTTGCCCAAATAATTTCCGGACATGTAATTTTCATTTAAAGAAATTTTGACACAAAAGCCAGGCCGCACTTTGCAAGCACAAACAAAAACGCAAAAAATGGCAAAAAATGCTAGAAAGAACACAAATATGCATTGAAATATAAAGAAATATAAATCAATTTCAGAATAAAAAAACTCTGAGTCTGCGAGATTTGATCTCTGACCTTCCCATCATAACTATTTTGTATTTCAATGAGTCATTATTTTTGAATTAATTAAATAAAATCAAATCAGTTTTTTTTGGTAGATTCAGATATAGACTTGCCTGGTAATTCTCCTGGTCCCGCATACTTCTTTTCGTCAGTGTTGACTGGCATCGCTGCCATGTATTTCATCTGGTTGTCAAACTTCTCTCGGCCGGCTTCCATCAAAGCGCCTCCCATGGACCAGTAAAGCGCCTCCACAAAGTACATTTCAAGCTCAGATGGATCCTGAACATCCTTAGGCACAATTGCATCTAACATTTGACATAATTGTATGACCAAGTTCAAGTCGGTCAATGGAATTATCGGCTTAATGGGCTCTCCTTGACGACCATCAACAATTCCCTCTATTATGAACTGGATCAAGCCTGGTACATATTTGTCATAAAATCGGTCAAGGTCTTCTTTTTCAGCGGGGTTCGGCCGGGCATCAACCCATCGTCGCCAATAGGGATCGTATCTCAGATTCTTAGGGTCCACAAAAACCATACCACATCGTGAAACGGTAGCTGGTGAGGCATACTGGAGATCGCCGACTTCGAAGAGCAGCGCACAGTGTTTTTGCAACCTGGAGAAACAAATGACGTCATTCTTGAAAACAATACTAACTCTCTGATTGCCCGTTAAAATTTTCGAATATATTTCTCGATAATTGAAACTTAACTATATGGACCACGACAATGATGACAAACAACCAAAATCACAGCATCGTAGCTGGTGAGGAACGTATTAATTCTGAACCACTACTGCAGGGTTAAAAAAATCAACAAAAGCAAAAACGCTGCAAAACAGAAATAGCTGACCTGATTCGTTCTCCGTTTGCGAGGGTAAGTAGTTTGTTGTCGTCCATGACACTGTTCATGTTCTCCACCCAGAGAGCGTCTACGTCCCCATCGAACAGGATGTACTTCCTCTCATTCTTATCAGTGGGTCTGTTGATCTCTCGGAACACGTTGGACAGCAGTCCGTCTGTCCAGTCTCTCGTCGTCGGGTCCAGGATACCATACAGCTCAATCACACTCTGGGCTGCAAAAAAAAATCAAAATAAGAAAAAATCGGATATTACAAAGACGATTTTTTACATTGTGACAAAGATTTTGAGAGGAACATCGGCGAAACGCTTAGAGTTGCTCATTTAAACTGTACCTGTTACATGGCTTCAATTTAAAAAAATGCCCAGATTGTGTCAAATGGTTTTCTCAAGGAACAATTGCTGTTGGAAAACAAATGTCTCAAACTTAATCTTAACATAGATTGTGACCCCGACTGACCTTTGGCATTCATAATGTGCACTTTGGTGGGGATGTTTAGTTTGGTCTGAGACTGGCAGAGAGTGTTGATCACCACAGACTTTCCTCCACAAGTGGGACCCACTATCATTGTTGTATGACGTGTCATCATAGTCTCGTACATTTGGACTACTTTGTCAACCTAAAATTACCAACTTGAACATCAGCAAGATACAAATCAGGGGCGGATCTAAGATTTTTTGAAGGGGAAGGGGGCAGATTTTCACAAAAAAAAAATCAAAAATTTTGTAGATTTTTTTGGTCGACCAAATTGATTTTCGGAGAGCTCCCTGGCAATTCTTTGAAAAAAGAAAACACAGGTAAAAGATGCCGTTTTTGAGCACTTTTTGAAAAATTTGACCAAAAAATTGCAATTTTCTGGCGAGCACTCTCCTTCAAAATTTGTATATATTGGTGCCAAAGACGCTTTTAGAAAAACTTTAGCGTTGGTCACCCAAAAATAAATGTCATAAAATCAAATTAAAGGGGGGACCCTTTGGTTGGTAAGGGGTCGAATTCATCCAAAAAACTATGAACAAACAGCATGATTCCGAAGAATAAAACGGCTGAAATAAAAAATAGATAGTTTTTTTTGTCATTTTTGCCACAGCTATTTTTCGACGCTTAGGTCATTTCATTAATTACCTACTCCCATTCTTTCCTGCGAGTGCAATCATTAGTTCCAAAATTGTGCCAACCTAATCTGCTACACGTGCAACTGCGTCTCTTACCTGTGTCTCCATGAGGACGTATCTATTCTCGGCAAGTACTGCCTCCACTGCATCATTGAACGAGGGATACCTCACTCGGGGACAGTCCAGTCCAGGGAACAAGTCATTGATCAGACCCAGAAACAGAGGTACGTCCTCGTACACGAACCTATTGCATAAAAAGGGCACTAGATATTTTAATTGGTTTTATGGGTATCGTAAACATTTTAAAAAAATAATGGCACAAAGAATTTGTTTAAATTTATTATTATATTAAAAATACTATTAAAATTCTTAACCACTTTTTACAAAGCTCAAAAGTGGACGGTGGCTAAGTATAAAAATAGTCGGTGAACAAGTGAGTTTTCAAAAGTTTCTTGAAATCGATCAAACTGACTGCTCGTTTAACACTGGTGGGTAACTTTTTCCATAAAACAGCACCATGGCGAGAAAACATCCGCCTGCCGAATGTATTTCTGATAAAAGGCTGTACAAAATTGAGAAAACCCTTCTTCTAGAGGAATAAGAATAATCTTTGTAAAATAGTTCTGACAGATAGTTGGGAACTCTGTCCGCATTAATTATACGATACATGAACATAAGCACTTTCCTCTAAACTGTTGAATAAAAGACTCTGTCGAATAAAAGACTCTGTAAGCAGACTGAAACGCGCTCAAACTGGGAGCAAGTGCAAATCGTGCAAATAAGGCTTAACATCCACTCTTCTATTAAGTCTGAACAGAAGCCTAGTGCACGGATTCTGAACTCGCTGTAACTTATTAAGAAGAAATGAAGGTAGCCCAGAATACAGAGAATTGCAATAGTCTAAACAAGATAAAACTAGAAGGATAACAAGGCTGCGAGTAAAATCGAAGCCTGAATGCCGTGAAAGTGATTAAATCCGTCTCAGTTGATAATGACGTGATTCACAGACCAAGTTAATTTGTTTTTCAAAGGTAAAATACTGGTCGAGAACAAACCCAAGACTACGGAAGTGAGTTGCCACATCTAGGCACTCGTTCGCTAAAACAACTTGATCAGGAATTGTGATTCTACTTCTTCTTGAACGGACAAACATGAACTCGATTTTGTCTTCATTCATTTTGAGATTCATACTAGAAAACCACTCGTGAACTCTGTATACCACTTGCTGTGCTTTCATAGTCCCCGCTTCAACGTTGTCAATAGTAAAATAAAGTGTACTGTCCTCTGCGTAAATGTGATAGTCAACATCAATTTCATTCAGAATATCACGCAATGGAATGAGATAAATAGAGAACAAAAACGGCCCAAGTACAGAACCCTGTAGAACGCCTACTTTCAGTTTGATATAATCAGAAAACACGCCATTGATAAGAACACGTTGCGTGCGGTCACTTAGGTACGACTTGATCCACGATAATGCTTTCTTTTTTACTCCGAGCCTATTCTCGTGTATGTCACACAGTTTAGAATGATCCACTGTATCAAAGGCAGCACTCAAGTCGAGAGCGATAAGAACCACAAACTTCTTCTTGTCAAGTGAACAGAGGACATAATGCGTATCATCGTTCGTAATGCGCATCATCTGTTGAATGAAAGACTCTGTAAGCAGACTGAAAAGGATCGAAAGCATTGTTACTTTCCAAGAAAGTTGTGAAACGCTTAGCCACAAGCTTCTCCAAAACGTTCGCAAAAAAATGATTGTTGGTGACGGGTCTATAATTCTTGAACACTTCAGGGTCAGCATTGGTTTTTCTAAGTAGTGGGATGACTGTACCACTTTTCAGACATTTCGGATAAGTACCAGAAGTAAAACAAAGGTTGGATAGGTAAAGCAGTATCGGCAAGAGAATAGATTTCATTGACTTAAGAAGCTTTGTTGGTACCGCCTGAAGTGGACACGACGTGTACGTGACATCGTCGAAAGCTTTTGATAATTCCAAGTCAGAGACGCTTGGTAAAACATCGAGCTGAAGCTCTTGCACTGGATGGTTGAAAAGAACTGAAGTTACAGGAACTCCTTCAACAAGATTGTCTACATTCGGCACAAAAAATTGGTTAAATTTTTCACTTGAGACTTTTCATTGAAACCAGTGGGTAGCAAAAAAGCATTTTTGCCAAAGGATGTCAAGTGCTTGATACTTTTTCTTGATGTCTGAGTTCCGCATCAGGCTTTTATAAAAGAGTTTTTGTTTATCAAAAAACATAGTGTTCATTTCCATCGACTTGGCGCAAAACTCGGCTAGAATCGTAAAAACACTTGCGATTTTGTCACTCAGCTTTTTTCCCCCTTTTTTGCGGTTCTCAGTTCATCATCGAAGTAGGGGCAGGTGTGCTGTGAAAAAAAGCTCTTTTTCTTGGGAGCCAAGGAGTCGGCAACTTCATCTAAACAAAAAAGCAAGATTGAAAATGAATCGCTGCAATTCCCGGCGTACACCATTTTTTAGTTGATCAGAAGGTTGAATGTATTGCTCAAACTTTCCAAGGTAATGTTCTTCCACTGCCTATAAACAACTGTTTTCTTTGAGACTGAAGTTTGAGTATCCGTGGGGTAATTAAAATTAATGCAATTGTGGTCGCTTGCAATTTCATCATCAACAAAAATATTCGCAGGAGTATAAGTTGAAATAATCAAATCCAATGTATGACCGGATACATGAGTTGGTTGTGATGTATGTGCTGTTCAAGGCCGGCTTCAGAAAAAACAGAGAAAAGTCGTCACCACCCCCTCGTATATCCTCACGGGAACAGCTGATGAACTTATATTCTTCTGGGCAGCACTGAGGTCCAATGAAATCATCATCGTCGTGGGCCAACCAGGTTTCAGTAACTGCAAACGCATCTGGGCAATGCAGCATTAGATAAGCATGAAAACGATCTATTTTGTTCTTTATTAACCTTGCGTTAAACAGGCTGATATTCATTGCATTGTTTAGTCACGCTGTATCGGCTCGATCCACACGCCGTAGTTTTTTCAACCATTCTCTAGCTTCATCATTCAACCGAAAGGTTTTTATGAGAACATTTTCTGGCCAAAAATCAGCACTTTGGATTTTGTCCTTCATCGTGTTTTCAAAAAGATAGTGGAAGGATTTCACCTTTGATTCTGGGTTGGACACCACGCGAACTGCAACCGGCTTTGCCACTTGATTGGAGCAATATTCGATCAAGTCCTCAGGAGAAGCTGAGGGAGCAAAGCGTGTAGCAAAGATATGCCATCTAGGTGGTGGTGGTGGCTTCGGTACACCGAACAGAGTACTCGAACTATCATTTTTCTACGTTCCATTCATGAGACCAGATTCTCTGTTGTTTATTCCTTGTTTGCTGTAGTCATCTTCTCTCAGTCTCTTCGCTTCCTGAGATGCAGAGCTGTTCATAGAAGTTGTGCTGCCATGTCGCGACCTGAAAAATCTTCCTGCGAATAGCTCCTTGTTCGGCGGCTATCCAGATCCAGCGTTTCCAGCAAGCAGTGATGCATACGTAAAAATGATCGGTCTCTGTTGTACTTGTGTAGACGTGTTATCGTTGAGTTTATCGCTGAGATCGTTCACAAGTTTCGTCAGTGTGTCGATAGATTTGATTTTCTTTTCAATTGAAAACAATCGATCCGCCATTTCGTCTGTCTTTCTCTTAGGTTTGCCAGTTTCGTGGCATTCGGGACATACCCATGTGATCGTACCATAAATAGAAAAGGTATTCATTGATACACCCACACAAGACAGATGTACAGCTTTCAGCGAGCAAACAAAGCACTCAGTAAGAACTGAGGTTGAATCACGCTCCGAACAAATGCCACAACAAGTTGGCTCTCTCGTAAGGACAGGCAGTTCTGAAGTAAGTGAGAAAGGCGTCAATCAGATGTTAATCAACCGAGTACAAGGCTAATTTAAGCAGGTTTTCAATTAATTTCAAACCGATTGAAGAATATCAATTAAACCAGAAGGTGTGGTAACCGAATATAAAGCAAAAAAAAATAACGAATTTTGTTCGCGGAAGAATATCAAGGATTAATCCGAGGGATGTCTCAGTGATACGAACCCCGGACCTATGGCACGTCAGGTCCACGTACTAACCACCAGGCTAAGTGTCCTGTATATGAGAGAGAACCAAGTAGGATGTAAACAGCAAATAACAATCAGATATAATCGGACTCCAGCTGTGGGATCGTTGTTTGACCTCTGTTCTCGATCCCGATTACAAGATACTTGGGTAACACACAAGAGGTTTCGGTCAGGATAAATTAAAGGTTATTCGCATTTCATTATACTATCTAAAACTATTTAATAAGTTTATCACAACAATTACCGGCATCAAAAGGGGTTAAGGTCTGGGAGTTCATAATGTTTAATACTTTCGAAAATATTTGAAGAGAAATAAAAACTAGGGGTAATATGACTAGTATGAAAAGAATGGGATTTGATATTTACAATATCTACCAAAAAATGACAAAACTGGGATAGAACTTGCGTGACATCGTCATACAATTTCCAATTTGTTTGATCTGCGAGAACTTTAAATGAAACACAATGCAACAAACATAGCCAACAGACAATTGGAAAAGAGTTAATGAACCCAAGTAAACAGAAAAAATACTGACTTGATTTTCCAACTTTCGAATTCTTAAAATAAAAGTCTATGGCCTTACACCTCTTTGACTTTCAAGATCAATTATGATTGACACTATTTTGGTAAAATTAACACAATTTACGAAAATCGACCAATACGTAAAAAAAAATTCAGCTGGGAAATCTGGAAATTAAAATCCACCTTCTAAACTAGAAGTCGATCACATTTTTAAGACCTTTACGCTTCTGCTGCTCGATAGTGGAGTTTTTCCTAATTTTAACAAAGAAAATGAACTGAAATTAAAAATAATCAAAAGTCACGAACCACGAAAATCAAATTTAAGCCTGAACAAATTTTAAGATTTTTTCCTGAAAAAAAAACAAATAAAAATCATCACGACCTATATAAGAGTCCTTAATACGTTCATCGACTCTCAATGACAAAAATGGCATCACGTAATATTTTATACATGCTCCAATAATTTTATTATGTGAGAATTTTCAATGAAGGGTAATGAAAAGATAAAGATCCAAATACAACAAAAACAAATTGTCTCAGTTTTAAAAAACAATTTGAACTGCGATTTCATAACTATCTATTAAGATGGCAGAACGTATATTTTTATCTACGAAACCAAATATATTAAATGGAATTTCGTAATTCTCAAATAAGGGTTATAAAATGTTTGAATATAAACTAAATTTGTTGCCAACACTTTGACGCACTAAAAACTGGCTCTTTTCCAGTTTCCCACCCCCTCAAAAATTACCAACCGAAGCTGCTCAAAAATTGTTCATATGGCATTTTTCATGTAAGAAATGTCGTATGAACTTGTTCACCTTTTCACGCTGACACGTTTTGATGCAATTTATTTCATGAAAAGTAATTTTAGAGAAACTTTCATAAAATGAATTTCAAAAAAAGGGGGGACTGAAAAAGAGCCTAAATATTTAGACAACATTGGAAACTTAACAAAAGTCAAAGACCCAACTAATTTCAATTAAATCAAATTTCAAAAGACAAATTCAATCATCAAGCATTCGGATCCAGCCATTCAGCTAAATAGTTTTTGTAAAGAATACTAAGTCTCCTGTTAGAGGCACCAACTACCATCAAAAGCTCTCAATCTCTCTCTCTCTCTCTCTCTCATTTCCGATGGGATAATCTGGATTTGGTACTGTTTATTGTCCCCCACATCATTCACTGTCACCCCTCTTAAATCTCTTGCCTCTTATAAAAAGTAGATAGTAATGCCAATGATACTAACTTAGGCATGTTCATGTCCCTGAGGGCCCTCATGAGTACAATGTCTTCAGTGAGGTCAGGGGAGCCCCTCTTCAGTTCTCCCGCCATCACCAACACACTCTTCAGAGCACGCAGTCCGAAGTCGTAGTGATGCTGTTTGGACAACTGCTCCTTGGCCAGCTTGTACAGCACCGTCATCTTAGTCGCCAGAACCTAAAAACAACCCAAAAAGTTTCAAGTTTTTATAGTACGCTTAATTCGATTGCAAAAACTTTTTGAGTGCTTATAAACCAGATGAAGCATAAACGAATCAGCGCAGATGAGCAATTTGTATAACCTAGCCAAAATTATGTTAAAGTTAGTTGAATATTGAATAACTTTTCTAACTGCTATATAATTAATATGTAACTGTTCGTTTATTTTTTTAGTTGGTGATATATCACCATTTTTCTGTCCGCCAGTTTCAGTTTACACTTTAAATCTAGTTCTCTGATTAGCTCATTTGTAGTCTTGAATAAAACTTTATAGGCTTTAAAATGGCATCCATCCTTAACTTCAAATCTGATTTGGGGGCTTTCGCATATAGTGACGGAAAATGTGCTTGGGGTATTTTTCACCTCCAGATAACTTTCGAATTTTCAACAAGCCATTTTTAACGGGATTTTACTTATATCATCTGAGAGGTACTGATCAACTCAGCTCCAATTAAAAAAGCTATTCAACCAGGCCATTTTTAGAATACCTACCCTGGCGACGAGGAATCCCTCGGACAGCAACATGATCTCGCAGATCTGGGTCAAGTCTGGCACAATCACCACCACTGGACGGAACAGTGCCTTCACCGACTCAGGCAACTCAGTCCTGCCTGCGTAACCAGGGTTCATAGTGATGAAGATACCTGAAACACATGCTTTCAAATTAATTAACCTAACAACCAGGGGTGGGACATCGATAGTCGCATATCCAATATATCGCGATACAATATATCGAAATATCCATCGACAAGCTTTCAAGTATCGCGATTATCTATCGACTGGAAACTCGATAAATTCGAATCTATATTTTGTGATATATGGGTGCTGATCAGCGATATTAGATAATCCCAAGATCAGCGATATTAGATAATGCTACGATCTCTAGCTTGCATTGGGGTACCATAATGTGCATTGGGGTACCATAAAATTGTATATAATTTTTATCGTGGTAAACAATACAGTGTGGTTTCTTGGATGGAAGACCACTAATAAAGATATATAAGAGATTGCGATAATCGCGATTATCGGATAATCTATCGAGAGGGTTCAATTTATCGCGAAATATTTATCGTCGATACGATGCTTTACCCCCTTGCTAGAAACAAACATAGCCAACAGGCAATTGGAGAGTCAATGAACGCAGAGAAACATTTTATAACTAAGGCTTTTTTTGGTAAAATTAACCCAATTTGAGAAAACTGGACCTATAGGTAAAAATTTTATTTCGCTGGTAAATCTGATAATTAAATTCAAATTTCGAAATTAAAAGTCGATCACGTTTTCCGGGCCTTTTAAATTTTTGCTGTTCGATAGTGAACTCTAACTTCCTTCTAACGCAGGAAATGAAGTGAACTGAACAAGAAACCAAAAGTCAAACCACGTAAAATCAAAATTGGCGTGAACAAATTTTAGGACTTTTTCCTAAAAAAAAACACAAAAACTCATCAAGACTATACAAGAGTATTCACTACATTCATTACTCTTAAGCAAAATTAATCTAAAACATAGGACCAATCATAACTCAGATCGCTAAAAGAAATAAAAATATAGGGTATTAAAACAAATTGGGTTACACACCAATTCTTGGATCGAGTGAAATCTCAGTTCCCTCGAAATTGAATCGAGCCGCTTTGTTGATCAGAGCAGTCTGGATAACTTTGATCTGGGTTGAGATAACCGACAACACCGCCGCCTCAATCCGGTTGAACTCGTCAAAACATCCCCAAGCACCGCACTGCGCCAGACCCGAGAAGATTTTCCCGACTGCTTTGAAATCCATTCCCTCACCGCAGTTTGTGACGACACAAAGCAAGCCGAGTGCTTTCGCCAAGTCTTTAGTTGTCTCAGTTTTTCCAGTTCCCGCAGGACCAGCCGGAGCTCCACCGAGGTACATATTGAGAGCCTAAAACATGAAACACTTTCTATTGCAAAACGCTAATTCCTTTATTTCCTACTTTAAAAAAAAAGTGAATGAGCCCCCCAATTGGTAACATACTGATTTATTTTTAAACCGAGCTGAGTTGAAGCAGATATGAGCAGAAATAGGTATCAATTATAAACGATTGAAATCATTCGTCTCAGAGTAAATAAAAAACAAAATTAAGTATTACTCAGCTCCAGTTTCTTCAAATTCAAGATCTCACCCCTCTTTCAGGACCAAAAATGGACTAAAATGAGGAATAAACTTAGCCCTGAAGCTCAACTAAAGGATGAGAATACCAGATGAAGAAGTAGTGGCATTCTTGTAACCTACCTGAGTTAGAGTTAAGTAGATTCGATCGGTGAGAGGAGTGATGACCAGTCGTCCGTTAAGTCCCATGTATTCGTATCCATACCCGAAGGTGCCAGTGCACTGCTGGATGAATAATTCATCGTCGTCCTTCGTCCAGTAGAACCGAAGCTGACTCTCCCACTTGAACTCTTTCGCGTCCATGATACTGAAATGCAGTTGTTTTCACTGATTTTCAAATTAAGCACAATAGGCTACAACAACAGGTCTCTGTGAAGCCAACTTCGTCTTCATTGAATAAAAAACAAAAGTTGTTCACGATCGCCAGGTTGTTCTACTGGTACACGCGCATTTTGTACTACATAGTGCGCCGTTAAAAGCATTGAGGACGATGTGTTTTTTTGCGATTGTGCCTACTATTGTAGTGAATCACCAAGTTAATTTTAGAATAATGTGTGGAGAAATTATCCATTCTAATTAAAACCCGAATGAACCTTGTGGCTGAGGGCTGAGAAATATTTTCCAGAAAAAGAAAAAAAACACTACGCTGGCTCAGCTGTTTTTCGCCTGTTTTAGTTTCAAATCTTTTTAACAATCATCTCTACTATGCCCAGCAGCCAATAAGCACCCTTTAATGAGCAACCCAAGTGTTAGTCATGTGCGAATTTCAATCAAAGAAACGATGTTTTTTCGATGAGGGGAAATGCAAGATTTCAAAATGTATATGATTTTATTTCGATTCGAGAATTTTTTTGCTTTGGGAGTCTCTTTAAGTCCAATAGTTAAACTCACCTATCCCTAACGAAACTGTCTACAATATCTCTGGCGTGCACTTCGATAATCAGCACTGTGTTGAATTTGGCTCGGTCATTTCTATCCAGGGGCGACCTGACCTTCACGACCAAGTCATCAAGTTGTTTGGTGAGTTTCTGTGCGTACTGCTTCAGGGCTAGTTTGTGACCTTTCTTGACCTTCTGGAAAACGTCTTCCACCTCCCATGTCCACCAGATCTGGTTGGTTGCCAGAACTACCATGCCTTGGTACATTAACATCCACTCCACCCTAAAAATGGATTACAATTTTTCAATCTGAGCATTGGACCGCGTGAAAGAATAGAACTCGAAAAAAATAATAATAGAAAAAAAACAGAAGCGAAAAATCCCGGATTGTACTAGAATAAAGCTTTTTTCCAGTTTTCCAACACCCTCGTAAAATTACCAAAAAAGTTGTTCAAAAATTGCTCACACGGCGTTTTGCATGCCAGAAATGATGTAAAAATTTGTTCACTTGCACACGCTGACACGTTTTAAAGCAATTTTTTACATGAAAAGTCATTTTAAATAGACTTTCATAAACTGAAATTCAGAGGGGGGAACTGGAAAAGAGCCTAGAATAATTTCATGAGAAACATGTGAAATCATACCTTGACCTGTCCTCACAGTACTTGTACACAGCCTCCTTCGTGATGAGTCGGTTAGATCGCCTCATCTCAATGAGAACAGCAGTCATCCACTCTTCTACTCTTCCCTCGGTGGGGATGGGAGATCGGAACTCCATAACTTCTTTCTCCGCCGACACCATCGCCCCCGCAACATTCTCTCCGTTGTTGCCGGTGTCAAAACGAAGGCTGGAGACGTTGTCGTACATCTAATCAAAAAAGAGATGATTCAAAAACTACTATCATCAAGTTTTCTATTTCATTAGTCGTCAAGGCGAAACCCGATTTAAATTACTGGCGAAAAATGGGATAAATAAGATAATCTTGCTTTTATCGAGGTGTTAAGGCTATGCTGTTCAGGATAAATTCTTATTTATCTCAATCTATTTCTCGGTTCGTCCAAAACGTTCTGGTCTCTGAAAGGTAAATTACAATTCTTTCCTACAGCAAAAGAATACATATTTGTTAACTCCGCAATATGGTGGTGATGGTTTTCAACCAATCAGGGCTTTTTCAGGGGCTTTTATTTATGAAAGATTTTATAAAAGAATTTTGACAAAAGCAACTCTAAGTTCCTGATAGAAATGAACTGAACTTAAAAAGAAATCAAAGCTGAAATCGTGGCAAATTTAAGACTTTCTCCTGAAAAAAAGACAAAAAAATCACCAAGACCTATATAAGAGTATTCACTACGTTCATGACTCTTAATCAGAGAAAGTCATACAATTTGCTGATAAATTGTTTAATGGCCACTTATTCTTCCAAATTCGAAGAAAATTAAGTATCTTAATGATTTCTCAAATTAGAGTAACTTTCACCAAAACAAGTGACAAGAAAAACTGGGCAAAAAAGAATTCTTTAACCTTGATCATATGCTCTTGCACGCAGCTAGGATCGCTGCTTCCCAGAATAGACAGCAACTCGTCGTCCGATATGAAAAAGAACCTCGGGAAAGCGTTCCTCTTCGAGTCCAAGTAGTCATTCAAAGACTTCTGACACCTTTCCAGACCTTCACTCAGCATCTCCAGGTCTTGCAGACGATTGTCGGCATGACATGCGTCTTTGATCTTAGGATTGGCAACAGTGTCACTCATGATCTGAATCAAGAATAAATGTATCACTAAACGACTACGAAAGATTGGTAAAGATACTGAACTCAAACGAATCAAAAGACTGCATTTTCATATTCCGCCCGAGAAGGAAGCAAAAAATCCATCAAAAACATAATTCATTTAGAAGGTTTTTTTTGTATTTCGTGGCATAAATTTGATGTTTTGTTATTATTCAAATAGATCGCAACTCTTGAACTTTATTGAACAATATTTAGCTCAAACTTAATCTCTTTCTTGAGAAAACACGGCCCGAATTTGTTATTAACTGACCCCTTTGAATTTCCCATTGATGATGTCGAACTTCCTGGCCTCGTCTGGGAGTTGGGCGCGGATGTCTCCCCCGATGAAGATGCCCTCGAGGTACATCCACTTTCTCTGCACCACCAGCCATATCTCAATCACTTCCCCAATGTGAGATAAACTCTTCTCCCAGTTTTGCACCTAGAAGGATCAAGGCTCAAAGTAAAATTTGCTATTTCAAAACGTATGACAAAACAAAGCCAACAGATAGTTGGAAAAAAACCGATGAACGCAAAAAACAACAAAAAAAGTTGACTTGATTTGTTTAAGTTTTCAAGTTTCATAGAAAAAAAATTACCTTAAAGAGCTTTGAATTTCAAGATTATTCTATGATAATAAATTTATTATTAACACTTTCTTATAAAAACTTGATTTCTAAGACGAACTATTTTGCCCAGTACATTATGCTAAAATTAAAATATCGGCAGAATATATTTGTTCACAAACTGCATGTTAATTAACAGTTTTTTAACGTGAAAAAAACTCGAATTTTTCAACTTTTCAACTTCTATCAAATTATTTAGATAAACTAACCGTTTACTGCAAAAATCAGCCAAATTTGTCATTTTTTAAAATTCAATTCGGCTTAACTTTGGATAGCGTGCAGTTCATTTTCTTTTTTTTTTCGAATTTCGAAGAAGTGAGAAATATATATGCTTGAGGTGGTTTTTTCTTAAATTCAAAGATATTTCACAATGTGGAGAGCGCTTCTGGAACCTCAAGATTACCAAGCGGTTATGCTTGCAGTAGCCGCAGTAGCCTATGAGCGATTAGAGCCGGCGCATTTAATTACTTAATAAATAATACGCGAATTATCCATGAAACATATATACATGTGAATTATCCATAATAATTGTTCTCACTCATAATTATTCCATATTGTATTGAGGCAAACTAAATTTTCATACTAATTACGTATACGACTAGAATTTTAGCACTTAATATTTCAACTTTAATATATCTTCGCAGTCCAAATTTTATAGTTTATAGTTTAGAGACCAGTTCAGGGGCAGTCGGAATATTTAGGGCTTTGTCCTGGATACACGAGCGGTCTTAACTTTTTGACTTTCGAAGAAAGTGCGGAACATTTATGCTTGGGGTGGCTTTTTGATTCGCTCAAATTTCGGCAATCAAAATAATAGAATTTAAAACTTTTTTTATAACCCCATTGAAGGTTATTTTTTGTACAATTTTAGAGGTTTGAAAAGTGCCAAAATGGCCAGGCCGGTGACTAATTAATGGGCGGTTCGAAGATTATATTTATGATGCTGAAAAGCTAACGCGAACTATTCATGCATGGCGAATTATCCCTGTTCCAAATTGAATTGAGGCAAGCTAGTCGGTCGTATTGTCCCAAATTTTTACACTTGATTTTTGATTATGTTCAAAATTTTAAGTTTTTTTTTCACACAGACGCAAACACTGGCAAGAACACAAAAAAAAACAGCTTTATAAAGTACAAAAAAAGTATAAATAAGCCTCGAACTAGCAAAAATTCTGCCACGTCTGATATTCCACCCTTCGCCCTCGAGATTAAGATTCACTCACACTAACCAATCAGCCACGGAAGCTTATTAGTAAACAGAAGATTAAAAACTATCCACATTGAAGTAGAGAACAGATGCTATGCAATTTCCAATGCTACAGTGAAATTTCCAAATAAGTGAACATTTTTAATGAACACTTTTATTTGCGAGTTAGGTCAGAAAAAAAATAAGGTTCATAGTAACACACTAAGTTCGCGCTTATGTAAATATTTTCTTCACAAAAACTATTTGATACCAATTAAGCGGACGTCGGAATGTTCCGGGCTTTGCCTTGATATACAAGCAGTCTTGTTTGTGTTTTCCTTCGGTTATGTTCACTGTGATCCCCAGGGTAGCTTGCACTTAGATACAGATTATTAGGGTTCATATACAAAGCATTGTAGCTGGTAAAATACTGAAACAATTTGCCTCGTTTTGATTACAATTGGCAACTTTGAAACCTCTATAACATCCTGAAAAATACTCTCAAAAATTATTTAACTTTGAGCTCAAGGCACTGCATCTTTCCGCCAAAACCAAAAAACTATTTGCTTTAAACTGAAATCCAATCCGATCACAAATATTCTGTCACTTTCTTCAAATTTTGGAAACAAAAAACAATACGACCTAAATACGAGCTCACTTCGCTCATTAACTCTTAGAACTCTAATCACAACAGGCCTATTTTCCGCATTTACCGTGTCTTTGAATGAACAAAGAATTCATTCTTTCATACTGCGCTTCGACTTATTTGATGACAATCAGCCACGTATCTGAGCAAATCTAGTGCCCACCTGTGTTAGAAATGGGCCGATGAACCTGGAAGCGGACATGCTCTGTAGATTCATAGCATTGTCGTCTAGAATCTGGAGGATCTCGTCACATGGTCCCAAAATGGACCCTCTTTCCACTGTTCCCTTCATGTACTTAATGATGGTGAACTTCATGCCCTCCCACGTCTCAACAACTTCTTTCACACCCTACAGAAAGAATTCATATGTCGTTTTTTAGGTAAGAGCTTGTAGGAAAGTAAATCAAACTATAACGAGTTTCTTGGTTAGTCATCATTTTTAGTCACGTTTTTAGTAATCAATTTTCACCAATACTAATTCAAACTGTTTAGAATTTGTTTACAATTTTTATTGAACATGTCTTGAAAGGAACAGTCAGTTTTTGATGTGATAAAAAATGTCGCCTAAAATGTCGCCCACAAAAATATGAAAATCAAGGAAACACTTTTCACGAAACTGCATTTTGTGCGTTACCTTTTCGATGCTGAGTTCCTTCATAGCCATGCCCACAATGTCTCCTATGGTCTCCGTGTAGTTGTGCAGCTCCATCGCAAACAGGTTCTGAAGAGTGAAAGTGTCCGGGTTCATGTCGAACTTCTTGCCCGTCTTGTCCATCAAATCTTTCCAATGTCTAAAAATAACAAATCCAATATCGGAATCTGTTCTAAATTGCCTTTATCTAGAATTTTGGCAAGCGAACTTCAAAAACCCCTAGGCATATAATTTCGATAATTTGAATCCCCCTATAAAAATCCAAGTTCCACCACTCCGCTGATTTTATTTGCTTGACTGATTCAGTAGGTCAATCCAACGAAACAGGCTGTCAAACAAGAGGCCGATGAAGCTCATTTAAACATGCAATCACTATGTACCTCTCTCTCAAGGCTTCGTTCTTCAAGTCGGCGAACAGTGGAATGGAGTCCTTGAATTCTTTCATCTTTCCCTCGACTGTAGCCGCCACTGCCAACCCTTTCACGTCCCTCGGGAGTCTCTTCAGCTCCCGGATGAAGTCCTCGATGCCCTTCTGCAGCTGCTCAATGTTCAGATTCACCCACAGAGTCTGAGCCCACTCCTCTCTCGCTACCTTCTGGTTCTTGAAGATCTGGTAGATCTGCTGCATGCCTTTCATCTGACAACAGTCATAATCAATTAATACAAGGATAGCTAAAAAGCATTTTCATGTTTTTTTTTTCAATATTAACGATGGTTTTTGTAAGTCGCGTTATAAAAGGATTTGACATAAAAACATAGAATTTGGGCATCTTCGACAATTACAGTAAAGCAAATCCGGAAACGGTTTTAGTCGAAAAATGACAAAAAAAATAAAAAGTTTTCTATATTTTTTTGCCCATACTTTTTTTAAATTACGGTGTTTTTCATTCCCAAAATAGCCCGAAAATACTTTGGAAAATAATTTTACTGGAGTTAAACTCAAATTTCATGACATTTTTCTATAATAAGCCTACTCGCTCGCTTTACTCGCTCGAAATTAGATCAACTCAAAAACTTCAAATCGGTTTTTCTCGATGCTGGTGCATTTTTTGATAACTTTTTAACATCGTTTAAATCAAGGCTGATAGGGCTATAATATGATAAATCATTCAACCCATAACTATGATTATGTGAGGAAAATTCTTTTAAATGAATAACTAAATAAGCCTGCTCGATTTTTCGAACAAAGGTTACACACATTTTGGTATTTTTTTAATAGTTTAGCCATCTGGTGTTTTTGTTCCCGTACATTATTTTTAATTTGATTGACCAGATCTGATCCTCAACTTCAAAGTTCATCAAACTATATGACACAAAATAGTACGGCTCTACTGTACTGTAAATTTACACAACCAACAGACAGTTGGAAGAGTCAAATTTCAAATTTGAAAAAAAAATGCCCTCATTGAATTTTAAGATTTAAAGAACAGTTCATGATTGACACTTTTTCGATGAAACTAACCCAATTTCAGAAAACTGGATCAATAAGTAAATTTTTTCTTCTGCTGGGAAATCTGTAATTTAAATTTTACTTTCGAAACTAGAAATCGTTCACAATTTTCGTGCCATTTCCACGTTCGTTTGGAGAGTGCAATTTACCTAAATTTCAGCGGATGAAATCAAATTTAACTCAAAAAGCGCATGTATACCTAAGTGCATTCATAAATGCATAAATATGTATGAATGCACATCTGCAGTTATTGAAGCATTTTAAGACTTTTTCCGAAAAAGAAAACACAAAAAAATCACCAAGACCTTTATATGAGTCATCACTACGTTCATCGACTCTTGAAAAGCTTTAAGAGTGTAGTTAAAACTTTAAATAAGACGATTCAATTCGACTTTCAAACTGCATCAAAACGCAGGTTAACTGCCCCAAATTGTCAAACAAGTTGCTTACCTGTTTCTGCACTTCCAGCATTTGAGGGTAGGCGGTGATGGGCAGATCAAACAACTTCTCCGCATTCGCCAGCTCCTGTCGCTCCGCGTCGAACTCTTCCAACTCTTTCTGATAAGTTCCAAGAAGTTGCAGACCTAAAATAAACAGTAAATAACTTTTTAAAGTGAGCAACCACGGGATTCTATTTACAGCACGGGTCAATGTAATTGCCTTTGTTCTATAATTTTTCGGTCCGATCTATTGAACAGTTTTTAACGTGTGGTTTGGTTAGGGAAATTTGAATAATACTTGCTCGAATATCATACGAATTCATATAATACGAATTTGCAAACGAGAGGTAATATTGAAGATTTAAATGCAACGAGAGGAATTGAGTCTCCGAAGAGCTGCAGTTTGTAATAAGTGTAAAGTTGACCCAAATGTTGTTAGAATAAAGCACAACATTGAGCTCTACTGGTTGATTCTTTCCGTAATATCTTGAGGACCGATCTGAAGTTTGAGAACCAATCAGTTTGAGGACCAATTATTGAGATGATTCATCCTCATCGCGCGAAAGAGAGAGGGGGGCTGATATTTTCAAATGAACTACTGCATCTATTGCCGAAACTGCTCTGACGAAATAATACACCACATCGAGCATACATATTTCGTGACTCCCTCGGAGATATTGAGCAAAATACTTATGCTACCTTTGTCCAGGTCGTTTCCGACGGCGCCGGGTCCCTCTAGCTGGAACCTCTGCTGAAAGTCTGCCAGCTTCTGTCCGAACTTCTCAATGTCCTGCTGGGTGATCTGCGTGAACTTCCTCTTCGTCGGAACCAGTCTGAAAAAGTGAAAATGAGTTTTAAAAAATGACTGCAGGTCTAAAACCTGATAAGTTCTTATTATTTTTTCTCAAAGCAACTGTAGTTTCCAACTAGAAACTCACTTCGTACTTAAAGCTAAAGCATCCAAAGTAAAGCAATTAAGTTTCTGAAAGAAGAAACTCGTTTCAGACGCCATTCATTTTACCGGTATAACACTTCTAATTAATGAAAGCAAATACATGCAAAGAATTTTCAACTTCGCAACAAAAAGCAAAACTTGAGACAATAATCATGGCAAACGTTCAGAAACTAACCTGGCATCGATTCTTTTTCCCTCCATCTGCAGTTCCTCCCATTGGTCTCTGATGCTTCTCTGCAAAATCATTTCATCCTGGGGCACTTCTATCTTATACATGTCCAGGGTCCTGTACGCCTCTTGGATGTCGCCGATCTTCATCTCTACATCCAGTGAGATGTCTTTGATCTTGCCGATAGTGGCCAAAACAAATTTCAAATCCTCAAGCTCATTTGGAGACTTCTTGAGGTCCATGTCCAGTTGCTGCAAAGCATAAACAATTCAATAAATTTCCTAAGTGATTCCTTTATAGATCAAATTCAATCCAATAGAACCAAAAAAAAAGTTAATTTGGTTTTGGGGTTCTAAATAAAATTCTGGGAGCCGTACTTCGTTTAATATCGAGTAATGGCAGCGATGTTTTATGTCTAGTTTAAGCATCAACCGACGGTAAGCAAAATGTAGTCTCACATCCAAATCTGCCTTCAATTCATCCATCTGCGTCTTGCACTGTTCATGCAGCAGACCCCCCAGGTCATTGATCCAACTCTTGGCGTAGTCCTGCAGGGCAAACACGAGGGGTTCCAGGTTCAACTTGAGACTGTGGATGAACTTGAACTTGATCTTGGAGTCTATTTCCTTGTCCAGATTGACGTACTTTTGCAGGTTCTCGTCAAACATCAGAGTGGTCAGCTTCTTGGACTGCAGACGCTCCAGCTGCGATTGCTAAAACAAATTACGAAAATTGTAAATATTCGGTCATTTTTTTAAGAAACAGATTTTTTCAGGTTTCTTTTCAACAAGTTCAACGGGCTTCAATGTGATGTCACATTTGAGCCTCTACGAGCTTTCTTTGAGGCAACTAAAATTGTTTGAAAATATATCCTTTCTACGGCATAGTTCCTTCTCACTCTACAAGAATAGTAGGAAAAATGAACATCAGAACATTTTATAATTCTTATTGATTCTTCTAAAATGATCTCTTCCACTCAAAAGCCTAGACCAGCCTCTGATTTAGGAAGTAGCTATGAAACTTTCAGACTCATTTATTAAGGAAGTAGCTTTGAAACTTTCAACCATATTTATTAGCTGAATGCCCTGTTTTAGTTGTATATCAAAATTGTTATGAATGAACAACAACACTGCTCATATCAAGGCGAAGCCTTGAATGTTCCGACTACTTTTTTAGGTTGATGGAGCAGCGTTTGCCTACAAAAATTGATGAACTAAAAAAAATGAAAAAAAAAATTAAAAAAATGTTGAGATTTTTTTTATCATCCCCCACACGCCATATTAAATATGAAGTGATCAATTTCGCTCCTATTAACGTATCAATTATGACCAATAGCCTTCAACCAATTTGGAATATTTCTATAACTGATTAAATCTCCGCTTACGCGTTAATAGCGCGAAATATATTGCGTTAATTGTCCAAAATTAGCAATCTTTAAACCCCCACAACTTTACAAAAAATAATCACAGGTGAAATATCTGTTTTAATTTGAGCTCAGGGCAACAATACTTTTTTGACTGATTTTAAAACATCTCTCAAAACGGCTAGTGAAAAAGTCGAAATTAGTGTGGGTAAAGTAAAACACCCTGAGCACAATTATTCCGCCATTTTCTCCGAAAGTCGAAACAATAAATTCGTTTTCAAGAAGGGCGACGACTCGATTATTATTTACATAATTCATAACAATGAAAAACGTATCTTGGAAGAACGCCAAAAAGGCCAGTTAGCTGCCTATCGAGTGGTGTCTTCATGAGCAACAACAAAGGACACTATTGAATTTTCCGACTACCAAAAAACTTATAGATCCCGTATGTGCATAATTGAATTTGGTTGACCGTTTTAACAATTCAATAAGTTTTCAATTAATTTTTTGTCTAATGCATGGAAAAGATTAATTATTGAATAAACGTCATTTTTGAATTTTTTCTTGTTGTGACTCGTCATTTTTTCTGTGTTTCGTAACGTGAAATTACGATTGTCATTTGTTAAATGCGTCAAGAATGAGAAAGTATGGGTGGTGCCTCCTTACGTATTTAGACAATAACTTCAACAATTCATAAATATGCAACTCCCAGACGTAACAAAACTTAAATTTGTCTTTTAGTTTTCGGAGACTGTCTGTTTTTTTGCAAATAGAAGCAATTCCGAAGTATCAGTTTTAGTTGTTTTTCAATTCTCACTAATTCGGTTTTAGTAGCAGTTCCATATACCAGTACAGCATATTGAATGTAAGTTTGCAGAATAACTCACTCTGTCTCCTTTGTATAGCAGCTTGTACTTCTTCCAAGGCGTGAGGTATTTCTGGGCAGATGAGAATATCTTCTGGAAGCAACTCTGCACCTCATTCGCCATCTCCATGATCTCGGGGTTGAAGGCCACGTCATTGTAGAAGGAGATAATCACAGGCTCATCCTCCCCTTCCACGTTTTGAGGGGGGCACTCGAGACACGATCCACGCATCCATCTAAAACAAAACTTTTTTTAGACCTTACATTGAAAAAGTTTCTAAATGTTCATGTAAAAATTTTCTATTCATGTTAATTAAAAGTTAAAATCTTGAAAACAATAGTAAATGAAATTTATCTCAGAACATGTAGAACTCGTGAAAGCTTTTTAATGGCGGACGCATGTAAAAGATAACTTAAGAGGGCGTACTGAAAGATAACTAAATACATATCAGCACCAAGTATTCGACTATTATTACGTATCAGAGCCAGAAATGTTTCTAAACCCAAAAATAACCTCAATGCCTTATGGCTTCAAATACAGAAAGTAAATTTTGGGTCAAACTTTATACTTAAAGATGAAGCAGAGCTTCATATTACTTGCGAATCAGGCTAACAATGAACGCCAAAAACTACCCTATTTCAGAAAAAAGTAAGTCCAAACAACTCATGCAAACAATAACGTAAAACAATTTTTACCCAGAAGCCAAGCAACGCTCCGCACCACTTGCGATACAACACAAACTTAGTACTCGAATTTCTCTTTAAATTAATCTACCAAAAATGTCTTTGTCTTGGTTTAGTCTTAAATAAAGTTCCTTTTATGAAAAATGTGCCAAGTGGAACAAAACTGACAGAGTGGTAGCAAGGCTGAAAATTGCTGAGGAGACACACATTGGGCAGAGCAGACACACATTGGGCAGAGCAATTGTAAAAAATAAGGAAAACAAAAAAACTTGAATCATTCCAAAGCGTAAAAAATTTAGACTTGCAATTTTTTTTAAATGATTCCGAGCGCTCTTCTAGTTTAATTTTGGGCATAGCCGATCATGCAGGGAGCTTGCCCCTATCTTTTTTATCCATTGAATCTAATATCTGAGATTTGTGAGGGTGGTTTATGAGAAAACTAAGTATTCAAAAAACATGGGTGAAATAATCCCCCACAGACTTTTTCGAAGGCTGTACACAGTGAGGTGAAATAGATAAAGACTAGGGGTTTATGAAGGCGCATGGCGACTTTTCCAAGGATACCCGTTTGGTGAAAATCGGAAAAGTAGTTTTTGAAACAACAACAAATTTGCAAATAGTGAAAAAATTTGCAAATAGTGAAAAATGACTCAAAAATCAATTCCATAAAAAAAATACCTGGGCTCGACATTTGAATTAGAAATTACCAATAATAAATTGATCTTTTAGAAAACTTTTCAGAAGTTTCAAGTCCCCTCCCCCAAACTACAACATGCAACTTTCGCAACCACCTTGATACATGCTTACAGCACATAAAAAATTGGTGACGAAAAAAACTTGAGCAGACCAATTAAAGTCTGACAATAAGATACATACTGAAAAATCAAGGCCCTGCCGGGACTCGAACCCGAAACCTTAGGGTGCAAAGTCAACAACGTTAATCCATGTCAAATGGGAAGGAAGGTGGAAATTGTTAAGGTTGAATAAGAAAGCAAGTGCAATTTCTTGTAAGAAAAGTTGTTTACGGAAAAAATTCTACTTCCCGAGTACAAGACACTTGCTCTCGCAGGTGTAATTATTTTGGGAATTATTTTGCAAAAGACTAAAAATCGCTGGAAACGTTTGCGAGTGTCCTAATAAACCTAACTAGAAAGGGGCGGATCTAAGATTTTTTCGAGTGGGAGAGCAGACTTTGGAGAAAATTTTAAGTTAAACTTGTTTTAGGTCGAACAAATTGATTTTCCGAGCGCTCCCAGAACATTTTAGGGCGTTATTTGGACAAACAAATTTTCGCCGGAGGCAATTTTTTGAAGAAAAAACAGCCGTTTATGGGCACTTTTAGGAAAATGCTGACCAAAAATTGCGTTTTTTTGGCGCGCGCTCCCCGTCAAAGTTCAAATTTTTTGGTGCCCAGGGGCCTTTAGAAAAATTTTAGGGTTGGACGGCCGAATAGGAATGACATAAAATAATACCAAACGGGGAACTTTTGGTTGGTGAGGGGGTCGAATCCCTGAGGGAGAAGGTGGCGGAACCCTTAAATCCGCCCCAAAAGACAGGCCATTTTTTGTTAAAAAGGGTTAATACTTAAGAAAATAATTAGTTTTTTGTCTTACCTGACGAATTGTTTCGCGACGTCGAGGCAGTCACGCATGTTGTTTTGTACTTGTTTGATTGCTTCATTTTGGGTAGGACTGAGAACCAGCTCAGGCAACACAAGAGTAGCGTCCACCTATGATTTATCAACCATTTAAAAAACTAAATCAATCAGAAACTTGAGTAGTTATACAACAAAAATTTTCTTTCAGCAGTTTTTAGCACCAATACTTTGATTGAGTTTTACACAAATTGGGCGCTGCTTTGAGAGAGAAACTCCTAATCATAATAGCTAAAAACTCGAACCCTATTCGAATCCCAATTTAATTTACAGAATCTGATTATTAGAGAACAAAGCTCATTGTATAAGAGCGAAATGGAACTTACGCGGTCAGCTGGATGAATTCTTTATTTAAATGCGCTAACTGGAAAACTTTTAAATATCTTCAACAATTTGAAAAGCCATCAACATCGTTTTCACCCAGAAAAGTAGCTGTTTGAAACGAATTTGGCTGTTCGGATTAACGAATTTTTCTGTAAACTTTGAAGGAAGAAAAAGCTGCTCAAATTTTTTACACAAATGCGAAGCTGACCTTTGCACCACTTGCAATACAAAATGAAAAGCGGATAATCAAAAGATAATCTGTCTCAAACGGAAAGTGAAAAAATCGAAGGCTACAGCAAAAATGAAGAAATTTTTTTGCAACTGTTGAAAAAATTCAATTACCAAAAACATAGGGAGGATTTGAGATGCATTACCTCCATTCATTTTTTTCTCAAAACCAATAGATGGAACCGATAAGAAAAAAATGTAGGTCGAATCATCGAGATCCAAAAGCTACTAAATTTGCCGAAACACTTTTCTTAAAATTTTGCCACCAACCAACTTGCATATCCCGCAGGAGCAATTGTGCATAAGAAAAACCCCTATCCATTATTTGCTATAAATTATTTAAAAAAAACGAAAAATTGAAGAAAAAAAAAAGCAAAAAAAAACATGAATGCAAAAATTTAAATCCATTTCCATAAAAAAGAACTTGTAGAAAAGTAAATTAAACTCTCTAAGCTTATAAAAATATTCCCATTGCAACAAACTTATCGAATGTGAAGTTGATGTGCAACGTTATGAGAGCAGTATCACAACAAAAAAGGATAAAAAAAAAGAGACTAAAAAACACGAGAATGCATTTAGCTTTACAAACTTCAGCCAGAAAAAAAACACTCCCAAATCACGTGCTACACTCGCCACACACTTCGTAAGAAAAATATTCAAGCCAAAATTGCAAAAAAAATCTGGAAATTAAAGTTTTTTTCCGAAAAAATTTAGACGTTAAACTAATCCGCTATGACATCAACTTGAACCTATTCAACGAAAATTGCTATCCTAAAACACAGCAAACAATTTAAAACTAAAACTAATTCCACGCAATTATAGATCTAAACACCATCAGAAAACAAGCAGCCAAAAAACTAAAAAATTTGAAGCAATTTTTTTTCCAATTTAAAAATGCTGTTTGGAGACACGACTAAAAACTCACTAGTTGAAAAGCAAAGATGCGGCCAAAAACTACGAGGAAAAGTTTTTTGCCTCCCTTCGTGACTTCATGGATTGTAATATTATGGCCAATCCTGACATTAGATCATAGGCTTCAGATTTGAATCCTGACATTAGATCATAGGCTTCAGATTTGAAGCCACACAAATGAAGAACAACGACTGAACCAAAACCAAATGAAACTTAAAGCAGTTTATTTTCCTTTCCGAAATTTCAAAAAACTTTTCTTTTCTGACAAAAAATTTTGGCGTACATGAAAACCAGGCGACCATGAACTAAATTTAACCACTGGAAAAAAAAGAAAAAACTACCTGAAACATATTTCAAAAAGTTATAGAAATAAAACACCCGGTAAGCAAGCCGACAAAAATTCGGAAGAAATCAAAAAAAGTCGACAAAAAAATCAAAATATATCTGAAAATTTTTAAAGATGTAGACCGACTATTACTTCAGCGCCTGATTAACTATAACTGTCAAATGTACAACTTGGTTGGACATAGAGATCTTGACACTGGAGATCCAATCCTGTGAACAAAGTTATTTACGGGAAAAAGACAAGATCATCAAATAGTCAGTTTCTCTAAATTGATATTGGGTTCGAAAATCATCGAGATAATTAATATACTAATGGATTTCTGGTGTACTTTTAAGCAACTTTTATGATGTCCAGTTTTTGACTCAAACCAGCCCAATTCCTGTAAAACACAATCATAATACAGTAGCTCGAAAACTGCTGCACAAAAAATTTCGTTTTTTTTTGATTGAGACGGTATGCCGTCACAATTCACCGTCTTGACTGCAAATCACGCGCACTTGTACTAAAATGTACCCCTGACAATATTTGACATGTAGGTCACAAATTGCTAAGTATTTTTAGTATTTTTCACCTGATCGAATCAAAGGGGGCGTCCAAGAATGCTGAAGTACAAGAAAGCCGAAAACAAAAAACTGTTTCAGATTGCCGGAAGTGAACCGTTTCAGGAATATTTTATCTTCTCATTTTTATAATTGATTTGACTATGGGGTTGCTTGCGATTCGGAACAAAAAGGGGGGAGACAACGATGTTAATCACTGTTTACTAGCAGAAGTTTTGACTGATGCCAAAGTAATTACACATGTTTTCTCGCTTTCTCTTGTTAGTGGCTCAGTTTTTAAAGCGTTGTCTTGTGAACCTTTTTTTGGAAATTTCGACAGTGGAATCTTTTTCAATTTTTTTTGCACTGACCTTCGGCCGTCTTGTACTAAACCCATTATAGAAAAAACTATCTTTCTTCTCAAGAATCATTTATCCACGGGGGATAGGACCAACACAAGAGCTGTACAGCTCATCACGGCGAACCGCTGTTGCGCCCGCTGTTTAAGAACTATATGCAATTTTTTTTTGGTTATTTTTCTGGGCTGGGTAATGTTGCCTCACCCTCAAGCAACAAGCACGGATCATGGTGGGCCTCGAACATCCGACCTTTCGATTGAGAGGCGGAGACGTAACCACTTCACCACCGCTCCCTTTTTTTTTTCTTAATAATTTTTTATGTTTTCAAAAGTTTCGAACACAGTTTATCAAGAGCTCCCAACTAACGTACATCAAAGGTACAATTACAATGCGAGAAACTATTTTATGGATACCATTTGAAATCAAAAAAATACTTCAACTATCGCAATAACGCAATGATAACTCCTCACCTGGAAAAGGGGACTATTTCCCATCACATGTTTAGTGAACTTCCTGAGATTGTTGACGACCATTTTGGTTACAGCGTTGAACACTTTGCGTTCCCAATAGGCATAGTAGGCCTGCAGTCGGGGTGCTTTACCCGTATTGGTGTGAACAACCAGACCCTCCATTTTAGTCAGCAGGGGACCAATGGCTCTGTACTTGCGAACCAGTACCTCCACGTCCTTCGAGCGCTCATTCTCAATGTGGTCGAAGAAATCCTAGATTTGAATCGAACTTTCAACATTATTCGTAAAATTAAACATAACACTCAATTTTTAAGAGGGCATTTACACAGCGAACAAACCAAAAAACAATCACAAAAGAATGATTTAATCTCTTGAACTCATATTAACATACGAAATAGCGCCATTCATTTTTTACTGTTATGTTAAGATGCAAGCGAAACAGAGGTTTTTGCTTTTTTTCGCAATAACAATCATTCAGTACAGAAAATTTTGTGAATTAGTTAGTGAAACGCAAGTAACCTTAACAAAAGGAAGCTGTCCTTGAAATCCAGGAGGGGGAACTTTGAATAGGTTTGCTGCCTCTATGATGTGCAGTCTGGACTCTACATCACTGGAGTTCTTCTGAATCTGGTTGACGAGTGACTCGAACTTGCCAATTTGGGAGGTGCATTTCTGGATGAAGTCACTAATACCGAGGGAGTTCCAGTTGAGACGCACCACTCCTGGCTTCAGGATTCTCTTTAGCTCCTTCAGATGTTCAGACAACAGTTGAGTCTAGAATTGACAAAAAAAAGTCTACTCATGGTAAGGAACCAATCAGTTTTTTTTGCATGATGTGAAGTTGAATTCTTTGTGGTAATTGGAATATAAAGCTCCCCATGTAAAGCACTTTTATTAATAGAGCGTGTACAGAATCAAACAGAAGGTCGAACTGTGTTTACCGTTCGGAACGGATCGTATTGCTATCCCCCCTCCACAATCGCAAAAGGTGAAGGGGAGTTCGCTACACAAATGTTTTAACCTTTTGATTTACAGGGTCCAAAATTTGCATATGCTAAAGCTTAATTTAGTTCGTTGTGGGTGATTGATAATTGATAATATCTTTTTGGAACAGATGCTGCTTCTTTTAGAACTTAATGCAATTGTTTTCTAGCCGACACTTCAAGTGCCCTCGCTGAAAAGGAATGTCACTTTTCATTTTTACAAGGCGACAATTGAATGAGTCGAAAAACGACACTACTCGTACCAGAGCACAAAACTTTAGGTTCAGAAGGTGTCCTTTGACTTGTATTTTGATGATCTTGGACTAATGTATGCGCGAGTTTTTTGAATTTTTGTCAGCGTCTCAAAATCATTCCAACTTAAATTGAGGCAAGCTAATTGTTCATATTAGTTCCCTATATGACTCACAGTAGCTTTCTACACAAGTGGTTACCTCTGCGTCATTGAGAGAGGACACCGCGGCGTGGTATCTCTTGAGCATGTTGTTGAGTTTGTCCACGTACTTGATGTACTTCTCTTCCTGCAGGGCCACGTTGCGCCCTATCTCCGGCACCTGGAACCCCAGACTCTCCATGTACTTCGTCTCCGCTATCATCTCCCCCAGCTCGTCCGCAAAGTCCACCACATACTGCACTTTGTGTCTGTCTTCTATCAACGAAAAAAAAACTTCCTACGTAGGTCAGAGCAATCCGATCGTCTTGCAATAATTGAAGAGGTAAAACTGAAGACGGTGATAACAAAAAATGAGAAAAGGCAATGACGTAACCACAGTCGATCTTTTCGTTAAAATTAAATGAAAATAGTTTTATTCTCCAATAACCAAAAATTATGCGCAGAATAGAAACAAGCATAGCTGCAGAAAGTATTCCATAGTTTTTTGGATCTCGCGAAAAAAAATCAATTTTCAACAAAAAAAGACCGTCTCTAAGCAGGGTATGAGAAAATGAGCTTTAGAGGTTACCATCGCTCGTTTGTTCCAGCATCGCATCACCAGCGCCCGCGCCCAATTGGGTCCTATTAAGGGTATGGGTCATCGTGGTGTTGTTATGACCAGGCGCCTTGAGAGCGTGTGCTTCGAGGAGTGGCATCTTGAGCAGGTTCCTTTTGAGAAAAGATGGCAGGTGCTGCTCCACTTGTTCCACCCACTCTTTACTCTTCTTGTCTTCGTACTCTTTCATCTGTCTCGCCACTGCCAGGTACTTCTCACGAGCCTGGAACATAAATCAGTTTTTAAAATATCTTTTCCTACAATTTGATTTCCCAAACCCTTAATAATGAATCCTTACATAAACAGTTTCTAAGAAGACGTCAAGCAAGAAGCTAGCCATTTTCGTGGCATTTTCAAAACGCCAATTGATATTGCATTAATTTTGTTTTTCAGATGGCTGCAATAAAATTTTTATTATCATTTTATGTTTATGATAATTGAAATTTAAATTCAACATGTTTCAATTTCAATTGAACGGAATTCAAAACTCAATTTCAAAATGAGCGAAAAATGACCACACACCTGTTTTCCCATTTCAGTGTTCATCATGTCGTGTTCAGTCTGGAATCGGATGATGGTGTGTTTGATGCGGTGGAACAGACTCCTCTCCCAGGCAATCGCACCTGCTACGGGGGGCTGACATTTGTTCACCGGAGGATCACTCTTCTGTTCCTGGAACATCTTGTCCATCGTCTCCACCTAGTGTGCAACACCGAAAACTTGTATGAATATCACGTGATCAAACTCCTAAAAGCCGAGAAGAATTGTGGACCGTTAGAAAAGCTCAGCAACCGTAAGCAATTCAATATCGACTAATATCTTTTTCTTAGATTGTCCGAATTGATTTTTGTGTAAAAGTATTTAGTGTAATCGGCACTTTTCCCCCCCCCCCCCTCCCCACCTCACACGACCATCAATTTTATGGTGTAACGAGTGGTTTTACAAGGTTAATTATGAAGACCAAATATGTTTGGCACAGCTTAATTAGTCCGCACGTCAATTTTCATAACGATCGAACAATATGAACAGTAACTCAACTAGTTAAAAATTTCAGGTGGGGGAAAAGGAAAAAGAGCCGTGAAATCATAAAGAAACTCAGCACGGGAAGAATCGTTTGAACTTCACAGCACCAAGAACCCCGAGCCAATTTTTCTCTATCAAAACCAAAGGGTCAAAATTGATTTTCTCGTATCAAAATTGGTCACCACTTGTCTATTTTGTTAATGGGGTCTGTCGAAAGTGCCAAATAATCAAGAAAACGTGTCGAATGAGCCGAAGTTTCGCTGAAAAAGAGACAATGAGCCCAATTTCTACCAATTTTTTCTCAAGTTTTGGTGCTAAACTTCTTGGCGTAGAGACTGAATAGCTTAATTTACTATATGGAGCTAATTGAGCCCAAATTTTACCACCACCCTTCGAACATTTAATGAACAAAATTAAACTGCAAGCTAAAGCAGAATGACCTCTTTCATGTATGCGATGAGAATGTCGTTGAACTTCTGCATAAGCTGGTCATTTATGACTTTCCTGGACTTGATATGTTTAAAATTGAGCAACATGTCGAATGCTCCTTCAGCCGAACGCAGCTTGGCAAATGAGTCATCGATGAACTGTTTAGCTTCAGTTTCGATCTGTTTCACCTCTCCTCTGAATTTCTCCATCACTTGCGCCCACTGAGGTCTCGTCTGGGGGTTGAACACGTCGAAAGATATCTAGAAACAAGTAATAACAATTCTTCTTTGTGCATAAAACAAAGTTTTTTTCGTTTTGGTCTTGTTTTCTAAATTACTAAACATTTATAAATAAGTTAATCATGACCCAAAAGGCCAATTTTTTGGTACAAAACTTGTGATAAATTGTCCCCAAATAACGTTTTTGGCTATTTTTGTCCAAAACCTTCCATAAAATTTGTGTTGCCCTAAAAGTTTTTTACGGTACAAAAAAATCCTCGTGATTTGTTTATTTAGTCTTTGATATCTTGGCAAATCACTAACGACAAACTAACGCCCACCCCTTCAAAAAAATTCAGTGTCCGCTCCATTATATATTACATGAAACAAATCAGCAGAAAAACGTTTAGTGAAAACTTCTATAGTGAATTGAATCGATTCAACGCAAATATATTGACAGATTTGCTGCTAACACTCCTGCATGGCAGTAAAATTTTGAATTATAATTCACATTAAAAAATTGTCCGACCTCTTGCATAGGCTTCACAAGACCGCGAACCCGAACAAGAACATCATCAATCTTCTTCGAGTCACCAGTGACAGCAGTCAACTCGGGTCCGAAGAAGTTGTAGAATTCCTGCAGCACCTGAGCTACTTCCGAGAGATCCTTACAGATTTCGGCCATGTAGTTCGTCTTCCCAAACAATTCATTCTTCGGAAACTCCCAGCGAGCATCGCGTCCCGACTGCTCAATTCGGCTCCTGACCTCCAGATACGAAGCATTCCAAAGTTCAAGGGTTTTGATGGCCTCGCTTGCCATCTCTTGGACTTCAGGAGGTTTTCGGTCGAAGATCTCGTTAATAACTATCACAACAGCTACTCGGTTTGCAAGTTCCCAAGCAATGCGCTTCATCAAAGGAACCATTCTGTCATCCTTATTGTAGTGCCTAGAAATGATCCAGACCATCCTGAGAGCGTTCATCATTGAAGGAATTGTATCCAAAACGACTGCGAAATTGCTGCCTTGTGACAAATTCTTGAAATGTCGCTCTAACGTTGACAAGAAGCGAACGTTGTCTTTAGCTTCTGTATGCTCAGCCGTTAAATCCTGTTTAACAGTTTCAAATTCTTGTGAAACTGGACTCTCGGCGTTTTTCAACAACAGTAGAAAAACTCCAACGTCTGGAAGCTTCACTTGTTCGATCAAAGCGCTCAAGCTGGCATTCTTCTCGCGCCAAAAATCAATTTCAGCCAAAGGTCCGTCGCCTACAGGTTGCTTGGCTTTCAAGGCGTCCAATGCGCTGCTTATCTGCAGTTGCCAATCCTTCACAACTTCTTCAATCTGTTTCACTACTTGTTTGTTCATGACTTTTTCGTTTATGTTGTCGGCGTTGACATTCAGCTGTGGGATTTCTAATCTGACTTCCCCTTCAAGTTGGTGCATAGTTCGGGTAATAGACTTTCGAAATTTTGACAAGTGCATAGCGAAGTCGTCTCGAAGCAGTACTCGGTTCCTGGCCTCTAGGAGTCGGGCTTGCTTCGTCTCTTCGTCCATATCCTCCTCGTCTTCCCCTTCGGCCGACTGAGGTGGCATCTCGCCTGTTCGTTGTGCATAGTGCTGCATCAGGGGCTCGTAGATCTGCAAAAAAGTGTACTATTAATGAAAATTGTTCATCAACAAGTTTTTCAAGCACCTTGAGGACTTTTCATTTTTTAACTGTTCAGTAAATAACTCAAAAAAAAATAGATTTATAGATCGGTTTTAAAGAAAATTAATAGCAAAACTTGGCACAATTGTACAAAAATAGTAAAAATTGAAGTTGAATTCCAGAATTGGTAATTGCCGGTTATTATTGAACAACAGTACATTGAAGTATCTTTTAAATGCATGATCACGTGATGTACACCAGGCTGCTCGTCTTAAAATTCTTAAGAACAATTAAAAAAATTTCGGCTAATCATACCATCTGGAGCATGTCATTCAGTGTGTCCAATGAGGGTCCATGCATGGTAAAGTACTCAAAGTGCCCGGCCATATGTCTGTGCACATCTCTCTTCTCATTGCTCACCTAACAAACAATCACCAGTCAATTGAGACAATCAATTCCTTCACGCTGAATCCCTGATTGGATATGGAGTATAAAACAGCTACCAGATTAACCAGCAAAAATATGTCACTGCTACAAAACAACGATGTCATACTTATGAAACAGTCACAAAAACACGCAAACTTCTACTGAAAATATGCGTATATTTCAGCTGAAACAAATCAAATTATACTCCTCTAGCTTCAGGTCTACCATAGCTTGATCAACTTTGGTTTCTATAGTGTTACCAAGCAAAAAACGAGTAGTAAAAATAGCTTCACTGAACCAACAGAAAATGCAGTCTAGATTGTGGAGAATTAGAAATCAACTATCATCAGACAGGCTTAACAGCATCTGATAGATCTTCTAAGCGATTTGCACAAACAAAAATTACTACTGACATTACATTACTCACCGGAAGTTCTATCATGCCCTTGCCATTGCGAGTGAACACAATGCACTTGCGTTCAGCTATGTCCTCTGGAAATTCAGTCCCTTCTGCGCACATATACAGAGTAGTATACTCTACTTTGCGAGTCCGTGTTTCCTGAAAAAAAAAAACTGAATATTTTGCTCCAAGAAATTTTCAGAAAAAATTGAAATTCACGGAGCTTGAAATTACCCTTCGCAATCAAAATTTTTAAATTTCTTTTGTAACTGTAATTTCCTGACGATTCAACAAGATGGAAAAGACAAAAAGAATTCTTTAGACAGTTTTTAAGGTGCAACTAAGCACTAACCATTATGGTCTTCTTTTTCTTTGTCTCCCCGTCCACGCCATCCTCGCCATTCTCACCACCCTCTTCGCCACCTTCTCGGGGAGAACCACTGCCTCCCTCTTCACCTTCTCCTTGAACTTTAACCTGTACCTTCTGCTTCCCAACATCCCCGCCATCAATGCTCTTCTTTGCCTTTTCGGCTGCTCCCTTTTTGCTCTTGCCCTTTTTCTTCTTGCCCCCTCCGGCGCCATCGTCCTCCTCGTCGGCTTCGTCCTCTTTCGGCTCTGTGCCCCCTGCGGGAGGTTGACCTGAAGTGTTGTTGGCACCATCTGTTCCATCCGCATTTCCTTCTTCGTTATTTTCAGCATCTGTTTCGCCGCCTTCGACTTCTGAAAACTAACATATTGACCCACGAGCAGGCAGTTTTTTCCAACTTTAATAGTTTCCTTCGACTTTTCAAATAGGTACTGAACAACTTTCTCAAACACAGGTTTGCGGGTCCATCCGATTTATTTTAGCGGCTCTTTTCCACCCCCGCATTTGAGGTTCAGTTTTGAAAAAATAACTTTCGGTTGTCATAATAATTTTTTTAAAATTGCATGGTGAACAAACTAATTATTGTGAACACATTTTTCATTCATACTTATCATCGTAAGAACACGCATTCAGCCATAATAACGCGTAAGACAACTGAACTGAAAACATTTGACATGTGGGGGGTAAGTTAAGACTGCTTAGTTTCTCGTCCCTCGTAAATTTTCAGAAAAAAAAGTTCTAAATCTGTCCATAGTCATAAGAGTAGTTCAAATCTTATCACCTGTTCACGCTGACATATATTTTCAAAAAAATTAAAAAGGCGAAGTCATTTTAAGTCTTTCGGAAATCGCAGTTCAGCTTAATTCAGAGAAGGGACTTAAAAAGTAGTGAATATTGCTAATAGTGACTTGCCTATTTCCACTTCGTACTCCTCGGTTCTCTCTCGAATTGTCTTGTAGAAGAGAATAGAGGGATTCGTCTCATCAGTGGACTCGTTCAGATACGTCTGCAGACTCCTCTCGTACATTCCGTCATCCCTCCCAATCAACTCATTGAACACCTAACCAAACATAATTATCGACGCTTTCCCATCATAATAACCCATGACTTTTCCATTTTCCCCTACCTTTCAAATTTAATTTTGAAAAGTTTCTTTAACTTGGTCATAATGCAATGAAAAATGGCATGGCTAACAAACTGGCAACTGTGAACAGATTTGTTCTTCATGTTTACATCACGCATTTAGCCGCAATAACACGTATAACAAACATAAAAATGAATACATTGCAAGATATGAGGGTATTAAGAGCCATATCTCCCAGCTAACTATAGCCCCCATATTAGAAAACACTACTGTGCTGATAGGATTTAACTTCTAGGTAACTAGCGTGAAGAAAGAGCCATTATTTTTCGGTCCTTTCTCATTACACCATTCCCCCCCCCCCCCACAAATGTAGAAAAAATATAGCCCCTAAGTAGTTGTTGGTGATCTCCCAAGCAGTACTTAATTTACTTATAAAATTTTTTCATGTTGCGAACAACTATGTTCTTTCATATTTTTCTATCTACCCGAAAACAACTAATTACGATTAGATTTTGAGCTGAGAATAGAGGCGGAGTAAATTTTATTTAAGCTACTACTGTCAAGTCGATAGGTAGGAGGGTTATACTTTTCGCGGGGCTATAAGCCCAAATGATCAATTCAGTTACTTAAAAAAAACAGGTGTTTCTTGAGAAGTTTTTTTCTGATTTCCTTAAATTAATCTATTACCAGCCCCGTGGTAAAATTGCAAAATTAAGCTGTTCAAAAATTGTTCACACGGCTTTTTGCAAGTAAGAAATGTAAAATTTTGTTCACCTGTTCACGCTGACACGTTTTGATGCTGCTTACAACAAGAAAAAGTAACTTTATTTAGACTTTCACGTATTGAATTTCAAAATAAATCAAGGGGGGGCTGGAAAAAAAGCCTCATATTTTTTCCGATAAATGTTTTCTTATTCCTAAAAAAAATTCTTTCTCTTTTTCTTTCTTCATTTTTCCCTTACCTCCAGGTCCTCTATGTTCAGTGCCAGATAGGTCCGATCCCGCAACCACTCGATGCGAGGGTCGTCCAGGTCAGACATAACGACTATCTATTCCTATTCCTCGAGGCTTGTACGATAGATGAACAGCTAGTCGTGTCGAAAAATTATTTTGAGAATTTCTAGGGACTTTTATTTTGGATTCATCGACACGATGGTAAATTTTGCAGTATCAAACGGTAAACTCTTTTGCGTGCAAGAAAAAAGCACAAAATTGTACGTGCGTTTTGCTATGAAAGCAGCACGTGTTCAAACCAATATTTTATGGTAAGATTGATATCCACCTGTTTTTATTCAACAGTACATTGAGTATAAACTGAGCACGTGCTTTTTAGTGACAAAGAAAATACTGAACTTGCTGTCTAACAACGAGCTATCATTAAACAAAGTGGACGAGGTTTTTTTTGCAGCTTTCGCTCTTTAATCATAATCTCACGCGTTACCTGATTGTTCTAGTAGTGGTGACTGAAAGCGAGAGCAGTTATATTGCGAAATAATCTTTGAGAAATGGAAACGAGAGTTTGAATTGATTTCCTAATTACGTTGGTACATTTCTATGTTTTTATCGAAGCATTAACGATTTGATCTTTGGTTTCACTTTTTGGTCAACCCGGGCAATTCTCCGCCCAAAAAAAATAACCAAACAAGCTTGATTCATATTTATTAAGCAGAGGTGCAACACCGGTTAGAAGAAAAGAGGTGTACTTCGAGATTTTCTATTCTTTTAAAATAAGTTTTGGTCCCATTTAAACACACCTTGCACTTTAATAAAAGACGAAGTGCAAAAAATTAATTGAAAGATACCAAATAGTATATTAGTCAATGAAGCTTATTTGCATGAAATCTGGTAAAATAATTAATACCAAAATGATCTAATTTAAATATCAACTGCTCGTGAAAGCATTTCTCTGATTAAATATAGCGCAAATTTGAACAGCCTTGACAAAGTAATTCTGCGTTTTAGTTTGAGTTTCGCTCTTGCTGGCATACAAAAATTTCAGAAGTTTTGTTTCAAAGTTCGTTGTATCCTGTATCTGCTTCGATTTCCCAGAAATCTGTACTATCTGTTTTGTAAATCGGAGCAGGTGCTGGTGAATCCCCGAATCGATTTTTCGCCCGACCTGTAGCAGGCGACATCCTGCCTTTTCTAGGAGCCCCCTCCTCTGCTATGTTTTCTAGACTCGATTTGCCCCCGTGCGACGAAGGCGGCTTCGATTCAACCGATTTCGATTTATTCGGAAGCAGTTTCTCTTCCTCCGCTTCGTCTTCGCCTTCCTCGGACGCCGGAGCGTTCCCGTGAGCCAGTGCGTACGAGAAGAGCACCACGTTTAAAATGACCAAAAGAATTAGCCCCAAAATGAGAAAGCTGAGAGGAAATATAATTTTTCCTTCCAAATTTTTATCACACGAAGATTTAGGAGTTTTTGGTTCCGGTTCGTCATCTCGTCTACGACGGTACTTGACATCGGTTCTGTCAGCATCGTGAGACGCAATGTCGAAGTTCTTTTGGCTGAGAGACATTGAACCAACAAATGACCCACTTTTGTGATCGAATAGGTTCACCGTCTGCGAGCTGGATGTGAAGGGCACTATGTCCTTATTGCTAAATCAAAATTACAGCAATTACATAAGTTTACACATCATAAAACATTCACATTACATAGGTTAGCTGCAATTTTCTCACAAATTTCATGGCTAAAAGAACATTTAATCGACAAATTTATATTTTGGCGAAGAAACCAAGAGAGTAGTTTCATTAATGAGGGTTCTTTTGTAAAGATTTTTATCAATATTAGAAAAACCAGCCTTTATACAGTTATTTCATGTTTTTAAAAAATCATAGCAAAATTTTTTTTAACACAGAGGCGAAGCTGAGCTTCGCACCACTTGCGATACAAAACAAAACGACAAAAATTAAAAGCTAATGCGTCTTAAACGAAAAGTGAACTTGAATGAATTGTTCTAGGCCAAAAAATCGATATCTTTTTTGCAAAGTTATAAAAATCAACTACCTAACACATAACAAGGATTCGATCTACACAAACTCCATTCCCTTCTTTCTCATAAACAGTAGATGGAGACGATAAAAAAATAATTACGGTGAAAAAGTCGAGATCCATAAGTTCCTAAATGCATTCAAAAACATTGCCTAAAATTTGTCAACCAACCATCCTGCAAAACCTACTGGGGATAATAAAAGGCCCATTCGATAATTTGCTGTAAGCTAAAATCATAACGAAAGAAAAAAATTAAAACAAATGAATGCAAAAGTTTCAAACAATTGCCACAAAAAGATTGAATTGCCACAAACAAATGGCAAAAAATTGAAAACCGAACTCTGAAAGACAATAAAAACCAAACTACATCAAAAATGAAAACGGTACAGATCTGGAGCACACCAAAATTATATAATAAGAAAGACGCCCGTAAAGGACATAAAGAAAAAACACGAAAGTTCTTTATTTACAAAATTTCAGCCAGAAAGAACCAGAGTCGTAAATATTGTGCGACAATCGCCATTTTTCTTTGCCGATAAAAGAGTAAAAAATAGCAAAAAATATGACACTTTCCGGAAATGTATGATATTTTTTCGAAATTTTTTTCACTTGCCCACTTTAAGACAAACGCTATTCCATCAACTTGAATCGATTTCAAATAACATTGCTCAACCCTAACAAAAAAAAACTGATTCAACGCACTTTTAGATTCCACGCACTTTTTAATCAGAAGCCATGATTTTTTTTACTCCATTAACAGAAAGTTTTATCGTGATACTAACCCTCTTGAAAATGAAGGAAGAGAGTACTTAAAGAATCTCCAAAAATATAGAGGAAAAAAACACCCGGCAAGTAAGCCGACAAAAATTGGGACAAAATCAGAAAAGCCAACAAAAAATGATTTTTTTTTTGAAAATTGATTCAACTTTAGACCTAGTATCGCTCCATTAGCTCTAGACCAGCTGTTAGCAATGCAGCTTGGCAAACTTGTGCTGACATGCAGCTTGACGAGATTGGATATTGAGATCTTAAAATCGGAGATCCTGTGAACAAAGTTACTTACGGGAAAAAAGTCTAGAACCCGATTGCAATACCCTTGCTTACTGCAAGGGTAAAAAGAGAAATAAGAGAAAAAGAGAAAACAAACTTATGGTACGGTTTAATACAATACTTTTCTAAGTGTGATAAATTGAATATGTTTGTTTGTTTTGATACCATACTAAGAACTAAATCAATTTCCTACCTTAAGGCCAAATAGGATGATCCCAAGAAAGTTGTGAACTCATCGCCACCTCCCAAAGTACTGGCTTTGTTCACAACAGCAACATACAGGTCATGCTTGGCTGAGATGTGGTCCAGGGACACCAGATCTAGCGCTGGCATAGGCAGTACCAGGACTACACTCGACCATATGAGTCGTCCGTCTTTGAATTCGGGATAGATTCGGTTGGAAAACATGGTCGCTCCTTTAGTCGGCAGATCTACAAATAAATAGTATTCATTTAATGAAATGATCAATTTTAGTATCAATTTTATGAATTGATGATAAACTTCGGAAAATCGTTGATAAATTGTTTTCATTTTTTTGAAGGCCAGGCAGGTTTTTGAAGGCCATCGATCTCGTATCCTGTCAACTCCGAGCCTCATTGAGTTTTAAATTATTGATTCAAACTCATACAGTTTTGCTATCGCCAAAATTAATTACTTCATTCTTTATACTAGTTTTTATGTAACCCTAGCGCAAGTTGCAGAGTTAACTGGGTGACAAACTTTATTGGTCCACTCACGTCACCAAAAGACGGAAAGAACTGTGACGTAGGCTGATATTTTTTCCGTAAAACTTAGACAACCTCAAAGAACGCTCGTACGGTGGTCACGTGTATTAACATTTTACAGCACTTTTAGCCGTGATTCTGATTCCAAATAAATTGAAAAAAATTGTCTCAGTGACGAGCAAAACGGGTCTACATGTTGTCTTGCACTACATTGCATAGAGGTATGGACAATTAGTTTACATGGCGAACTCTTTCTTAAGTAATTCCACATTAAATAAAAAACAATCGAATTATTTTTTCAACTTTTGCAATTGATTCACTTCAAAAAATGTTGCCGGAAGATTCTGTGCAACTTGTACAGCAACCGGCTATTCTTGCTTATGATGAGTGTTTGCATCTTTTTTCACAAAGTAGAACTATATAAAACGAAACTGAATCCGCAAATTATGTGACGCCACGTAAAATATGTCACAAAAAATATTCTCAGTTATGCGCATGTTTTCTGAGAAGCTTATGTTATCTAGAAAATACCTTCATTCGAACAAAACAGAGACCTAGAAACTATTTAAGAATCAATTTTCAAACTCTGACTGCCACGCCGAATTAAAGGCTACCACTAAGACTCAATGACTGCCACGACGAATTAAATCTCGAATTCCGGAAGATGACTACGTATGGCCAGTATTCAAAAGATGAAATACAGTATTTTATTTCCAGCCAGTACATTCCAGTTTGTCGCATTTTTCAGCTTGCTGTGAAGTATAAAATAAGTTTGTCTGTTTAAAGACCGCAAACCGATTCTCAAGGCAAAACTAACATTTGAAATCGATGGCGGCTCCTTTTTTCGACAGCAGCGTGCTATCGAGAACGATGATATCATGGGCCTTCTCAAACTTGTCTGACAAAATTGCTCCCATAAGACCTGAAACAAAACAACTCATCAGCCAGTATTTCGAATCAGAGACAAAAAAAACTTTAAAAAATTACCGATAGAATACTTACCTTTCTCATAATGGGAGGAAATTTTTCTATCTGCATCTACCAGAAGATATATTGCGTGAGCGTCTGAAACAAAAACGGCTTTCAATGTCAAATTTATGCGTAAAACCTTGTAATTGCAAAATTTGAATCAACATTTTAAATTGGTTCAGAGCCTTCAGTGCATCTGGCAAAGCCACCAGCTACTTTTGTTTTTTATTCCACACACCAGTTGTGCGGACAAACTTTGAACTCTGCAGTTTTTTTCATGCAAAATCACATTGAAGTAGAAAATCAAATTAAAGTATTGAGCAGACAGTTGGGAAAGAGTCAATGAACGCCAGAACAAATAAAACTTTTTTGAATTTCAAAGCACAGCATATGGCCTTTGATACAATTATTTCAATTTGAGAAAATTGGATCAATCTAAAAGTTTATTCTCCTGGAAAATCTGGAAATTAAAAACCATCTTCGATATAAGATTCCGATCACGTTTTCGTGACCTTTACAATTTTGCAGTACAGTTTACTTCCTTTTAACAAATAAAATAAACTGAACTGAAGTTTGCTTTTAACAAAGAAAATGAACTGAACAGAAACCGAAGTCGAACCACGAGAAGTCAAGTTCGAGCGTGAACAATATATAAGACTTTTTCCTGGGAAAAGAAAACAAAAAAAAACATCAAGACCTACAAAAAGAGCTCACTACATTCATTGACTCTTAAAACCACTTTAAATCGTTATTTGGACAGCAATAAAAAATTCCTAAAACTTTGAGTGTCGAGAAAACAAGATCTTGACATTTTGCTTTTCAGGCTAATTATAACAAAAGGGCAAAATTTAGATAAGAAAAAGATCAATTTAAACAAATAAATAAAGCTGAAAAAAATTTAAGGCTAATTTTTTTGAAAATAAGTTTCTGAGACAGTTTTAAACATTTGTATCTCAGCCTAGCCCAAAGAAGGACAAGTTTTTTAATAGAAAAAAATGAGAAGATTTTTTATAACATCTTGTTTTTTGAACCAGTGAAATCAACCCAATCACCTTATTTTAAAACGAGCATTATCAGCAACGGGAAAGGGCAAAATAACAACCTATAGATGGAATAAAACAAGGACGCCCGTCGAAAAAAAAAACGCCTCACGATACGAAAACAATGAAAAAACTCTAACCGAAGAAAAATTTCGAAATCGGATAACAAGTTCCTTTAGGAAGACGATTTAAACACAGAGGCGAAGCGGAGCTTCGCACCACTTGCGATACACACAAAAGAGCACGAGTCGAGAAAATCTGAAAAACTAGGCGAAACGAAAATGTAGTCTGGTTAACTCTGGATTGTTTTTGAATTTGTTTTACTGATGCGGACGAAAAAATGCGTAGTTTCAAAATCGGATTTTGTTAAAACCTTGACTGTTTCTCTACTAAAACAAGTCAGATGAGTGAAAATTTTTGAGATTTTGGAATGTTCTCAAAGATATAATTTTCTCTTACAACAAAAATAAGGCGTAGCCGCCTCTGCGCAAAAAATTCGCGCCACCGTTTCTTTCAATTGAAATTTCTATCTCAGATTTAATAGGGTAGTTTTTAAGGACATTCAAAAAGTTTTTACAAAACGGTCAAAGTTCAAAAACCTGACTTTCCGAATTCTGTAATTTTTTTTCCTGCTAAAAGCCGGTCGTGGCAGCTAATACAGGGCAGCTTCTCACTACCCGTTATCTCCATTGAACCCACAACCTTAGGTTTGGGAGGATAGTTTTCCAGAAAAGTTAACAGATTCAAAACACGGTCAAAAAATCAAAAGATTGACTTATCCGAGGGCCATAATTTTATATTTAAAAAAGTTTGCGAGTAGCCACTTATAGAGGCGATCTTTCCAAATCCCTTCAATTTATTGAATTGAAAACTCAGATATGATAGGCTGATTTTTGAGAAATCGACAAAAAACCAAAAATATCGGTCAAATATTCCCCTACTTTTTCGAAGGCGGTAGACAAAGGGGTGAAGCAAAAAGAGAGCAGGGGACTATGCAGGAGTATAATGCGAGTATTCTTTTGATACCACTTTTTTGAAAACCGGTAGAGAGGTTTTTGAGAAAAAACTAAAATTTATGCAAAAAGTCATAAAAATTTCCAAAGTGTCTCGAAAAAAAAAACCAAATCCCGTAGACTTTCATATTACCTGTTCTTATCAAACACGAATTCCAGACGAACCTGCCAAGCAAGGCATTTGAAACTCAAATTAGCAAATAAACAAAATTTAAGAAGCGGAAACAAGGCCGACACTCTTTGAGCAGACACCAGTTGAGTTGAAAAAACTGATATTATTTAAAAAAAAAACTACATGTAGTAACTCGAACCCGCCCAGTATTTAAATTTGAATTTTCAAGAAAAAGAAAACATCAGCATCATCAGTGATAGCAGCATCATAAATTATTCAAAAGATTTTGTTAAACTAGTTGTTATCCCGAAAAATGTCTATATTCCGATTTGATCATGCTTGCTAAAAAGTTAGTTAAAAAGTCAATATTTGCTAAAACAAAAAGAAACACAAACAAATTATCAGTCGTACCTATGAAAATTCAAATTTAAATTAGTTAGCGTATGACAATTAGCAAAAAAAATCTACGATATATTATATAATAGCTGGCATTTCAAAACTCAATTAAAACAAATGATTGACTTTTTTTTGAAAAATTCGAATTTGAGAGAAAAAATATATCAAACGTTGCACCCCTGTAAATTTCAAGAATGATTAACAATTTTTCATAAAACTAACCCAATTAGAAAAAATCTGACCCAAAAGCTAATTGCTTGTTCCGCTGGGTAATCTTGAAATTAGGACCACTTTCGAACCTGAAACTTATTCATATTTTTTCGAGACATTTCGGCTTTCTTAATTGGCATGAGTAATTTTCCTTCGTTTTAGTCAAAACACAAAATACCACAATTGACGTGATCAACGTTATTCGAATTTTTCTCGACTCTATTCATTGACACTTGAAAAGTAAAATAAATATACAAACCCTCAAGATTTGAAGCAACGCCACAAATTTGAAAGAAAGAATGCAATTTTGTTGTATATCAATAGAAAAGAAATTAAGACAATATATTTGGCATTCAGAAAAAACGGAAAGCAAGCCAATAAAAATTGAAATAAAAACCAAGACTTCATGAAATACATTTTTGCTATAAACTTTCAACCAAAAAACTTCATCAGTACCATAAATGAATTATGTAATTAAGTGAACCATTTAAAAGGAACCTATGTATGCACCTGCACGTGTCAGCAACTGCTCGTATTTACTACTGGCTTGCGCAAGTCAGTTAATTGAACATATAGTTTCCGATTACCAGATAATTGCTCTCGAAAGTGCAATTCAAATTGGTATGTCCAAAAGTTTATTCCAATAATTGGTAAAAAAAGATAAAAATTTAAAATTTGATGCGTTTATCTCAATTTAAGTATAACCTCAGCGCCAAAAAAGAGATTAACAGTTGACATTTCTCACAGTTAACGCAGTAATATTTGATTTGCGATAACCAAAAATTCACTCTCAAATTTCACTTTGATTTATTTTTCTAAATAGAAACGCGAAAACCTTCAGATTCTATTTAAAATTATAACCAAATGAGCCTCTTAGCTTTTTGCTTTGCAAGTTGTTAAATTTTAACCGTTTTATCAGACATTACCTCCTTTTGATTGAATCCCCTAAATTTGACTGAAACAAATTTAACTGTTTTTCGTTTTGTCCGAATAATTTAAGTCAACACTACGGTCTCGCATAACTCTTCAGCTTTATAGGAATCTCAGTATGCAACCACTTTAAATGAAAAACCTATAAATCAATTTGCAGGTAGCCTTTATCCGGAGGTTTTTGGGACAATACTGGGGAACTGAATTGTTTTCACGATCTTAAAGAAATAGCATGAAAACTACAATGATAATAAAAATAGACTTGCGAAAAAAGAAAAATAGAAGAAAGCGTCCTTTTAACATCAACTAAGACTAGTAATTTTGAAGATGTTGTAATTTACGCAAAACACGGGGAAAGATTACTGGTAGGTAGTATTTGTTAAACTCGAGCTGTTAATTTATTTCGAGCCATGCCCGTTTTGCACTTTAGTTTTGACGCAAGTGCAATATTCGATTCAAGTATCCGACCAAAATTTCACGAATTGAGGGGGGGGGGTTACAGAAAAGACCCCGAATTGTACTGTCTTATATGAGATTTATCTGTATCAAAGCATTTTAAATTATTGTTTAAAAATAATTAAAAAGACCGCAAGTTTTGATGTTGCTTCTCCACTTAGTTAAACAAAACATACCTTGAGTTAGGATGAACACGCAGACAGCGCCAACTGATGTTTCTCCAGACGACTCGCACAAATCGGGCATACTGCTTGAAAAATTGGCTCTGGTAAAAGTTCCATTACGGAAGAAAGCTCCAAATATAGCACTTGTTGTTCTTGATGGTACAGAACTATCACCAGCATCAATTTGGGGAGAGAAAAGTATAAAGCTGATAAGTGCTATAAAGGAAGAGCTAAAAACTAAGTTAGAGGTCATTTTCGATTTTAGCAGAGTGCGTATTCTTGAATTTGGGAGCTACGTTCTTTTAAAGCTCTGACATGCAGCGACCATTTTCGGGTTCATTTTTCTTCGAGTACGCAAATTTAGAAGGTCCTACGCAAACTTCTACACCGCTACCCGGGGTGCTTCAAAATGACACTAATACCATTCAAATTAAGAGCTGTGTTTACGGAATACTACACCATAGAAACGTTTCACCACTCCACTCCGTATAAACAGTTTCAGGCAAGGTGTAGTCTTAGACTGCCTAGTTCTACTAGCAAGATAGTTAAAAGGGATTTCACAAACAAATAGGTACAAACACTCCGCACTTCTTGTAGATTCCACTTTGTCAGCCAATGCTACGGATAGAATAACCAAGAATATGTTTGAAACGGGGGGCGAAAATAACTCCACTTTTAGTTACCGATAACAAGGGTTGACCTTTTGTTTGAAATACGCCAGAAACACAATCCAAAAACGCTAACGTTTTTCCCGAAACTAGAGTAACTCAGGCAGAAATTGTACCAATAGCCGACGGTACAGCGGTACAGTCACTTAAAACTCACCACTTGTACCGAATTGCCTTTTCAAAATAGTTTCAGCGACTGAACAAACATATTTGGCCGATATAAACCTAAATAACTTATCTACAGGTTGGACATTAATGGAGTTCGGCTTAAAATTTTTTATTTTTTTTTTACAGTGAAATTAAAATTGCTTGATACAATTTAGCAGGTGGATAAAATTAACGAATTTTTTCGGCTTGTTCTTTATTCGAAACTTTTGACATCAGCAAACTGTTTATAGTTAACAAAACTACAAATAATAACTGGTTTCAAAATATATAAGTGTCCATGCAGAGAAAAACCAGCATTGCATATGAATTGAAAACTAGTCGGAGGTGGTTGTTTTTAATCTAAATAGGCTGCAGCGGAAATAAAAATATCACTCATTTCCTAGATTATTACCTGTATTGACAGAATCTATAACCAGCAATCAATTATAACTGCTCCTGAAACAATTTCCGGATACTAACAGCAAGTTGATTTTTTAAATATTTACAGCAGGAACACGAATTATGATTACGAATACATGTTTACACCTATAATAAAACAAGACTGCTCGCGTATATCAGCGCAAAGCCCTGAATGTTCCGACTGCCCTTTATTATGTCTCGAATAAATTTAAGACTGCCAGTATGAAATATTAGGTTCTAAATTTTGAGTAGAATTAATAGGACCAACTAGTTTACCTTAATTTAATTCGGAAAAAAATTGAGCTAGGCATAAAAATTGGCGTATTGAAAGTATTATACGTACTAATCAAGCGGTTTTTGACCTCATCTTGGCTAGTGCAAGAACACTTACCTGGCAATCCGGAGATTCCCGGATCGAGCCCGCAGTCAAATTTCTTTGTTAATTTTTCTTTAAAAAAAACAACCAAAACATATATTTTTCGCTTTCTTCGAAGTATTAAGTGGACAGTTTACGCAAGTTTTAAGCGCATTTGGTATAGTGCGTAGCAAACCCTCTTATAAACACGTAGATTCCATGTTTGCTTCCCACTATAACTTTTTGGCTACTTCAATTACTCTAACACACTGAACAAAAACTGCTCGTCCAAGGCGAATCCCTGAATGCTCTGATTTCCCTTTTAAAATCTGAGGAACATTACACACAAAGGCAAATCAGAACTTCGCACCTAGATCTAGAAAAGCTAGATCCAACAAAACTTTCATATCTTTGTCTCAATGTTTCTTCGACGAAGCGGTCACATAGGCGACAATTTATGAGCAGACACCAGTTGAGCAAAAACAAATATTTTCATACACAGAGGCGAAACAGAGCTTCGCATCAATTGAGATACCACTAAAATAGCATTGCAAGCTAGCAGACCGGAAAGGAAAGGAAGCAACTAAATCCAAAGAAAGAGCTTTTTTTTCGAAAAAACCAGAACTAAGAAATTTCTAAATTTGTCTGGAATAATGTTCTATTTGCGGAAAACACCTCCACAAAACACATTCGACGGCGTTTAATTTAAGTTTAAAAACATGCGAGCAAAAAAATGTTGCCATAAAACAAACTAGCGTTTAAGGCACCTTCGGTGCTTCGAAACTTTACGACAGCTCATGAAAAACCGCATATATTGGAAACAACATCTGCAAACTTTTAGTGTACTCTGACTGCACCCAATTACAGGGTTGGTAATTTCGAACTTTTACATTTTTTTAGTTCCCATTTTAAAAGCGTCATCTCGAAAACTTAATGGGCCTCTGGAGAACTTTGGAGGCCAGATTTGCAACCACTAAGAGCACCCTATTATAGGGTTAGGAATCCCAAAATTTTGTGAATTTTTTTAAACCTAAGTTTCCGAAAAAAAAATTTTAGAAAAAAACGTCTTATCTCGGAAACTAAAAGGATTTGAGCATTCATATTAAGAGGCAAGTTTTGAGACGCCTGGGTGTACGCTGACAATAAGGTTGTATCTTCATCAAGTTAGTATTTTCAAATTTTTTGAATTTCTTTGTAGATAAGTTCTTCGAGAAAATTTGAAAAAGTCAAAAAACGTCACATCTCGGAATCTAAAAGCATTAGAGCAGTCGCGTTTAGCAGTCGCTTGTGGCAAGATTTGCAACTCCTTAGAGTACCCTGACAACACCGAACTATAGCGTTGGAAATTTCAAATTTTGAAAAAATAATTTATTTAAACTTTCTGAAGTTTTCAGAAAATTTTTGGAAAAATCACAAAAAAAACGTCATATCTCGAAAACTACAAAAAATTGAGCAGTCATATTTGGAGGCATGATTCGCAATTTTTGAGAATACTCGGACAGGACCCAACTACAGGGTTGGGAATTTCAGATTTTGCGAAAAAAAAATTAATATAAGTTTTCTGAAAAATCACAAAAACCGTCATATCTCAAAAACTACAAGGATTTGAACAGTCATATTTGGAGGCAAGATTTGTAACTCCTTACAGTACTCTGACAGCACCCAACTACAGGGTTGGGAACTTCAAGTTTTGTAAATTATTTTGTTATTTGAAATTTCTGAGAATTCTGGAAAAAAATCTCAAAAATCGTCTTATCTCGTTAACTAAAATGATTCGGGCACTCAAAATTGGAGGCCAAATTTGCAACCCCTAATTCGATATTGGGCTGCTTAATTTAAACTCGGTAAAATAACCACCAAAATCAAATTGGAAAATCGTAAAAAAAATTCTTAACCATTGCAATATACGATATAGCTTAAACATGCAAAAATAATACGTTGAAAAAGCTTAAACATGGCGAGATAGTGAAGCCCGCATTTAAATATATAAAAGATAGATTGAATTAAAAATTCTATTCTGAGATTTTTAAATGTTTTGTGCGATTAGTGCAAGCTATTGATTAGAAAATGAGACGATAATAACAAAATTGAAAAAAAAAACAATCAAAAACAGTCGAAAAAAAGAACCACCTGTATTCAATAAGCTTTTAATATTTACCGAGCGGCCACTAACCCGACAGCAAGTGAGCAGACGCCCATTGCACTGAAAACAAAAAAAAACACCATAAGAATCTCATAAAAAAATTGTGTATTTGCGCAAGTGAACTTTAAATCCTCGCAACACACCAGAATTTTTCTATTTAAAAAAAATTGTCAAATTTTGCCTTTGAATTGACGCAAATTAAGTAACTAAACCGATAAGACATAAACCGAAACCATATAGGACTAATAAAGCTTTTAAGCGAAAAAAGCGAAGAAAATATACATCGTCAGGGCTAAAAACAAGGAAAATATACAATTTCGAGGCTATTAAAAATACAAATTACAGGAGTGTGACAAAAATACTTTCATCTACCATAAAAAATGTTGAAAGCACCAGAAAATTACCCGATGTGGCAACTAAGCCGACAAGACAAGCACACAAACCCGACCATTCAAATTTTCCCAGAATTTTTTAAAACTTCATACATAGTGAAATAAACAAGGTTTGGCTGAGACTTGACACCCAGAACTCAAAAATCGACTGCATTGCTTCCAAATTTTTTTGAAAAACTTTTTGTTCTTGTAAATACTATAAATAATTTGAATATACAATAAAACTAAGTTAAGCTCCGTGATTTTCAAGAAAACTTTATGACACAGAGACGAAGCGGAGCTTCGCTTCACTTGCAATACAACACAAACATCATAAAAAACATAAGTAGGAAAAAAATTATATAATGAAAAAAACTAGTGGAGCCAAACTTTTCGTAAGTCCCGACAAAAAAAACCACGGGACCAGCTAAAGCTGGAGTTACGTATTTAATTTTGAATGAATTTGCTACTGATGCGGCACGAAAAAAGTCATTTCAAAAATTGGACTTTGCCTGAAACATTAGTTGTTCCTCTACTAAAATAAGTGAAAAGAGTAAGATCTTTTGAGATAACCAATTTTCACATAAAGATGACATTTTTCCTACAAAAAATTAAGGAATCCCTGCTTCTAAAGGAACAATTATCGTAACCCGTTCTTTCAATGAAATTTTTCAACTCAGATTCGATTGTGTAAATTTTAAGAAAATTCAAATAGGTTCTAAGAAGCGGTCGAACGTTCTAGGAAAACGTGTAAAGACCTTCCAAAATCCATAACCTTTTTCTTCTGCAAAAAGCAGATTATGGCCGCTTAAGCAGAGACGATTTCCAAAGCAGGGTTTCTCGATTGAACAAAACTTGAAAATTGGCCCGCTAGTTTTCGCGTAAAGTCAAAAACTTTCCAAAAAAACAGTCAAAGTTTCAAAACTTTCACTGGTTTGAAGGCCATAACTTTTTTATTAGAAACTGAGCGTAGTAAATATAAACGTAACCTTCCAACAACCTTTTGTGTCGGTTTAACTTAAGATATCAGATTTGGCAGGATAGTTAGCGAGAAAAGTCCAAAAAACGGTCAATAAATCACAAAGTTGATATTTCCGAGAAATATAGCTTGTTGTTTTAAGAAAAATAGGCATAACCGCATACTCTGAGCAGATTTACCTAACCTATTAATTCGATTGAACCCATAAACCTGGGTTAGGCAGGACAGTTCTCGAGCAAAAACAATTTACAAAACACGGTCAAAATATCAAAACTTTGACTTTTCTGAGTGTCATAATTTTTTTTGTCAAAAAAACTTAGGCGTAGTCGCGTATGCATAAAAGCTTCCCACAACCCGTTTTTTAGATTGAACCCAAAATCTCAGCTAATCATAGCTTTTTGTGTGAAGAAATGATGTGCAGAAACGGAAACGTTATTTAGAAGAGATTCATGCAACCTGTAATTTCGAGAAAATTCGTTCACAAAATCAAAATTTTTACTTTTCCGAGGGGCAAAATTTTTGGACTTGTGCGTAGTCGCATAAGCGAATGAACTTCCCGAAGCCCGTTCTGAGAATTGAATCCAAAATCTCAGGTAGGGCAGGGTAGTTTGCGAGAAAATTCATTAATTTTAAGAAAACAGTCAAAAAATCAAAAATTTGATTTTCAGATGGCGATAACTTCATGTGTAAAATTCTCTGTTAGGGTACGCTAATGCAGAAGAGCTTCAAACAAACTTTTATCTCATTGAACTCACATCATCAGATTTGAGAAGTTGGTTTTCGAGAACTAATTCGACTATTCCGGGCCATAACTTTACGTGCAAAACAATTCAGTCGTAGAAAACCTTATGCAGGGGAGCTTTTAAAAACAGTTCTATCCATTGAAACCAAAAAAAGTTTGAGAGATATAGTTTTTGAGAAAACGAAAAAAGTCAAAAATATGGGTCAAATATTCTACCATTCTTTTTCGAAGGCTGTCAACAGGGGGTCAAGTAAAAACAAGACTCTAGGGGAGTATGCAGGCAGTAAAAAGTAAGTAAAAAAAATTCAAAACGAAAAAAAATGAAATTTCAACAAACAGATTGGTAAACATACAACCAACATGATAAGTGCGGAGTGGTTTGCTAAAATTGTGTTGATCTTAAAAAATCCCAAAATTAGATCATTAGGCCGATGAAAAAATAAGCCAAAATATATTTGGCCGAGGAATATTTTAGCGAAACAAAAAAAAGCAGGAAATATGAAATCAAGATAAGTAAAATTGCAAAACCTAGGCGCAAATCAAACACTTAAAACGAGACTTAAAAATGCGCGTTTAAAAAATCAAATCCAAGATGTGACAACTAAGCCGACACATCAGACAAATAATTGGCCGAGAATTTTTTTTTGAAACAGAATATTTCGTTTGAAAAAACAGGCCCTGGTTAGACTTGAACCCACAACCTTTGGCGTCCCAAGCATATTAGTTACCTCCAGTCTAAGTTGGCCAGAAACGCTAAGAAGTTCGAATACATAATGATATAAGGTAGAGAAGAGTCCAGACGCGTCCTGTGGACAAAGTTATTTACGGGGGAATAAGTCTAGTACCTGGTTGCAATACCCTTGCTTATCGCAAGAGTAATTAACATTTTTTTTGAGAAAATTAACACAATTTAAGAAAACTAAACTGGATCAATCGGTAAAAGTTTTTAAACCGCTGAAAATTAAATCCCCTCCAGAAACTAAAGTCGTTGACGTTTTTTCTGCTCCGTTTCCGCTTTCGAAAGTAGAAAGCGTTACTTAACTAATTTATAGCAAATGATAGTGAACTGAAATCAAAAAAGGCATCTGTACCCATAAATGCATTAAAATGTATGAATGCATTTCTGTAGTTATTAAAGCATAAAGACCTTTTCCTGAAAAAAAAAACGAAAATAATCGAAAATAAATTAGTGAAAATCACTTCGTTCTGTCACACTTGAATATGGTTCAAAAAAGATAGTCATACTAAAAATTCTTCCGGATAATTACTCAAAACCGGTTTTTGTAGAGGTTTTTGAAATGAATTTTTTCTTCACACATCATTGCAAAAACCATATAGATGAATCGTTTAAGCGATATAAAAAACCGTATGGTGCAAAAGAATGGCATGCAACCCAGTGCTATCTACAACACAGCCAACAGCACAGTCAGATGTTCGTAACGGTGATAATTATCCTGACTGACTTCAGCTGAACTAACTCGTTCTGCACAAAAACCCGGTTGCTTCTTTAGGGACTATTGTCATCGATCTTAAAAAAGGTTAGTTAATTTTTAGGAAAGGGATAGTCCAGAAAAAAAAGGTTGGCTAATAGGATACAGGTAAAAAATTGGTAGCGACGCTTCGTACCGGATTAGTTGCTGGCCCGGAATTGACTTCATATACATACATGATGAGATGAGATGATCATAGGCTGCCAGGCCTCATTAAAAGAGTGAATCGACTTGCTCTCTATCCGGGATCTTCCACTGTCATCGAATCCGGTATCATATAAAAAAATTTAATTTATTTGATTTAAATTCCAATAAATGGTCAATTTAATTTACAAAATTAGCGAATAAAAATCAATATTGAATTGAAACAGTGTTAATTCGTTCGAAGCACCGGTGTATGCATTAAATCCAACTACTTTAGGTACACTAGGGAAACAAATGTACATAGATAGAAGAAGAGCAATAGAACGGGAGAAACGTTTCGATTCGAACCGAAACACCTGACGTTTACGACATGAGTGCTAACTAGTTTTCAAACAATGGAGAAACTTCGTTTTGAGCATTGCAAAGAATGATTTTATAGTGCGTTCTAGTCCATGAAATTTTAAATATCGAGAAACTAAACTACTGCAATTAACAACGTTTGAGACAAAGAATTGAGATTACGAAGCATTATAATTGTTGGGAAATTTACAAATTCAGACAGAAACTTTGCTATCAGTGGGTAACAGCGAAGCACTCAGCGTGTATAAGTTTTAATTTTAATTATCTCTACCTAAACATGCCAGCTGCAGGATTGTTTTGAGCCGGTGGTCTTGTTGTGCTGTCGAACCTCTCCAGGGCCAACTGTATCCTTTGTGTAATGTTATTGTAGAATATGAGCTGCTGCTGTAAGTAATCTCGCATCATATCCGAGAAGTCCACGTCCCGATCTGACTGGAAGTTGTTCATCTCGGCCAACACCGAATAAGTTACCACGGTTGTCCTGTCTTGCACTTGTTGCACCTAATCAGATACTTTTAAAGAATCATCAATTTTCAGGGAACAGGCCAATTTTCTTATGATAATACAAAACAAATGCATCAACCAATTTTTTTCTGAAAAAAAATGACGACAATACGATAAAGAAGCCGTTTTCATCACAGTTGACTGAAGATTGCTCGCTATATTTTTTTCTTGTTAGCACCAATAGTACGTTCATGTCAAATGCTTTCGGCCGAGGCATTTCCGCTGACAATCATCACTGCCTACAAGCTCAATTGGAACATTTCACTTTATTAAACAACCTTGTAGCTTTTATATGTGGTGAAAATACAAACGCCAGCTAAAAAAAAAACTTTGAGGAACATGAGGAAAATTCGAAAGTTTCAATCAATCTATTATTCGATAGAAACGAAGTTGCGCTTCGCATACACTAGCCAGAACACGACAAAAAGCAGCTCTATAAAGTTCAAAAAAAGTACAAATTAGCCTCGAATTAGTTAAAACTCGCCCACTTCTCGGATTCGAACCTACGACCTACTGCGAGCTAGAGACTAAGCCTCACACACTAACCACTTAGCCACGGACACTTAATTAATGACAAACACAGGCCAAAAATAAAGCAGAGAACAGGTGCTTTACAATTTCCAATGCTATAGTGAAAATTCCATTTAAGCGAACACATTTATTTGCGAGTTAGGTTAGAAAAAAAAGGTTCGTATTAATACACTAACGCTCGCAAGCTTGCTAGTGTGATCAACGAAAGTGAGAAGGAATTTTGTATTCTTGCATTCAGGCGTTTCTTACGCAAAACAAAGGAACAACAAGGACGAATCGGACTGCAAACGAAATTTCTTTAAGACGTCTTTTTCATACAGAGAATACGCTTAAAATCGACATTTTTTCAACTGTTCCTACTACTGAAAATGGGGAGGAACTTTGCATTTGGGTGTTTCAGTTTCTTGACCGTATCTTTTTCCACGCAAATCAGCTCTATAAAGTGCAAAAGGAAAAAAATAGAAAGATTTTTCCAGATTTTGAGTTTAAAATATAACACAGCCAGCATATTGAAAAGAAAATGAAAACAAAACAAAGAGCCACATGGCAAAAAAGCGAAATACCACAGTTAAAGGTTCACGTCAGGGTTAGGTGATAATGCATATGAAAGACCTTTCAATCGGGATTCGACAGATACTTAAAAATTTCGCAAAAGTTTTCTTGTCAGTGGCGCGACAAATCTCTAACTTTTTAGTCCATTTAGGTAGTGAGTTAAACAAGCTTGTACAGCCTTAAGCAATTTATTCAGCTATAAAAGGAATATTTCCATCTCAGAACACCAGCTTCAGTTTGCGCTCTAAAAAACTAACGTGGAAAAATATTAGAACGAAAAACTGTTTTCATTTCTGTCACGTATTTTGAAAAGAATTGTCTTCAACTGAAGCCAATATTAATTTTTCCAAACTTGGTTTCTGTTCCTCACGCTTCACCCTACACGCACAAGGAAGCCAGACAAATTAAAATAGATTAATTCTTTTCTTCCAGAATTACTGTGGTCGGAAATAACCTTCAGTGAAACCACAGAAACCGGCTTCACATGATCATTAGACATTAATGTTCAATCCGTGCAGCTGTTTAATGGAAATTTGATACGTGAAGGAAGAATTTCAATACAAAATTTAAACAGGCGAAGCTGCACTTCACAAGCAACCGATAGAGTAGCTCTAAAACTTTAAAAAAGTGAAATAATCTGCGCAATAATTATATGGTCTCACGTCCTCTTATCTGCGCTTGGAAATAAAAAACACGAGCCACCATTAAAATAGACAGACCAGAAGCTATTAAATTGACAAAAAAATGCAGCTAAAGTTGCACCAAATGAGCTCTTTCATTAGCGATTTGGGTAAGATAACAGTTTATTCGTAATATAACTACGCTGGCTAGTGCAAAAAAAAACACTATTTTCTAAGAAATCTGAATGTTTCCAGATTTTGAGTTCTAAATATAACACAGCCAGCATATTGAAAAGAAAAAGAAACAAAACAAAGAGCCTCATAGCAAAAAAAAACTCAGAAACCAGAAACATTTCTGGAAATTTCAGAAACCACAAACACCAAAAAAAACTGCACGTTAGAAAATATGGTCCATAAATTGCATCTTAAATTAACGCATTAAAGAATTTTAAAATCAGCAAAAAACCATCCGCTGAAAACTCTTTTACCAAAACGGGAAAAGAATGCATCTACAAAAAGCAAAGAAAATCTGATACGCAAGAGGCTTACAATAATTTTATACTACAATATTGAAACCCGCGTAAACACTGGGTAGTGTTATAAATGCCAAAACATTGCAAACAAAACATCATGGGGCGAATTTCATAGGTTCATTGACAATTAAACTCAACTGCGAAAGAGCAGGAGCAAAAATCCATGACATAGCCAACAGTGACTTGTAAAAGTGTGAAAAAACTCAAGACGGAAGTTAATTGTTTCTTTAACTTTCCTTCGGTTTCAAAAAACATAGCCAACAGACAGTTGGAATAGAGTCAACGAACTCAAAACAACAGAAAAAAAAATTATTTTTGAAACTTCAATTTTGAATTTCCACCGAAAAATATATGGCCTCAACACTCTTTGAACTTCAAGACGAATTAAGGATTGACACTTTTCCGATAAAACTAACTCAATTTGACAAAACTGGATAAATGGGCATAATTTTTATTCTGCTGGAAAATCTTTTTTTTCATTGCGTCATTTTTGTTCATGATGTGATGAGACGATCTAGATGAAGCCTAGAACTTCGATAATGATAAACAATCGGTTCATTTGAAAACCAAGTTTTTCATAAGTTGTTTTTTTTAGAAAAGGAATTTTTCACTTAGAGTTCTCTTAACTTTATTCAAGAAAGCGCTGAAAAAAATTTCAAAAACTAATTTACAACTCAACCTTATCTATCAGTTTGAGCAAGCATCTAAGCCTAATAAAATCCTATAATTCGCTAAAAAAAACTATAAAGAAAGAATTCAAACCGTTTTTTCTTGACAGCATGAGAATTTTATGGAAGTTTTAGACAGAGATTTTAGGATAAGACACTGACTAAGAAAAATCACTTAATTTTGACTAATGATAAAGCCTTAAACAAACGCCAATTCTTCCAAGAAAAAAGAAAATAAGATTGGACAAGAACAGAAAGTTTACAGAAAAACATGATTAACCAAAAAATCACACAGAAAGTAAATTGACCAAATATTAATGAAAAAGATATGCCATGAACTATTATTTAGAAAGATGTAGCTGAAAACAGTTCAAAATTAACCAGACGTGAGAAAATTTTTTTAAATTAGCGAACACAAAACTACTCAAAATTGGAGAAACTTGACAACGCATTAAAAAAGATAGCAGACAGCAACAAGGTGACATTGTAAAACGACAAATTTTGACCAAAATTATCATAAATTTGTTTTGATAATTTCTGATTTGCTGGCAATTCAAGCTTGCTAGGTTCTCGTTTTGAATTGAAATAGCTACTTTTGAATACAATAAGGTCTAAAAACTCATACACTGACGAGAAAAAACATAGCCATTAGAAGATTGGAAAAGAGTGGTGAACGCAAGTAAACGTAAAAAAAAAAACTTCAAAGAAAAAAATTGATGAGCTTTACGCTCTTTGAATTTCTAGAACAGTTTATGATTGGCGCTTTTTTGATAGCATGAACCCAACTAGAGAAAACTGGATCAATAGGTAAAGTTTTTATTCCGCTGGAAATCTACAAATTAAATTCCATTTTCGAAGCTGGAAAGCGTTCACGTTTTTTCGGGCCATTTCCACGTTCGTATTTGGAGAGTGCTATTTACTTCACTTTCAGTAGATGAATTTCATTTGAAGTCAAAAAGTGCATATATACCTAAGTGCATCACAAATGTATGAATCTGTAGTTATTGGAGACTTCCTGAAAAAAAAACCAAAAAAATTGTCAAGACCTATATAAGAGTCTTCACTGCGTTCATTACTCTTAAAAATATAAAAACAGCTGATTGAACAAAAAAAATCAAACATTTGAACTAAACTACCTGCACGAGAAAAAAAAATTTGATAAAAACAGCTGATTGAACAAACCGAAGCATCAAAGGTTAAAACCAAAGTTATTGTGAAAACTAAACACAAAAAAAAAAGATTTTTGATATTTTTTTTATTAATGAGGGTCTGGAAAGTTGATTAAGATTTTCCCAAAACTTCTTGTATGACTTCAGTCATTCTTATAAAAACCAACAAAGAACAATTCAAAAAAAAATATTCGTAAAATATACTCTCGAAAAAAGAAACACAATTAGAACAACTCATAACAGGCACACAAGGCCCATAACTAACATGCACCCACTACATTTACCTCTGCAGTAAAACAAGTGTAACCTTAACAAGTGCGAATTCTGTGATAAAAAGTTATTAACGGTGGAAAAAGTCAAGCACCCACCCGGTTGCGTAACCCTAGCTTATCGCAAGGGCAATTATCTCGTTCGAGTCATGAATGAAAGGGTTTTAATATGATATATCACTCGATACATTCCGATGCTTAATTGTGGTAAATGATTTTGCGTGGAAAACAACTAAAACACCTGAATACAAGGTTCCTCCCCATTTTCAATGGTCGGAACAATCAGTTTCCTTTATGTTAGAAGCGTATTCATTAAAAATGAAAATTTTATCTATAAACAAGTTATGGTATCGTTATAATAACCAATCAAAACTGTGGGCGTATTGTATGTATTGTATTCTGCGACCATACCTGCTCCGTTTCCACTCGACCCAGTTCCTCCTGGTCCTGCAAGTACTTCACTTTGTTCATAGCCCCCTGGTGCAGACCCCTTAACTCTGGCAGGTGTGAAATGATGCCCGCATACTCGTGCAGAGACTCGCAGAGGGGAATCAAGTCATTGGACGGCTGTGTGTCGTATAATTTTCCAATCTCTTCGTAAGTCTCGCCAGCGAACTCTATTGCCTTTGTTAGAGCTAAAAATGAGCGCTTTGAAAGCACACAGAACTTCGACTATTACAATTAAAATCTTTTAGCCAATTAATTTAGCTAGCATACGCCAATGTTTACACAAAGGCGACGCGGAGTTTCGCATCACTTGCGATAAAACACAAACAAAAAAAAACATAAAAAGAAAAAAATGAAAAATGTTGGAAAAATTTAGACTCGATAAAATGATTTATCAAGAAAAATAGGGAGCCAGCTATAGCTTGAAGTTCCTATTTGATATTTTTGAATTTGTTATACTGATGCGAGATGAAATGGCTTATTTCAAAATTTCTTAAAATTGTACTTTGCCCAAAACCGTAGCTGTGGCTCTACTAAAATAAGTTTAGAATTTTCCCGGGGACGTAAGTCTTTCTTAAGAAAAAACAACGAATCGCCGCTTCTACACGAGAAATCGCCGCAACCTGCTCTTTTGATTGAACCCTTCATCTCAGATTTGATAGATTCGTTCTAAAGAAAAGTCAACTGTTGTTTTGATCAAACCCTTGATATCAGAATTGGCGATGGTTGTCAAAAAAGTCAAAACATTTCCAAAAAACGGCCATTAGATTTTCGAGCGAATCATAGCTTTTGGTGTTTAAAAAAATGGTCATAGGTGTTTATGCTATTTCGATTGCTCTTAAAAGCTCAGATTCGGGAGGGTAGTTTTCGTAAACGGTCGACTAAATTAGAAAAACTAAAAAAAACTTCCGAGGGATATGATTTTTTGTCAAAAACTATTGTGCGTAGTCGATTATGCAGGGCAGCTTCCCAGAACCCGCTGTTTTGATTAAACCCAAAGACTCAGATTTGTGAAGGTATCAAAATCAAAATTTTGACTTTTCCGCGGGCCATTACTTTTTGGAGCTCAGGAGCTTCCAGCAGAATGGGTCAAATATGGGTCAACACTGACGACAATGTGGTAAAGTAAAAAAAAAGAGAATATAGGATAATGTAGGCAGTCTTTTCAAGTACACCAGTTCTATGAAAATCAGCAAGGTAGTTAGTTTTTAAGATAAAGTAAAACTTTTGCAAAGAGTGAAATAAAAACCCAAAGCATCTCAAAAACGTTGAAATGAAAAAAAATAATAATCTAATTCCATGCATTTTTACACAACTGGTTTCTATCAAACAGGAATTCTTGTAAAATATGCCCAGAAAGACAATTGAATTTTAAATTAGCAACGGATCGAAACTTACGAAGCGGAAAAAAAGCCGAAAAAAATTGATTTTACAAAGAGGCAAAGCAGAGCTTCGCAAACACTTGTACTGATCGAGATGAAAAGCATAAATTTGAAAAAAAAAGTTTTAACCCATAGTGGTTTCTGCTGAAATAAGGTAAAAATCACTCATGCAAGGAAGATTCTACTTTCCGTTGCTGCAATGGAACTCAATGTCAGATTTGGCAGGGTGGTTTTCGAGAACAATCAAAACTTAGGAAAATGCAGTTTTCGTAAACCATACCTATTTTTTTTTCTACAAAAATAGGGTGTAACCCTTTATGCCGGAAAAATCTCTAGAACATGTTTTTTTTTCAATTAAATCAATAAGCTCAGAATCGACGCGCAGTGATTGAAAAAAGAAAAAAGCTTTCAAACAACGATCATAATCTCAAAAACTTGATTTATCCTCAGTAATTACAGTTTTTCTACGAAAAGAAGGTACAGCAGCTTATACAGGGAAAATTCGCACATGCTGTTATTGCGGTTCAACCTGTAATCACGGAGCCATTAATACAGGAAAAATTCCCATAACGAGTTTTTTTCGATCGAACGCTTGATATCAGATTAGGCAGGGTAGTTTGAGAAAATTAACAAATTTTCCAAAAAAAACTATAAAAACTCAAATGAAAGTTGACTTTTGCGAATATCATATTTTTAAATATCATAATTTTTTAACCACAATTGGGGCGTAACTACTAACGCCTGAAGAACATAAACTTCTTCTTTGGATTACATCTTCAAACCCGGATTTACGAGGGTTGTTTTCGAGCAAAGCCAAAAAGTTTCAGAAAACGGTCAAAATTTCGAAAATTGTTTTTTTTTGAGTTCATATTTTTTTAATGAAAAATAGGGGCGCAGACGCTTTTGCTATGATGATACCACAAGCCATTTTTTCGATTAAACCCTCAGTTTATCGATATCAGATAGTGGTTGTTGAGAAAAGACGAAAAAGTTCCAAAAAAGGAACAAACTGTCAAAAATGACCTTTTTGAGGCCACAACTTTTTTTCTAAAAAAAATTAGGCAAAACGGTAGAAGCAGAAGATATTCCCGGTACCTGTTCTTTCCATTGAACATTTAATGTCAGATTTGGCGGTGAAATATCTTGAGAAAAAAGTCCAAGAAAATGAGTCAATCATTCCCCGCGTTGAAATTTTCGAAAGCCGTTGAAGTTGGAGCAAGGTGAAAGACTAGCGAAAAAGGCATACATATAATGTAGTAACCGGTCTTTCCATTGGAACCGAAATTGGAGAAATAACTGCTGAGAAAATTACAACTTCAGCGAAAAGTGAAACAGTTTTCCAAAGCCTCTAAAAATAGAAAGAAAAAAATGTAACCCAATATTTTCATAATACCTGATTCTGTCAAAAAAGAATCGCTTGATCGGAAAAAACAAGCTTTGTAAAAAAAGCTTGTAGAATCAGGTTTTGTAACACTGTCGTACCTCAATATATTTGGGTAAGTTTCCCCCTTCAGACTTCAGCACATCAACAGGGATAATTTGAATGGACAAATTAACCAACCTTCCAATCAATCAAAGTCCTCGCAAGAATCTACAGCCCTCGAAATTAGTTAAGTCTCGAAGTTAGTTGAAATTTTGCTGCGTGTCGAATTCGAACTGAAACCTCAAGATTTGGAGCCTCACGTCCTTACTCAACCACGGACGCTTAACGATCGACAAACAGTGACAACGAATGAAGCACAGAACAGATGCTATGAAAGTTCCAATGCAACAAGTCGTGAAAAATTTTTGCGAGTTAGGTTGGAAAAAAAGTATAACACAGAGGCGACGCTGCGCCCCGCAAAAACTTGCGAGTACACGACCAAAAAGCAACTCTACCAAGTGAAACAAGAAAAAGTAGAAATAAGAGCCTCGAATTAGCAAAAACTCGGCTAAAAGTCAGATTCGAATCTTCGACCTAGTTAATTTGAGTCTCACGCACTAACCACGGATGCTTAAAATCCTCAAAAAACTAGCCACCAGTAACGCAGCTACATATGCTAATAAATTGCCAACTCGGTGTAGCAAAAGTAGCATCAAATACAAAAAGACACAATTTTGCATGTAATAAATTGGAAAGCATAAAGCCAAATTATGTATTTCAAAAAATTGCAAGATACATTGAGTTGGAAAATTTCTGAAATCGAGCTTTTATCATTGTACTGCTGTTTGAAACAAATAACGTTTTTCGCTTTAATTGATGAATTAAAATGCATCGGTTGTTCCAACTTTTTTAAATCCAATGTCAAAGCGCATATGATATTATACGGCTACCGCAGCCTACCGATTCAAAAGTGCCACTAAAAGTAGCACCTTTATTTGCGGCTAAATTTGGAAAAAAAGAAAGTTCATACTAAATCACTTTGCATCGCAAGTGTAACCATACTAAACACTACATTGGCTAGTGTAATAACAATATCGTTTTTATATTTTGACATTTTAATTAATACCTTCTGAACATAATTTTCGAGCATTATAAACAGAGGATTCTCCGTCTATAGATTACCCACCGACATTTGACTGGCGTGTGTCGACTGTTAGGGTTTCGCTTATCTCTTTGAGAGCATTTCCCATCTTGCAGAAGCTCTGCTTATGAACTGTGTGGTGCAATTTCGCCTGTTCTCTGCTGCGTCCATTTAAAAGCTTCAATTTATCCCTGGAACGAGATAAAACAAGAATAATCGATTACTAAAGTTACAGAAATGTACCTTTGTAATTATCCACTAACCTTAGAGTCAGAGCAAAGTTTGTGAATCTGTCAATTTTTCCGCTGATTGCGGTCAAGTCCAAAGGTTCACTTGGTATTTTGAGGGTCAAGAAGAATGCAGACTCCCGGAAGTCGTCTTTCTCTGCCCTCCTTTTGCCATCTTTCCACCTGTTGGAGTCCATCTCTGATATGAAGTGTCTGTACACCTGACTGCGCCCAATAACCGGGTGCCTCGACATTCGATTCATCTATCAGCCAGCAAAACAGAATGAAGTCAAAATCCAACTTCCCGCAAAAAGTATTTCACATGGAGATGGAAGTTGCACTTTTATAACGAGCAAAACACGACAAATTAATCATTTGAAAAGCTTTATTTGCTGAATTGAAGACGCTTTTTAAACGCATAGTACAACGATGCGTCTTGTACAAAAATCGTGAACTTTTTTTAAACATGCGTCACCTGATATCGATGCAGACCGCTTAGCTCAACTCAAGAGAAATTCGATTTCAGAGGCCATATCAATCACATTTAGTGGAAAAGTTGCCAGGTACAAGAACGCAAGTTTTGCTCGTGCAAAAAATCTCACCCAATGTTGCAGCCTAAACATTCGCTTGTTGACAAACTCTGATTCGTATTTGCCTGTGACTTGCTTGTCGGGTAGGGGCGGAATACACACGATTGGGTACCTCTCGCGCAATCTATCGTGCAGCCAATCGAAGTGCTTGAATCGTCTCTGTACGACTACTGTGCCACTATTTTTTGTGCCTGGTCCCATTGAGCTTGTCAACTGGTAAGCTAAGAATTTCTTCATGCCTTTTAGTTTAGACTGTTTAGTAGGATCGGAAAGCAGACATCTAAAACAAATTTTAAAAGCTGAAGCTTGGAAATATTCGACTTAAGCAATAATTCTTGTCTGAGACGACCGCTCACGACTTTGTTCATATCTGTTCTTAGAATCATCTCTTTGTATTTATAACTGTAAACGTGACGTGAAGTAAACGTTTTAACCGCCACTAAAAAACTGATGACTTAACAAGCCTTAAGTAAAAGCTTCCATTTAAGACTTAAAAGGTAATCGACTTCGGTTACATGACGAACCAAAGCACCTACTTTACTAGCTTGTCTGGTGGACACGCCTCCCAATATGGTCCAGCAGTTGTTGTAGTAATATTGATGGTTTCTGTTGGCTCAGAGTTTAGTTTTAAATTTCCCATGATGTAATCCATTGCTTTTGAACTCCCAGATGAGCGGGACATTCCTGTTCTACTTGGCCCTCTATCAGTTGGCGTGGGTAGATCGTCGGAGGCTAAAAGACAAAAGCCGGTACTCAAATTCCCTTGCCATATATCTGCTTAGATCATTCAAAAAAATTCCAAGTACCGTGAGATAAAGGCTATAATTTTATCGACAATACATATACGCCAAGTTTCTTCACGTAAAAAAAAACAGCTTCCGTTAATATCCATCCTTTAAATGTATTTACCAGACGTTGATCGAGCCCTTAGATCAACTGAGTTTCCATCTCTTGTCTCCAGTGTCCGAGGTGGACCCATTGTAGACTGGCTTCTACTACCCGTTGCACTTCCCATGACTGTTGATCCAGCAACAGTTGAGCTATCTTCGTCACTGTCCCAGTCTTCGTCCCAGTCATCGTCAATTGTTCCACCTGCATCGTCCATGTCAAAACTTTGAAGATTGTTATAATTAATTTCTTGATTGGCGTATGAATTCCCGCCTCCATTTGACAGGGGTGGAGCTATGTTTTCCGGTACCCTTGTGTTCTGATATGAGATCCCATTCCCGATCTGAGAATTCTCGTAAGACGTTGCGGCATTGGGCTGGTTGTTTTCATAGGATGGAGTATTGTTATTATAATACTCCGACTAAAAAATACGCATTTTGAGATAAAGTATCGCTCAGCAATGAATGCTGAGCAAAACTTTGCCTCAAATTTTCCTTCACTAAAAAAATAATTATCAAACATACATTCTTTAAAACGACCCTACTTTGACATTTCCTGGCAAGGGAGGCGGTGGCATTGAAGGTGGAAGAGGATCTACATAAGCACTAGGAATCATTCCATTTTTGCCAGCCGCGTTTCTCCCATAGAACCATCCTTCGGCGTAGTCACCATTTGTAACAGTGAGCACTTCGCCTTCATTGAACGCGAGATCGTCAGGATGCGAAGCTAAGAAGGCATACAGTGCTTTCACTTTGAACACTTTAGCACTCATTACGCATTCTAAATTACAGGGATCATCTATGTACACAGAAATCATTAATTCATTAGAAATCATAAATTAAAAATGAAGTGTATATATTGAAACAGTGTATTTGAAAAGTAAGTTTACGAACGTTTTCGCAACTACGCGCATCGCCAGGATATTTACAATGGGTGCCCGACATCAAGCCGACGGGACTTCACTACGAAATTTTAAAATGAGGGACTTCAAGTCTAACAGTTTCTCTAAAAGCGGTGCGTCCCTCATGCTGAAAAATTTTTTGTCTTATTTTCAGCCAACCAGAAATGAGTATTCAAAAAATTCAGGGAAATCGCAAAAATCTCAAAGTAAGCAAATAAAACCAGGCCATTAGTTGTGACATTCGACCAGAATGTGCCAAAATGCAGATTCGTCGATTTCGAATTTTTAGCAGCGAACCTTCCGAATTGGCGATTTAGAAGGAATAAGAACGTTATTCGAACGATTGGACAAATCGTGAAGGCTGAAGGATTCGGAAATTCCTAAATTTTAAATTTTCGAAGTGATGACGTAACAATTCTCAGAAACGTCAAAAACGGCCATTTTGGCAGAAAAACTGAAAAGCAACACAACAACGATAGTTGCGACAACGACAACAACGAGAAGATTGATAATCGGAATCAGAGAAAAGCAGAAGTAGCAGAGACCGCTCCAAGTTGCAACTATTGTGTCGCTACAATAGTTGCAAGGCAATTGCCAACAACAGTGAGGGATGGAAACCAGCCCTCCGGGTTATAGAGAAATCAAGCTTAATGTGCTTGATTCAGAGGATTCGAGAATCAGGAGGGGTTTCGGGACTGAAACTTTTATCGTCTTATATGAACTTTTAGCTTCCCTATTATGTCCTGAATTGAATTTAATTAACATCCGAATTCATTCTACTAAGATGAGAAGCTAGGAGTTGGGGGAAAGGGTTGATCCATCTTCGATGGAAATGATGATTTTTATCTACTGAACAAAAACAATAATAATTCAATAAGTAGTAGTAGCCCTGTTTTTAGGAGTAACCTCGTGGTCTGGGGATACTGAGACCCAGCCATGAGCTCACTATTTTTGCATGTAATTAAGTTAATTTGAGTGTTTTGACCGAAGCCGAAAGCAGTAACGTTTTTTGTCGACCCGATGTTAGAAAGACCACCGAAAGTACTGGCTTGGTAGAGACGGTGAAAAGCATGCAATGCTCTGTTTAGACGTTAGCCAGTCGTCTTAGGACTTAGTTTTGTTCTCCGTCGATATGTATCTTCCGGGCGAACGTTACATATATGTTTTTATGGCGCTCCTGGGTGTTATTCTTTTTTAACATCATGACCGGCAGAACCGTTAACAAGCACTCCGCGCCGAGTTGATGCTCACATTAACGCCCTTAATAGGCCTAATCCGCCGGGGCGGAAGGGTAGTTTGGAACGCGGAAGCCTTCCGGATTACCGTGAATAGCTTTTTAAACTAGTTAAGACCGAAAATTCACGAATCAGGAAGGGTGGGGGGATCGGCCATTCCCTCGTTCCCTGAGAGGTTTGTGACCAGTGTAACATTCGTCTACTGCAGTCACACATGAGGCTTAAGAAAAATAGGCCCTATAACCACTGGCTCAAGGGTCAGGGGCACTATCTCTTGTGTTTTCCCACCTCAAGAACGGTCGGAGCCAGTTCGGTTCGCTTATGACATGAGACTACGACCCGTTACAGCTTAAAGGCTACTACTAAAATATCCCCCCACTCTAGAATTAGAAACGTCCCCATACTTAGGTCTCTAGATACCCAAAATACATGAACGCCGTTAAAAACCGGGTTGGAACAATCCGTTAGGTTACTTTTTATTAGACAGTGTGACTTTGATCCATTTCAGATGGATCAACCTAAAACTCGCCTTATCTCAACATAACAATCATAAAACACACTCTAGAAATTAAATTTGTACTCACATAGCAGCACGCTCAAGAATTGGGAAAATAATCCAGTCAGTAACTAACTCAAGAAATAAATAACTAAGAGAAGTTTAATGTTTTATAGTTTGGACAGCAAGGATAAGTTCATGCTCTAGAATTTGAGTTCTCTTGGACCGTTGGGACACTCTAGTTGTCCGCCTTTCCGCTGAAGGTTCACTCTGGTCCAACTTTAGTAATCGCTCTCTCGGGGATACTCTGTCTTCTATTTCAAGTAGGACAGCTCTACTCTCGATTATATATAGACGGAAATTGCGAATAGCAATTTCCCACTCGTTTTTACTTTCTAACTTTCCCGCAATTGCTCTAAAATTGTTCTGATTTCTTTTTCTGATTTTCAGTTGTCGCGAGAAAATCGTGCATGACATGTTCCATTCGAATTTTTGAAAAATAAAATTTCTCTCCAAAATCAAGTATTTTCTGCTCTTCTCAAGGTCAAACTTCCCAACATGACCGACTGGCACATACTCCCCGGACTCGAGATCGATGTCCTCATCGCGCGCTGTCTTCTGCCAGTGAGTCCCAGAAAAACCGAGTGTTGCTCAAGATACAGTGCCAGTGGTCATTTACAGAAGTTTGCAGCAGATTTAAGATTATCTACACCCCAAAATTCACGACCATTTAAAATTTTCACACTATTGCTAAACAGCAATCAAAATCTGCATTTACCTGCACCTTTGAATTTTTCGCTTTTCAAGCCAATCATTTTAAAAATTCTTTTGTCCTATTCAATCAGGAAATTGTCATGCAGCATTTCGATTTATATAATAGATATAGTATATTAGTAACAATATTTACTTTGTTAAAATTTCTTTTTCGTGAATCCAAGTTTCACTCGGATTCACACTCAAGCCCCCCTTCCCTCTCAAGACCCAAGATCCATCCGATTTGCCCATTCACCTCGTGCTCTTCGCCTTGGATGTACTGCATCCTGAAGTGCTAGATGCGGCAAACTGTCTCAACAGTTCCTCTTCATCATCGGAACTAATCACAATCTCCTCCCAAGCCTTCAGTTGTTCATAAGATCGCATCCATTCTCTCTGCTCCTGCAATCTCTTTGCCTGGTTGGGTAGTGCCTTCACCCTAGCTTCTCGGTTCAAACAAAAGGAGTTGTGCAGGCTCAAGCTCACGTTCTTCGCCAGGTCTTCCTCTAGTATCGACTCCCTCGCTTTGGTATTGTCTCTAGACATCTTACCCACTCTCTTCCATCCCGTCGTGATCGCATTACGATGGGTTAGCAGGGGTCTCTTGAAAGCTTCCGGCCCAATCTCGGCCTGGAACTGTCGATACTCCTTTTGATGTTTTCTCATGTGATCTTTCGTTGCCCTGTACAACCAAGACGTCAGTGTCGCCCGAAACCATGGAAAGTACCTCAAGCGACTCCATACGTGCCTGACTTCCGTTGGTATGGCGAATACTTTGCACGCAGTCTCAAACAACTCAAGTCTCCTGCTGTAGTCTATCGCGTATATTGACTCAGCCGTTGGTGTCGTCGCCTCCCGATACTTCGTTATATTCTCTTCTATCCATCTCAGAGCTAACATCGTGCTCACTACTAAGAGCGTCACCTTCTGCCGGTGATCCGGCAGTCCGATCGACCGAATCTCTTCCACATCCCACACCAGGCAAAGGTTCTTGTGATCTGGATACCACACCGTTTGTGCCAAACAGTGGCATGGGCATTCCCCATGAGAGATCTCAATGCTCCTGAGATTACGCTCCCCTGAGGCTTCCAAGAGAGGCTCAAGCTCCATCATTTTCTCGTGCATCGTGTCATTGTCTTCCAGGTTTGGAGTACTTCCCACAGGTTTCCCGATCACGTTTTGTCTCTCGTGATCGCTTGTGTTTTCTCTTTCCAACTTCAGAAGATCTTCTCCCCAGATTTCGCTCAAGTCATCTCTCAATTCTTTTGGTACTGTCCCTTTGATTTTTCTCAACAACTTGTGCGAGTGATGCGATATCCGAGCCAACCTCACGCACTTGGGCACTGAGAAGGCCTTGTCCACCAGTATTCTCTGGCTGGACACTTCCACCATCGCCATGTGTAGCGGGTAGTGACTTCCGCACAAGTTGGCCATCATTGACCCTATCAGCGACTTCGCGTTCAATGGCAAGCCATAAGCTTCGCTCAAGGGAAATCCCATTTCCGCCTCAAGACCAACCTTCCAGCTCCGGATGTGTTTTTGAGTCACCTGCAACACCCCGGGCCATGATTCTACGCTCAACGCCGTCACTAAATGATGCTCAGACTCCAGTCTCTCCAGTGCCTGCAGATCACACATTCTCGAGAAGAATCCGAGAGCTGTCGCTATATTCACCGTGGTTCTCGCGTAACATTCCGCTATTATTTGCACTTCACTTTTCTCCCTTTCTGTGATGTCTTCGAACCAAGTGACCAGATCTTGATTTTGAAACGACAGTATTCTGACGCATGACCGTCCATCGCAGATGTGCTCTCCGTTCCCACGCGTCGAATCCAGACAGCTACCCGGCTCCAATTTCTTTGTTGACCCGGGGTCGCTCGTCCTTTCGCTTGGTTCTTGCATCTGGGGTGTGATTAGCTTATGTAGCACACTCAACTTCGCCAGATCTTCATCTTCCGTTGGGGCTAACCTCACTCGCTCGGTGGTTTCCTCGATTAGACTCGCATGGGGATGTGGACACCAGGAGGGTCTTAGTAGCTTCCATATCACTCCCAAGTTCGTGGTTAACAAGCCATTTCCACCGCCCATGTTCACTTCAACTCTCTTGTTTGAGCGCGGTATGCTTATCACCTCTGGTGTTTTCTCAAGAATCAGGCCCAGGCTCGGCCCCTCTTTCTCCACTGCGTCTATCTCCATTATCCTTTCTGTCCAAAACTTCAGTAGCTCCGCTACCTCATGGTTTCTGTGGGCTCCTCCAGCTTCCGAGTCTAAGAAGGGATTGTAGGCTATTCCCATCACTCCAGACACATATTGGTATTCCCCCTTCTCACTGAGTCTCGAGTATTGTTCTGACGAGGCCAGGTTACGGTGAACATCATGTTCTTCCTCGAAC